CCTATTGGTGTGACACCCAAGTCAACTTGCCAAGTTTTTATGTCAGTGTTGGTGGTTTGACCAATCAACCGACAACTGCGGTAGCAGAAATTTGGGAAGCTAACCTGAAATGCCATCGGAAAACGAATCCACATGTTTCTAGAAATGATATGAAATCTAGAAAGGTTAATGCAGTCAAGCTGCTGGAAAATAATTCCATGAAAATCAAAAAATGAATAGATATGTACTTTTTGATCATCCCCATATTGATTTCATATGTGCTAGCTCTAACATTAGTACCCAATGTTAGCCAAGTCATTATTCATAAGGTCTTCATTAGGTACTTCTCCAGCTCTCATTAGTAGTGATATAGAAGTGTTTCAAAGCTGTTTAAAAACCTGTTTTTCCGTTAACCAGCTGTCGCACCCCTACGAACGACAACCCTCAGAAGTCGAAACTTGTGCGAGCTAAGGATCAACGAGGTCTTACCTTTTAACGTATGATTCCTAACACGGGTTGGACGGTAGCAAGTGAAGATCGATCATTCAGACTAGGGCTCGAACCACCGACCGACACGGCAGTTTATTTGAGTGAGTGAACAAAGCACCCACGTCGAACCGCTTGGCTACCGACCGACCGAATATATAAAATAAAAAAATTTGAAGTGACTTCAAGCATGTTATCTATGATATTTTGATTATTTATGTCAAATCGTTTTCAGCTGATAACGGTAACTCATAAACTCTTCCAATTTTTTCGTATGATGTTGCTATGCCGTTATTACTATCCAATTATGATTGTTTTTTATCAACTAGAATACCGATAGTAAATCAGGTAGAGAAGGTAAAGTTCTCTCACTTTTCCTGATAACTTGAAGTGTTTTTGAGTTCAAAGTTAGAAATGATTGGGTGATATTCAATTCAATATGTTCCATTCATTAGTTACTATTCATAAGGTATGAAATATTTTGAGATACCCGAAAGTTAAACCTAGAATCTGATATCAACATTATCAGATCTTAAAAAAAACGTTTACCCACTCAACGGTCGTTCATTTAGATATTAAAAATATCAATGAATACTTTTCTTGAATTTATTGATAAGTTTATATGAGATCACGGGAAAATGTGTTCAAAATATTCTTTTCTTGTCAACCAACAGCAGTAGAAATTTATGATGGCTAAGGATTAATGAGATATTACCTATCAACGTATCACCGACCTAGTAGAGATCGGATGATACGCAGTTAATATGAAATATTTGAAGTAAGAGTACTGTATTTTCTGCTGTTTTTTGGCAATAAAAAATAAACAAAGCTAAATCAATAGAGAATCTGCTGAAGTGTGACAAAGGCCAAACTGAAAAGTTCATTCCGAAAAGTTACTGCGTAATATAAACGACCGAAGAGTTCGATCAGTCAGTCACTTGTCGTTTTCGTTAATTTTGACTAAAAATTGAAAAAATCAATCGAGGACATTTCTATACTCAGCTTTTTTAGTGATAGACGTTTCGGGAGACAATCTTTATCCGTTTTAAAAACCCAAAATTCACTTGAAACCTTTCGCCTCAATTGTCAAAAGTTGTATTGCTTTTGACATACTTCCAAAATAAGAAATGTACCGACAGTCCACAGTAACACATATACAGGATGTTTTTCTCGAGAATTCAGTTAAGATTTTGAAACAAAAAAAAACAAAATCTTGGTAACAACTATCTATTCCATCCAGTAGCGGTTGAAACTTTTGGTGTTTGTGGCCCGGAGTCTCTGTTATTCGTTCATGAACTTGGAAGGAAAATAGACCAAGCAACAAAAGATCACCGTTCTACCTCTTTTTTGATAGAAAGAATTAGTATTGCTATTCAACGTGGTAATGCTGCTTCGGTCCTTGGAACTATTCCTCCTTCACATAATTTTGATGAGATCATGCATTGCTCTCATTTCGGTACGGAACTAAAATCTCTTCGAAACAAGCCGAGGTATGTGAATATTCATCAGTCTCCTATGTCTCCTATCAAGGTTAATTCGCAAGTGATTGATCCACCTTCTTGTTTTTCAGTACAGTCAATGGACTCAGGTCATTCTTGCCCCCCACATTTGCGTTGCAGTCCTCGTGGTTCTAGTTCCCTTTCAGTGGAAGAGCTTCATGAAGCAAGAGCCGAATCGATCCCTCTACGAAACCCGTCATCACTTGGAAGGATCGATCGCAGATTGAGAAATGGTTCTGATACAGAATCTGTGAAACATGTTCTTCCTTACGAATCAATAGACAGTTGTCCTGATAATCTAGAGAAGAAAGTCTTGGTCAAAGACGAAACGGACTGGTTTAAGTTTGACGATTGTCGTGTCACTAAGTGTTCTGGCGATGTATTGAATTTATTGGAGCGTATGGAGACACCCTACATTTTGTTTTATGATAGAGAGGATATTGGCAAATTAAGATCTTCAAATGATGTGGTGCTGCAGGTTTTCCCGGGTTTTCCCGCTGCTGAAGAAGCAAATGCGCGATTGGAATCAATCAAGTCGCCCCGGATCGCCAATTAATTTTGTTGTTGTTTTCAAGGGTGGGAATATAAGGGAAAATGCATAATAGCTCTCCTAGAGTCGAAATGCTCCGGAAGTAAAATAGCTCACCAGTTCTGTTCGTAATTTTTTGAAACAACTCCATTCTCAGTCTGGCATTGAAATCATATCTGTTGGCATCATTCAATTTGTTTCCGAATCATTTGGTGATTTTCATGTAATTTCAAACGAAATGATTTTTATCAGCTGTGGATAGAAAACAGCATGAACTCATCCACGTCACTGCTAATCCAAAACCTATCAGATGCATTTCATCGATAGCGGTCTGTTTGTTGATCGATATGTCATTCAGTTCGGATTAGTCTATTATCAGCGATTCATGTTTTTTGAATTTTGGACTCGTTATTCAGTTTTTCTTGGAAACAGACGTACTAGAGCAGTACGTCATCATTCAAATGGTAGATGCAGGTGGTAGATAAACGAAAAAATCCGGAGTCGCGTGTGACAAGAGCAGTATCGTTGCCATATACAGAGTGTGGTAAAATTCGAAGTTTGAACAAAAGATTTGTTTCATCGAATACAGCTCTTTTGGTTCTGGAGATATACAGGAAAAACCAAAAAATCCCAAATTATTTTTTTGCCTATATCTTCTTTATTCGCAGACATATCGAAAATCTGTCTACATTTTGCTATTGGCACTTCATATGAGCTATATGTTCATGAATCTGTTATACAGGGGTCATCTGACTTGGGCCACCCCATCTATGAATTTTTTAATACGGACTTGTATTTTTGTTGTAGTTTTTGGATCGTAGACGTTCACTTTATACTGAGAAATTGAATTTCATTTTATATTTCGGGATGTTTCGGTAATATTTAATTATAATTCGGTGAATTATTTCCTTTTAAATTATGACCCTGGAAATTGGTTGACTGAGTTGAATAAAAACACAATAGCAACTATCACGTCTCCCTATGTACCGTAGAGTTTTTTTTTTCATTTTCAGGTACCTATTCATATTTTTTCATATTTCCATTGCTCTGAGCGTTNTCCCATTATTGAAGAACCTTCTAAATATATTTCATTATCTTTTTTAAATGAAAACATTTCCCAGAAAGTCTCTAGTCTATGAAATTCCTATATTCGTAAATAATACAATTATATCAATCAAGAACTAGTTTGAGATTAGTTAGTATCGTGGTATTTTAAAGTATTTTTTCCTATACTGTATTCTGAAGTTCAAAACCACTATCATTACATTTTCACAGGTATACTAACTCCACCCAATCTTCTTCTTGATTTTCACACAAAACCACAGAATATACGAGTGCATGATATGTATTGCATGTATAACAGAGATTAATCAAGAAAAATAAAATGAAATACACAGTCATATATGGTAAAAGTAATCTAATGAAAATATAAAAAGAATGAGCTGGTGTTGATTTCAGTATTGGATTATGGAAAATGTAACTCGAATTTTTCATATACCACATGATACACCACAAATGAATTTGAAAATTTCGGTTATTACGATATTTACATTTCCAGAATCAATATAGCTCCAACCGATTTTTCGGTATATTGAAATCTCATATTGTATTTATGTTGAAACGAATATATTTTTTAATAATAATTTTTATACAAAAAATTTTATGAATCTTCCAAAGACACAACATATGACATGATACGACATATGACACGATATATAACAAGATATATGACACGACATATGACAAGATATATGACACTACATATGATGAAACTAGACATGATACATGAAACGACATGTGACAAAATATGACATGACACGTGACAGGACGTATGACACGACATATGGCACGACATTCGCCGAGACATATTATACGACACATGATACGACATGATATGACACGACATTTGACTAGACACGACATATAATAATAATAATAATAACGTTTATTCAAATAGAAATCAATCAAAATAGAAATGCACAGAAATACAGATGTGGTACATCGTAATAAACTTATGAATAAACAGACAAGATGGCGCATTAAGACCACGAGGTTGAGCATGGGCACAATTTTCGTCTAGTTGTTTTACAAGTCACATACAAGTCAATTAATCATCATTAATCGAAATCGATGAAAAACAGTAGAAATCGGTGAAAAAAAAAACAGGATATAACACGATACATGACACGACATATGACACATGTAACAAAAGCTATCACAAGATATATGACACGACATTGCATATGACACGATGTGGTGCTAGAAATATGACACGACAAATGGCAAGACATATGACACGGAATATGACACGAGTTATGACATATAACAAACACGACATGTGACACGGCAAATCACAAAACATATGACACGACATATGACAAAACAAATGATACGACATATGTACGACATATGACACGATATATGACAAAATATATGACACGATATATGATACGACATATGACACGATATATAACAAGATATATGACACGACATATGACAAGATATATGACACTACATATGATGAAACTAGACATGATACATGAAACGACATGTGACAAAATATGACATGACACGTGACAGGACGTATGACACGACATATGGCACGACATTCGCCGAGACATATTATACGACACATGATACGACATGATATGACACGACATTTGACTAGACACGACATATAATAATAATAATGATAACGTTTATTCAAATAGAAATCAATCAAAATAGAAATGCACAGAAATACAGATGTGGTACATCGTAATAAACTTATGAATAAACAGACAAGATGGCGCATTAAGACCACGAGGTTGAGCATGGGCACAATTTTCGTCTAATTGTTTTACAAGTCACATACAAGTCAATTAATCATCATTAATCGAAATCGATGAAAAACAGTAGAAATCGGTGAAAAAAAAACACGATATAACACGATACATGATACGACATATGACACATGACAGGACATACGTCGTGGCATATTACACGACACATGAAACAACATGACACGCCACACGACACGACTCATGACAAAACACGGCATATAACATGGCATATTACAATACAAATGACACGTCAAACGACAACGCACGACATATGACACGACGACATGGCCCGACGACATGACACGACACTATAAATGATATGACATATGCTAAAGACATATGCCAAGACATATGAAATGACACTATATATGACTTGACATATGATAAGAGACGACATATGTCACGATATATTACAAGACATATGACCCAACATATGATACGACATATGGCACAACATATGACAAAAATTAATCTCTCCTAAAAATATACTTCTTTCAGTATAAACAAGATTTCTATGGCCGGGATTGAAACAAATAAGCGAATGATTGTCATTACGTACTGTCATCGATGACATGAGTAGATCAAACTCATTTGTCATGAAGTCATAATTTCATGAATGAATTGAGTTGTTCATCTTATAATGTTATCCAGATTTAGTGAAGTGGCATATGTGGTGAAACTGATCTATATGTGGCGATGAAATCCATGCTACAAGTATTTTACACTACTCTTTTGTGAGATTTTCAGACAGCAGTCCAAAACCACTTCTTGACACGCTTTTCATCATATCAACAATCTTAGTCTAACCCTGTACTCGTAGAGTCAAATAATTTCTTCATCCGCAAAAATACGAACGTTTTGAGAAATATACCTACCTGTACGTGTCAATCAGGGATTAACGGATTACTTGAATGAAGATAAATGTGTATATACGAGTATTCAATAATAAAACACAGCAGACGTTGAAATTGTGATCTTTTCGATTGTCGTTCATCGATGTACATCAGTAAAAATGAAAATGGTTGGTAAACTGATCATTGTTGCAGCAGCAATCGTTGTTTGTGTTGGTGGCAAAATTTCCACAGACAATGAGAAATATCTGCAAAAGATCTTCTCTCCAGTTGATCCCGCAGGTAAGGATTACTTTAATTACGATGTCATTCATTAAATGATGATTATTGCTCTGATGTCAAATTACGGAATACACTTGATAGGAACTGTGATCCTGAATGGTTGAAAAGATGTCGTCTCAAACATTTTTTTCTTATACATTAGAATAATCACAACAGAAAAATAAAAAGTTGTTGTCCGGGAAACTTTATGGCCTATATTTTTTGGGGTTTCTCAAATTCAAATTCAAGTCCTCTATGTCCCAGGAGCCTTTCAAATAATACGTAAGCATATTCATTTCTATCGATAATGTTTTGTCTACAAAACGAGCAGTCACAATTGGTGTCCCTCGAAGCTCGGTTTTGGGACCTATTCTTTTCATATTACACCTGAATGATTTGGATGACCTACCAGTTCAGTCTTCTTCCACTATGTACGCAGATGATACGTCACTGATCATTTTAGATAAATCAGGCAAACTTCTGTCAGATAAATGCAATGAGACTTTTTCATATGTAAAGGATTAGTTCAGTTCAAATCTCCTTCACCTGAACATGGAAAAAACGAAATCCAGCATTCTTGTGAAAAATGCAAAATATTCGTAATGACTTCAACATGCATCGATTATCAAATAATCGACTTGAAGTTTTCAAGTCCAAATATTTAGAAAACGGTTGATTACAGCGACTAGTAACAAGGGTAGCTTATTTACGTAGATATGATAGAGGAATCGATTTTTTTACTGAAAAATGTGCTAGAAGTACGCCCAAAAAAGTTATGAGTCTTTAAAAAAGATAAAGACGTGTAGGTGGCGCCCCCTACGAGTAAGAGCAATAAGAACATCAGGTTCGAATTCGACACCTCAAAAACCTCCTATTACCAAGTTTCGTTTAATTAAGTTCAGTATTTCAAAAGTTATTTGAAAAAAACGAAAATAAAAATAAAACTTCAACATCCTGTATCTTGGAAAGAAACGTTTCCGGACATTTATTTATTCGGACAGTTCATATTAGAATATTGTGAGCAATCACCTCCTGAAGTTTGTCAAAGTACTTTTGAATCACCCTGTATATTGAAACCCACAGCTTTGACCGGAAACAAGCAAATAAGAGTGGGAAATTCAAATATAAAGATTCTTACATCAAAACGCATCGAAATACGAAAAACTGATAACCGATATAGGTTAGAAAGAAATGTCAGATAAAATTAAATTAACATCTGTGATGAAAAATCGAAAAAAGCATGATAAACTATTGTTAATATTTAGAAATGATGTAAAATTCAAAATTTATTATTGTGAATCACTTTCTCAGAAACTGACATCAAGTGATTTGTTAATGATCTCTCGCAATATATTGCGAGAGATCATTAACAAATATTACAAACAGTAAAGGTCCCAATACTGATCCCTGAGGAACTCCTAATGTTACGTCATGTTCCTTGGACACGATATTATTATATTTGATAGTCATACGACGACCACTTATATAGGATTTTAACCAAGATAATACGTTATGTGGAAACCCAAGCCTAACTAACTTTAAATATAGAAAATCTGGTGAGACAGTGTCAAATGCATTTGACAGATCAAAAAATATACTTATTACAAAATTGTTAATATCAATTTCAGAGTATATGTTATTAAGAAAGGTGTAGGTCGCTGTTTCTATAGAACGGTGTTTTCTAAATCCATGTTGATTATTACATATCAGATTATTTGACTCTAGGTAATTCATTATTCTAGTAGCCACCACTTTTTCATACAGTTTTGAGAGTGAACAAAGTAAAGAAATTTGTCGATAGTTACCTATTTCATTTTTATCTCCTTTTTTAAACAGAGGAATAACTATGGCTTCCTTAAACTCTTCTGGAAAGTAATCTTGTATGAATGACTGATTCATTTAATAAGTAAAAGGAATTGCAATAAGATCAATTATTTCTTCAACAACTATTATTGACAGATCATCTGATCCACTTGAGTTTTTATTTTTCATTAACCTCAATGCAGCGTGAATTTCCTGTTCAATAATTGGTCCATTCTCAAACGGGTGTACTAAAATGATGTTTGTACTGACTGCACAAGGTAATGTTAGATTTTGCCTAAGTGACGCGAGATTGTAGTCTCAGCAGAATTTGCAAAATGATGAGCAAATAGTTCGGCTATAACAGGAGGGTCATCAACAATAATTGAATTATGATTGAGTGTAATATTTTCAGCACTAGATCTGTTTTTTCCCCAACTCGCTGTTTATTATATTCCAGGTTTCTTCAGTTCTGTTATTGGCATTGTTAATTTTTGTGGAAAAGTAACTTATCTTATTCTGCTTAACGTTTCTTTGTGTTCTTTCAGTCTAGTTTTATATACAGCCATATTGCTAGGGTCGACTTGTTGACCTGCTACAAATGGAACATGTCTCTAAGATATTGTCCTTCCTGGGCTACATCATTAGAAATCCAGTATTTTTTTTGCCTTTATTGACAACAGTTTGTCTTTTAGGACATGAGACATCGAAGCACCAGGAGAGAGACTCTAAAAAATATGAGAAACCGTCATGAATTGTCACATTATATAATATTGGAAACCAAATTATAGTACTGAGTCTAGTTCGTAATTCATTAATGCTGCTTGCATTGAGTTGTCTTTTTACCAGAACAGATTCAATTGAATTTTCCTTCTCATTACTCGCTACTCTTTGTTTTTAAAAAGTTAATATATGGGATAAATGATTTGCAATATTAGGTTGAATTAGTTCACAGTCATAAAGTTTTTTAGAGAAATTGGTAACCATGTAATCAATACTGGTGCAGCTGGTATGATTATTGATGTTGGTAAATATTCTTGTGGGACCTAACATGTTAGTTTTTAATTGTCAAATGAAAAATAAAATATTACTATTATTATTATTTTGGACAAAATAGAAATTGAGCATTTCTCCATCATTTTCCTTCCACGGAATGTTGAGTGGTTCAATGTACATTATCCGCAAATACGAACATAAGTTTGTTTTGAGAAATACCTACCTGTACGACAAACAATATCAAGAGTCGAAATGAAGCATCGAGGATTAACGGATTAAGATACATGTGTACATAATCAGTTATAAATATCTGCAGACTTTGAAATTACGATTAGTTTCATTGACGTTCTTGGAGTAAAGATGAAAATCGTAGGCGACCTGATTATTATTTTAGCAGCAATCATTGCTTGTGTTGGTGGCAAAACTACACAAATTTCTCCCGAGAATGAGAAATACCTTATGAAAGTTTTCGCCTCGGTAGATTCTGCAGGTTAGTACATATTATTTCAATCACGAGCCATTGATTAAAAAACAACTGTCTCTATTATTCTGACGTCAAATTTAGTAATATACTAGTCAGGATCTTTGACCCTGAGTGGATAGAAAGGTCCGAAATATATTCAAAATCTCCATTTGTTTCTTTTTACATTATAATAGTGTCAATAGGGGGATTGTATAATAAGAAACAAACCATGTTTTTGCTAACGTTTCACAAAAAGCATTTCGCTTCTTCAGAGATCCGATATAAACTTAGTACTTTGTCAACGTGTGAATGATTTTGCGCATTGAAAAATTAAAAAATGCAATGGGAAAAAACAAAAGGCAAACGACCAACGTAATAAGAAAGACACTAGATACCTAATGTCAAAAAAACCGAAAGGTCAAATTTCTTCATTTTTTGTCTATACTGTCGAAACTGGTGATTTGGCACCCAAAGTAACTATGTTTTTTTCAATACTAACCTGAGAAATTGCTATTATTTACTTCATTCCCCTAACGAGAATTAATATTTCTCACCCTTGGTAAATAATGATAATAAAAAAACACCTAGGTTAATAATGAGAACAATTCTATAATTTTAAAGATATTCACAGAAACTTTTGTTAACCTAATTATCAACTAGAAGTAGGAAATTGAACATTGAAAATACGCTTGAAAATTATTTGAAATCATAATTAGTTGTACAATTGTGACAAATCATGTGTATTCCAGCATTTCCTGAATTAATGGAACTAACATTTGGACCAAGTAAATTCACTTCTGTGTTACAAACAATCCTCGTATTTTGAACGCATTCATTACCTTTTTCCACTAAATTATCTTCAACATAGACAGCATCTTGACTCGCAGAAGAAGTTATATTTGAAGCTTCATTGGGTAAATTACATTTTTGCACTAATTCGGCGATTCTCTTCTTATCAGCTATTGATTCCTCAATATATCCTTCAGTCACTGCAGCCGACTTCCACCCACCGTGCCCTTTCAGGCTTAGTAAGTCTCCTCCGTTTTCTGCGAGAAGTGTTGCCGAGCTACGTCTTAGAGAATGACCAGTATAACACTCGGGATTTTTTAATTTAAGATAGTTAGCCACGACATATGGTACTTTACTAATAGTATTCTGCTCAATATTTTGTTTAATATGTTCACCTTTACGGTATAAAATAAATAGTTTTGTAATATCAGTTGGCCTATTAGCTGAGTATTTTTTAATAACATTAACCCATTGTAGCTCAACAACAACAAACTTCCTTGATGTTTTGTTCTTTGAATTAAGAATATTTATTATGATAATATCATCGCAAACATCTAAATCGTCTAGGAGCATATTGAATAATGCATCTGTTCGCAGGCACCGGCAACACCAATTACCATAACAGCCTAAATATCATTCCATTAAAAAATTAAACACTATCTAATAATAAAAAAGTATACTTTTTTTGATAATTATTCGTCATCCGGAGATTCGACTATAAATTTGTCAATTTCTTCCTTTGTAAATACTTTTGATTTCTTAGGTTTATAATTACTGTTTTTTCGTTTAAAAAATCTACAATATCGAAAAACTTTGAAATGTCAATATTTTCTTTTATTGCAAGTGTCGATTTTAGCACACAATGTCGGTACCTTTTTGCCTTCAGATTTCTCTTTGAAATACGATAATAACACATTTTCTGTTACTTTAGCAACTTTCCTTTCTTCACTCCATGTTTTCAGTTGGTTATATGCATTCATGTACAGTCTCTTTGATTTTTCTGGCAATAAATCACATACTTGTACTAGCTGCCACCACTCCAGGCGCTTCACTCTTACATCCTGAGGCGCGTAGTCTCAGGATGTAAGAGTGATGTAAGAGTCCAATGATGAAGAAAAACATTTTGACTCAGTATTACATAAAATCAAAGTCAAAATTAAAAACCATAACCTTATATTTTCAAAAGCTGACAAAGGGACTTGTCTAGTGATTCTAAACAAACTTGACTACATAAATAAAGTTGAACCATTTCTTTCGGAACAAACTTCAAACTTCTCAATTCAAATCCTTTTAATAGTCTTATCAATAAAACAAAAATACACATCAAATTTCATAAGGTCAAAGACAAAAGGGAACAAAATCTCACTTATCCCATTATTGAAGAACCTTCTAGATATATTTCATTACCTTTTTCAAATGAGAACATTTCCCAGAAAGTCTCTAGTCTAATTAGCAATAAATCAAAAGTTGCTAACATTTCCTTCAAAAGTACAAATAATTTGAGTAAACATTTAGCTAACTCAAAAGATAAAATCAATAAGTTGTCAAAAAGTGGAATCTACAAACTTGATTGCAATGATTGTGGGGCCTCACACATTGGAAGAACGTGTAGACCTTTGAAAGTTCGAATGAATGAAGACCTGAATAAACCAGACAAATCAGCTTTTGGTCAACATATCAAATTTAATAAACACAATTTCAGCCTCAATCGTAATTCACAAATTCTGAAACTAGTCAATTCAAAAAATTTTAATATGTTGGATTTTCTAGAAGATTTACAAATAGACAAAGAATTACACAACAACCCCCTTTGCCTGAATTCGCAAGTAGGTACAATCAAATAGATCATATATTCCTTTACATAGACGATTAAATTAATCATTTCAAAAATCAACATTTCTCAAAATCCCAATTGAATGTCTCTTTGCTCAATTTGGAAAACTTTACGTACTGTGGTCACTAAATATATCATTTGTCAAACCAAATATGTTCTGTAATAGTTGAAGACTTCGTGCCAATGTCAAATTTTCACTTCCTTTTCCTCCTAGTACTCGGCACGTTGGAGATGGTTTTCTATAAAAATAATGTTGAAAATATTCACATTTTGTGCAAATGTTTGCTTATTGTGATGTTCATGTTCATGTCCACTCAGAGTGGTTTTTACTAAAGTCGTTGTACCTTAAGACAGCAGGATCTTCTTGTATATACTTGACGAGTAAGTAATTCTACAATATTAAAAGAATTGAATTTTCAATCTAAGATTAAAATAAATAGCATTGAATATTACTTACTTGCAGGTATCGCACTGATGATGGCGTAACAACCTATTCATAGTCGACTAAATAAACCCAGCTTCTTGACGAAGTGGTCTTTCAGGTCAGATGGTGAGAGTTCGGATCTGCCGAACTCAAAGAACCTGATTCGGTCCCCAGCGGGGCAGGCACGAAGTATATACTCTGCTGTTTCATCATTTTCCTGACAGAGGCGACACACACCGTCTTCCGACAGTCCAAGTCTCTGCATATGTTAATCCCTCTGACAGTGTCCTGTAAGAAGGCCTGTTAGACATCGTAGTTCATCCCTACTGTAGTCCAACAACTGTTTGGAATCAAGCTTCGAAGGGTGAATAAACGACTTGGAGTAAGCCAAACCTGGAAGATTCTGCCAAAAGTCCATAAATCTTCTTGCCATCCAGGTGTTCAGTGTTTGTTTGGCAAAGCCCAAAGCGATGCCAATGACAGGTTCTGGTCCAATGAAGCTGCTTGCATCACCCTCCTTTGCAAGAGAGTCAGCAGCCTCATTGCCAGAACTTGGTTTCTAGTTTCTAAGATATCAAATTGTTCTCAAAAAGTCCATCAACTTCACATGAGCTTCAAATTAGGAAGGATAAATTCATTTATATTCTGGATCTAACACTAGCTCATTTTTCTGTGAAACGATAACTCGTATTTTCACTAATTCACTCCCGTTTAGACTTCTAGAAATTGTACGGCGTGGAAAATGTTCACTGGGAAATATTAGAAATGTATGCTATTAGCACACTTCGGATACTTAATGAAACCAGTGATTAATGATTACCAGTGACGTGAGAAACAAATTATAAGTAATTCAATTGATGGTCATATCGAAAAACTTCAAATTCTACGAGATTACATAAATATCACAGACAAAAATAATAAGTAAACTATTTCATTATTGCAGATTTTTAATAACTCTATTCATAAACTCCATTTCTAATATTCGTCCTATCGTTTTATGTTTCAGACAGAAAGGCAGCTTTGATACATCAACTATATTTGGGGTATATTACAAAGAATCCCAAGAGACCTGTGAGTATGCCTTATGCCAATAAATTGGAAATATACCTTCACTGATATCAATTCAATGCGGGAAACAAATTCAAAAGGGTGTTACAATGGGGAATGTTCCTCCTGACGAAAATCAAGTAGTTTTCATAAAAGCTCTAAAACAACGCATTTTGAAATTATCATTTCAACCTTTTTCTTTGAAAAATTATTTGAATACTTAAAAAAGAGGAATGAAATAATGCATTCAACATTTAAAGGGATTCGTTTCTATTTCACCATTTGGCAACATCGGTTATAGCTAATAAAGGACAATAAATCTGTTACCTGTATGAGACGAACAAAGATGACATATTTCAGAGGCGTGCTGTTTGTTCTGTTTACTTATGTTCCGAGACATTCTGTGACATATGACATTTTGTGTACCTAACCTATCTTCCTCTATATAAATAAATAACAAAACAACTGTTGTTTATGTGGCTTGTGGAGGTGGTATTGAACTATAATTTATATTTTGCCTTAATTGTAGAATATCTAGGTACGTATTAATTATTTCAACTTGATATAGGTGCTGTTGCCAATACGTGAATTAGAAACAAATCCCTTTAAAAATTAAAACCCAATATTTGAAACATCAATTCAAATACTTTTCGAAGTGAATTTAAAAACTCATGAATTAAACTCAACTTTATTTTGTTCCAACTTGCATTTGCTGTAATAACCCAAATTGAGGAGCATTCCCCATTGAACAAAAAGGTTTGAGTGTTTTGAAAGCCAACAAAATATTTTGACATTTCGAAGAATTGAAAATGTGTCAATTAGATTGTCCTTCTTTGCTGCAACATTCTTCCATTATTGAGTTGTTAGTTCCGAATTGAAAATTAACGTGTAAATGTATTTCGTGGTGAAACTGTGAAAATGTTAGGCATCTTCAGATGACCTATTTGCTAGATTAAGATGCGGGAACCGAAGAAAGGAAATATCACAGTGCCTAGGTAGTTTTTCTGAAAAAAGTTTCAAGAGATCTTCTACGTAGAAAATAAAACGAAGACAGTCATATGTGTTAGAAATAACCATTAACATTTGTTAATTTTTCAATAATTATTTATATTTCTTATTTTTTTAAACCCTTTGTAGAACCTAATTTGAGCATTTCAATTTTAATCGTTCAATGTTATAATTCATCCTGTATATATAAAAATCTCATCTGACAGGAGAAAGTTGTTGAAGAAAAAACGTCAAATTGACAGAAAGAGATTAATAATTTTTTTTTGAGATTTTTGAGTATATATATATATATATATTCTCGGGTTTCGCTCCGTGTTCTGTGTATTTTCTTCCCATAAGGATTATTTTCACAACGTTTCGGCAAAGTCTCATTTGCCATCTTCTGGTGATGTCTGGTTTTTTCAACTAGACTGATTAGTTCGAACTCTGTGTCTCAATTCATAGGGATGGATGTTTTCCTTTACCTGTGTTGCTGCCACTACCTGTGTTTGCTCGACTACCTGTTTTGGTCTTATTACCTGAGCTGCCTCTCCTGCCTCTGTTATTGTACCTGTATTGTCATGTGCCGAGTTTTGCTTCTGGGGGTTGAGCGGTCTGATTGCTTGTGCGAAGCGATAAAACGGATCTCCATGTTGATGGTAATCTATGCGCATCATCCCTCTTGTTCATAATATTAGGTCGTTTTTCAATTTCGATAGACTCTCTGATTGTTCGCGAGTAAAAGTTTTCGTTGCTTGCTAGTATTTTTGTGTTATCGAAATTGATGTTATGTCCTGTCTGCAGTACGTGTTGGAAGACAGAAGACGTGGTGACTTTTCCCTTCACTGCTAGTTTGTGTTCCTCTTTGCGAATGTTGATTCGTCTGTTGGTCTGGCCGATGTAAGTCCTGTCACAATCATGGCATGGTACTTCATACACTCCTTGTGACTCCAGTGGTATCTGATCCGTGGGATTACGAAGCATGGACCTTGTTGTCCGTTCTGGTACGAACGAAGTTGATATGTTGTGTCGGTGAAGAATTCTGCTGATTTTATCTGTTGTTCCTGCAATATATGGTAGTGTGGTTGTGTGTGTTAATGAGGATCTAGAAGTGATTTCGTATTGGAGTGAAGGTAACCAGGTACAATTCAATGCCACAAAAACCCAGGCATCAGTTTTCTCCAAGAAGATAAATGTCTCCGAACCAGATATAATAATGTCAAATCAGACAATTCCGCTTTCTGCTTCGATAAGTTTTTTGGGGGTTAAAATGGACACCAATATGTCTTGGCACAATCATGTCGCTGGAATTGCAGAGGCTGCTTCTCAAAAGCTTGGAACACTGTTTCGAACCAGAAAACTGTACACACCTCAGCAACTTTTGATGCTTTATAAAGCTCAGATCAGACCTTCTATGGAGTATTCTGCCCTCCTAAGCCAAAAAGGCGTATCTCCAATTTCCTTGTTTAGAGATATAAGGCATTTTATTGAATTTTGAAACCGCAACTACATAGTCAATTTTTTTTTTGTTTCTTTTTGGACAAATACAATAAATATTGACACGGCAATAACATGGTAATTGACTTTTCTTACATAAACTACTATTTTAGTTTTAAACTAAGATACGGCTGATTTGCTAATGAATTGTGAACAAAAATTTGAGATACGTCTCTTTGCGTTAACGATCAATCAATAGATATCGTTCGATTATGTTTCTTACCACATGGACTTATCTAGAAACGATTTATTAATAAAGTGATACATGAAAAATATGCTACATTTGTGGGATATTGAAAAATTTTTTTAGAAAATAATACATATTCACACTGCAAATAAACCTAAAAGTAATTTAGAATATACTAATGGAAAAACATAAATGTTGTTCAGTTCTCATCTGAAGTGTCCCAGAATTGCAATCCATTTTTAATAATTCCAGATAATTTTTTTATTATATTGGCTTTCTTCCGTGAAGAAATTCAAAGAACTTTTGTTTGTTTTTTGGGTGGCCGCAATTTTCTATTTTTTGTTATCTTGACGGTTAAAAAATTAAGATCAAATGATGGACCATCAAAGTCTTTTTTATATGTAATATTATATGATCTACGTATTAATTTGTATTGTGAGGAAAAATCTTCCCAAATGTAAAAATGCTGTAGCTCCATTGGCAGGACCTTGGTTTTATGAGCAGCACTTTTTACGGCTTTCAATTTTCAAATTGCACTTGACAGTGTTGGTGACTAAACAACAAACTTTAGAGATGAGGCTGATAAGAACCCTTTACTGCGGCAAATTGAGGTATCTAGACGTATTTTTGTGAACGTCAAATTGTAAATTGCCAGAAATCCCAATCGAAGTAGACGCATCCCTGAGAAGCGGCCGTTTTGCTTAGAAATATGAGTTACGACCAAGCTGCTTAGGTTTTTGTTTCATTTTTGAGATACGTCTTATATTTCTAACACTTTAGCTGCACAATACGGTAAAGATACGTCTATTTCGCTAATGAAATGGATTAAATATAACTCAAAGTGTCTTTATATGAAGGAATAAGAAATTCAGTGAAATTTGAGATACGTCTGTTTGGCTTAGGAGGGCAGTATTGTTCTCATGTATGGAGCTCTGCCCCCAAACATAATATTAATAATAATATCTTTATTCGTCTTGAGAAACACAAGGTTTATAGACATGTCAAAACAAATGGCGCAATCAAAATCAGGCTATATACCCTAAAGTTGCTGGAGAAATGACGGACTTTGGTGTTACTGTTGATTATGAATTATCATTTAGATCTCATATACTGAATATAACAAACAGAGCTTCTAAGATGCGTAGGTTTGTAATTTGCAACTCTAGGCAATTCAACAAGGTTACCTGCATCAAATATTTATATATCACTCTTATTAGAAGCATTTCGGAATATGCTTCCATTATCTGGTGTCCTCAATATATTCGTTAAAAATAGCATTGAAAGAGTTCAAAACAAGTTCCTGAGATATCTTCATTTCAAAGAAACAGGTAACTATGACCTTGATACCCCCAAAGTAGTGCTACTTGGAAAGTGTAACATACAAACCCTCGAGAAAAGAAGGGTATTTGCATACTCAATATACTTGTACACGATGATACATAGTGAAGTGGATGATCTCTGTCTTCTATCAAAAATCAATTTCAATGTATCTGTATGAAGTTAGATAGTTTCGCACATTTTATATTGAATCGGCAAGAACAAATTATTGTCAAAATGCTACATCAAATGCTATGTGCAATGCCTATAACACTGTACAAAATGACTGTGATATCTTCTTACAAAATCTTGCTAGTTATGGAAATAGTTTCTATCAAATTATATAACTTTTGTGTAATATTTTTTTTTGCTTTTTTGTCGTTTTGTTGTATGTACAAATCTTTTTGTGATATTTACCTTCCTGACTGTGACTGGGCCATGGCTTGTAGAGTTTGTATATGTATTGTATAAATAAATTATTCCTCAAGATATTCACACAAGTCACAAGTGAATTACAGAAAGTTTTTTTGTCAGTTAAAGTCAGAAAAAAGAAAGTAACCAATTGGAAGAACGTAGAAGATCAAAATTATGAATTTTGAAAGTGTGGCTGGATGTCTATATTTGAAGAACCATACCACTTTGCAAGCTGTCAAAAATATCTGACTAAGTGGAAATCAAGTGGGAAAACATTTGCTTCTGAAACTATCCACTTCCCAATTCAAAATAATTCAATTTGACTTAGTCAGAAAATCGTTCTCTCAACTTAGTTTCAAACCAAGGTCATAGTTATTTTTTTTATTGATGTTTATATCTAATTTTGTGATAAAATACATTTATATATGTTCATCATGAATTTTATTCCATTTCAGAATTTTGAAGTTCCAATCGAAGATACTCTGAAGATTTATGACATAATTATGAACAATTTCAAGTTTCCTGATCCAAAACTGAACAGTATAATATGCTTTCCAAGTGGGGAGTGTGTAGATCCTGATGACTCTGGAGTATATCCACCAATGTAGTAGAGAAAAAGTAAGGAGTGTTATGTATTATCTGGATGGAAATAAAATATTGAGATTAATGTAGATTGAAATAAAATATTGTGTTTTTCAACATTTTCCACAAAAACCAGTATTTTCATTGAACTGCGATCTTCTGTTTCACTCTCATATGAGACCCACGATTTTGGAGGTAATTGTAGTAGACACTCTACAGAGACAACAACAAACCCAATAAATATGTGGTATCAAAACTCCAGGAAATCTCGCATGCCTAGTGATAACACAAAATAAAACAAAATCACATCATTCAACAATGAATCTAATGGTCTAATTGGATGTGAACCTCATTCTCAGCTAATTTAAAAATGAACTTATTTTTAACTCCTATTTTCGATACCAAAATCGAAAATAACAGAAAAAATCACGCTCAAATATGTTTTCAGGTCTAAAGTCAAAATGACCTTCAACCCTACATTTATTATTGTAACCTAACAAAGATGAAGACGTCGAGCATCGAGAGACTATATTCCCCTCAGGGTACTTTTCCAGGGTTTTTTCTCCTTCTGATACCAAAAAGAAAATCCCAAAAAAATGTCAAATTCTTGCTCTTTGAGAGAACGTTTAAATTTTTGTTTATAAGGTATCAACTTAAACGGTAAAACCTCATTAAACTTCAGCTCGCACAAGTTTCAGCTTCTGGTGGTTGTCATTCGTAAGGGGGCGACAGTTGGTTAACGGAAAAAGAGATTTCAAATCTTATGTAGACATAACTGATGATACTGAGAATGACTAAGTCACAATATTACTATATGAATAGCCTCAACTGTTCGCACCGTAGAATGGGATTCGAAACGAGCAAGTCGAGTTTAGAAACCCCTATATTTGCAGACCAATTAACCCGACATAGAAAAGAAGAAGAGCTGTTTAGACGTCTTTTTTTCTAGGTTATGTTTGTTGGGATCCTTGAATATTCGTTTAAAAAATTTGTTTCATTTATCGAATTCTCTTTCTGATATAGTAATAATATGTCAGAAGATAATAAATGTTCCGAAAACTCAAACCAAGAGGACACCGCAGAAAAACCGATTTTCAAAAAAAAAAAACGCAAACAACTTCGACAAAGAATAAAAACTGATGAAAGTGATGATGAAACAGTGGAGCAAGTAAGGTGAATGTAAAAAAAATTGTATGGTTTCAGATACAAAATCTTTTTTTTAATATTGAAATATTGTTCATTTCAATAATCACCACTGTACTAAATTGGAATCATGCTAGGGTAGAGAAGCAGAGATAAGTTTCAAGAATGATTTTTCCAATACCCACAGTTTCAACTACAGTTATTTACTATCATAACATTCAAATAATCGAGTTTCCAACCATTGCCTGCATAGTGCAAAATTTCCGTATTTAGATACAGAACTTGTGGTTGCGTCCCAAGCAACTAGTTCCCTTGCAGTGAGAGACAGAATATGAATCTTGTCGGCGGTCGATATTGAAGCTTGGCTTTGCAACTGACTGCCTTGGGGAGCCTTGTTCATATTCTATATTCAAGGATTGGGTCCTCTGTCAATTGCATAGATGGCGTCTTTGTAAGGTTTCTCGACCGTATTCATTTAAAGGTATACAGACTTAATAGACTAAATAGACAATCGTTGAGAAATTTTTCCTCATTAAAGTGATTCATAAATCTTGAAGATTATCTACAAAAATATAAACTATACACTGTGGTCTATTTTTTAAATTTGTAAAATGTTATGTAAACAAATTTACATTTATATCCAAATTTATGTTGTAGAAGCTTTAGAAAAGTCTTTTAGTATTACAAATTGTAGTATCTTGATTTGCCATGTTCATAAATAATAAAGTATAGATCTAAATCCTGGATCCAGATTAATAGTGAAAGTTGATTTCTCTAAGTAGAATTTTTTTTCATTGCTTCTTCATTTAATATATTGCTTACTGTTTCTCATAAATGGCATATGCTTTATTTTGAATAACTAGTGTAAAAATTGGAACATAAAGAAAAAGTTCTGCATAGGATAGTAGTTTTAGTTTGTATCTGAAATAAATGATTTTTCCTTAATGTTTTCTTTGTCGCTTCATATCATAGTCACTTAATGACACAGAAACATTTTCAGCTCAATACTGACTGAAATGAAAGAAATTCAGAAGCTCCGTGGTAGACCTAATGGTATAAGCATTGCTGGTTTAGCTCTAGGATCCAAAGCTGACCCTGAAGATTCTATACCAACGGTAGGCTATCTGGATATAGCTTTTGGTAATTCTTACAACAAAAATTAATGTTCAATTGTTTCAGAAAGATGTGTACAATGTAAATGTTGGAGGAATGATAAATATGCAAGCATTAAAAAGCGGACAGCTACAACAAGTCGATGATGCCTATGACACTGGCATAGGAACTCAATTCTCTGTGGAAACCAATAAAAGAGATGAAGACGAAGATATGATGAGGTTCATCGAAGAAGAATTATCCAAAAGGAAAGGAAAGGAGAAACTGAATAAGAATGGAGAAGTTGTTGATAAGGAACCTAAATACATTACTCCTGAAGAATCTGCCTTGCAGTCGGTGCCAACACACCTTAGGTGATTGATTTTCACTCAAACTGAATCTACTTTGGAAGGATAATTTGTATTTCTAAAAACATTTTAAATCAATTTGTCCTCTTTCTTCATAATTCTAGCTGAACATTTTGTATAGTTCAAAATAGTAGTATTAATAAGAACTATAGTTTTTTTTCAACAATAACAAGATGATGAAATGATATAATGCAAAAGTTTTACATTGAAAAGTACGCAATTGTTCTCACTGACAAAAAATTCTTTTAAGGGAGTCTTCAGCAAAAACATCAGAAGAGATGTTATCCAATCAAATGCTTAGTGGCATTCCTGAAGTTGATTTAGGTATCGAAGCTAAAATAAAGAATATCGAAGCTACAGAGGATGCCAAGTTGAGATTACTTTGGGAAAAACAAAACAAGAAGGACGGACCTTCACAATTCGTACCAACAAATATGGCTGTGAACTTTGTTCATCATAATAGATGTAAGTTCAAAAGTTGAATTCTACATCGCCCTTCTTGTGTTTATCTTTATTTTCATCTTCCATTCCCTTATAATATCACTTCAGCTGCCTGTCTTCCTTTCACTGCAGTTTTAAGTGTCACCTCATCTGTCTTTTTTTTGCCAGCCTAATCTCGATTTTCTCTGCCTTTTTATTACTTCACGTTTCTAACACTCTGGCTGTTTCTAGACGTTTCTTTTCGTTTAACTACTTTTCTATATTGGCATAGATTTTATTTCTTTATCATATCTAACTTGTTTCAGTCAACATTGACCAATCAGAAATTCCCAAGAAGAAAATTAAAGCGGAACCAGAATTGGAGAAGCCCAAAAAGAAGAGTGAAAAAGCTACAGACGATTATCACTATGAAAAATTCAAGAAACAGTTTAGAAGATAGTTATTAAATTATATACTTGAAATAAATTAATTTTTTTATTTACCTAAGTAAATAGTGTCTTTATTTGAAACCTCTTAAATTTTTTTCAGTGTTGTGGGCATTGATTGCTGTAACTTTTCAGAATTTGAAAATATTAACGCTTGCAGGATTATACACAATGGAATAACACATTAGCTGTTAACAGAGCCCCTATCATAATCATTCCACCCGGAATGCCCACTTATTATTACCCAGTCAACATCGCACTGCTCTTAACCAAAGCAGTTTTGACTTTCAGGGCAGCAAACTTTTTAATAAACTCTCTGACAACATGAGAAATTCTTAAAATGTACATATCTTTAAATCAAAGAACTGCTACAGTATTAGGAATCACACGTTAAAAGGTAAGACCTCGTTAGTCCTTAGCTCGCACAAGTTTCTCAACTTCTGAGAGTTGTCGTTCATATGGGGGCGACAGCTGATTAACGGAAAAACAGATTTTAAACAGACAGACAGTATTAATGAGTTTTATCTGTAATCCAATACTATACGTGTATATATGAAAGAAATATTTATTATTATATTTATGTGGTATACATAAACTGACAATTTTTTTTAACTCAAAACGGGACGTCCATATATAACATACATATGTATGGACTCATTAAAGCACCTTTTAATAATAATAATTCGTCTTTATTATTTCCAATATTAGGTAATTAACAGTTTAATAAAAAAAATGTTTATTACAGGAAACTAAAAGACGAAGTTCAGTTTATTTTCATCTGAGAGCGATAAAAATAACCTGTTCTTCCACTTGACCTCGACAGTGGTTAATGTGAGTAATTATCAAATTATATGCAACATATTATATTTTTAGTCGTATTCATATTTTTCGAAGGAACAAATTTGCTTCAATAAAGATGGTGATGATTTTAAATAAGAGTGAAATTCTTGGCACGTTTTGTTTATATTGATCTTCGTTATCAACATCGCCTTCAGAACTGAAACCTGCAAGTGTTTTTCAGACGTCCACAATTTATTTATTAAAAAAATATTCTCTCTACTGGAGCATTTTTACCAGGTAGACATACCATATATTCAATTAAAATACAAACATTTTCATGTTGCAAATTTTTGGTTCGAAAGTGTTTGAATACTTCCACCCAACAAGTTTCTGTGTGAACTTTAAAATTATTCCGGTCTGTAATTTTTTGTGGACTGATGTAGTTTACAATTAATGAAAATTCGTCAAATACTTCTGTATCTTAGTACTGTCAATATATCCCTTTTCAATCAATACATCCAATGCTTTTTGTACATCTTCCCAGGCAGGTACTTTTTCAGAATCTGACCAATAAAATATCTCCATTTCTCTAGTAAGAAAATTAGTCCATTCTTCCAAATATTCACGACTTGTTTTATTAAATTCTGTAGCTGTTCTTTTCATAAAATCTTCATAAATATCATCTTTCAGTTTTATGATTAAATTACTGATACAGTTTTACCTTTAACCTTCAAAACAGCTTGGCGAAAACTTGCTGACTGAGCTTGTAAAAAACAAAGCCATAATTCAGATGTAGGATCTTCAAAAAAGTCTTTTATTGATTTGGGACATTTTTCAATGCTCAAAAAATTATTCTTTAACGGCTGGTACATTTTCAAAACTCTCTCCAAAGCAGGCATCAGCGTAAGCCAGGGAGATCTGCTGTAGTCGAGCATTTTGTTGATGTTCTATTTCAGCTTCAGCACAAAATTCCTTTAGAGCTTCAACTCCAAACGTTTAAATATAAAAAAATTTATATATTTTTACAATAATGCTTTCGTAATCTAAAGGAAGGCCGTCTGCAGCAGATTTTATAGCATTGTGAAACATATGGGCTCCACATCCGATACCTATCAACGTTTTTTTAGAGATGATTTTAGAAAACGGGACTATTTTACATCCCAGATCATTATTTGGGGACAACGGGACAGATAGTCGAATAAATGGACAGTCCCCTTCAAAACGGGACGTCTGGTCACTTTAAGTATACATCTGTTTATGTTTCATCATATATTTTTTCTACATATTTTTTATTTTATAACATTATCTATTTTAGTATAGTTACATTTCTTTTCAATATTGTACATTGACTTTTTCATTTGCACTTCTGCTCCTGTGGTTATACAGATCAATCTGGGTAAATAGATTATTATTATAGTTAATATTCTTTCTCAAAAATCTTTATATTTTTCCTTGGGTTTTTTAATACTTATAGATGACTTTCGCTACAACGAGAAATTTGTTTTGCTACACAAACTGAACCTATTATTCGAACAATTAAAGTAGACTTACTTGTTTATTGAGTTTTAAATACTGACATCTTCAAAATTTCCCTCGGTTTTATGAATAGGACCTTTCCAGATTTATTTTGAAAATAAACCTCTTGCAGGATACAGATGTTTTCTAGAAGAAACCAGCTGAATAGGTCAGTTGGGGGTTATGCATTCATTTCATTTGAAAAAGAATGCTTTCTAAGAATTACATAGACCATTTATATTTCGTCAAAGTGATTTATTTCGCATATTTGCAAACAAATATTCTTACGTTTATACTTCACAAATAAAGCACACTATAAAAATTAACGGGTTCATTAAAAACTGTCACCACACAAATAGTTAGACCTAATTATTAGATGAACTCTTCTGGTTCTCTTGGTGCGTCTAAATCCCTGTAGTGAATTACAGGCCTGAAATCTCCAGGTGCTCCCCTAAAAATAAAAAAATATGATTCAAAATGATGGTACATTGAATATAAGTGTTTTTATCATGCTCTTAATGAAAATTTCATTATATTTATTGAAGTATGTAAACTAAATTGAAAATCATACCTAGTTCGTGGCTGGTAGCCCCTTGACCTTTGGGGAAAGCCTTGGTTGAAGTATGGAGGAGGCCTTCCGTATCCAGGACCACCATAACCGCCACCACCAAAGCTGTAATGAAGTCAAAAATCAATTATACATGAATTCTAAATAATGAAGGACAATGACATTTTCCTTTATTACGAAGACACCACCTATGGGATTGACGGAGAACTAAATCCTCGAATATCAAAAGTCTTCGCAAAAGGAGATGTCAATCGCCCTTCTTTACTCAGGTTTGTCTTCTACTTGCTACAGGAGAAACTGAATGTGAACAAAAAAAAACTTTCTATTTGGTGTATCACAGGGATCTGTTTTGGGACTGTTCATTCTAGTAACCTCGTTGGGACAAATTAGGCATTTATATCAAAACTACAGGTGCAATTCTGATTTTGTCTAATTATACGAAAATATAAAAAACAACTTGGATTTTGAAAAAGAATTTAAAAATTTGTTAATTTTCCGACATAAATTCAAAGAAAATTAATTTTGACTACATGGGAGTTACAATCGATAAAACTCTCAAATTAAGTTGAAGACTTATTTGAAAAACCAGAAAGTTATTACCAAAATTCAAGTCTCTCTAAATTCTGTATTTTGCATTAATACAATAACAAATGAATTATGGAATTGTCTTGGGAATAAATTGGTAAAAAATTTCACTTAAGAAATTATTATGTTCTGAAGATTTTAACTGAAGCCTTAAGTAATAAGAATTGTTCATATCCAACTGAAAATCTATATACAGTGCATTTTAGTTAAGAAAATTGTGAAATACGTCAACTTTAGTTTCCAAGAGGGCACGTTTTTACAAACAATTCACACATACTCAACACTTCAAAATAATAGTCTCACACAATGTAACACTCACCTGTGACCACCACCATAGCTAGGAGCGTCATCTCTTTTCGTCTGCGGTGCTTCCGCCAGCATAGGTCTTTTCGGATCCCTGAGGTAATTGTTAAAGAACTCGACTTCCTTCCTCACCTCTTCAATCTTTTCCGCATGCTTATTGAATATATGTTTCCGGACAAAGTCTGGGCCTAAAACAAAAAAAAAATATTAGCATTCTTCAAATCCAGTTACAGAAGGAAATTACTTACCTTTAAACTTCTTCCCAGACAACGGACACAACCATTTATCTTTGGCCAATTCTCTTGTATTGGCCTGCACAAACTTGTCAATCTCCGTGTCAACGTCTTTCAAAGCCAAGCCTACAAGCTTGGATTCATTCTTGTCTTTTTCTTCTTTCGGCTTCTCTGGTAAGAAGGCCACCATTTTGGTCTCGATTGGAGCCCCGATAAATTGTGTCATGTCAGTCTAAAAAAGCAAAGGATATGTCATGTTATTATAACTATATTCCAATTGAAATCAGAGTGAAAGTAAACCATTCAAACTTTGTCATAGAAAAACTCCAGACACTTCTGAATTTCAGTAACAATCACATGTTAATCTTTTGTCATGAATATGCATGAATAATAATGTGTTATTGACCTTATTTAATTACTTTTAAGTAGTCTAGTATTTAGAATAATGGCTCAGCAAATATGCAATAGGACTGCTAGAAAAATTGACAAAGATGTGTCAATAGTCTGGAGTAAACTATTTTCCATAACAATAATAATGGAATAAATAATAATAATTGTAATTTATGGAACAAAATTACAATGAGCAATCAATGCTATTATTCTCAATGTAGTTGCAAATGATGTGTTTTCTGTATGAGTAGCTGTTTATGTTGCAATATAGGAGATTAATTATTTTGGACGTTTATGTGCTGGATATTATTGTTTACTGGTTTTGTTGGAGAGATGGAGCCTTCAGATCCAAGATCGAAGATAAGTATGTAAACACGGTGACCGGAAAAGACAGCTGTGGTATCTACATTGAAATTGTTTACAAATCTGTTTCTCAATTTTGAATTAGTTCCTGTCTATCAGTGTTTATCGGATTATTCAGTTCATTGACATATAAGTTGATGATAAAGTCATGAACTGTTAGGGCTTGGTGAAGAAAGTCACTCAACTACTTCTACAAACACTCACCTTTGACGTTGGTGGGGGCCCCCTCGCGTGCAATATACCGCACCTGTTTGGCATCTCATCCTCATTGGGGTAGTCGCAGTGGTTGTAGTAATCAACGGAATGAACAATCCTCAAATAGAGAATAATGCGATCCAAGACAGAAATCAAAGTTTCGTCTCTTTCTACTGTGGAAGTTACATCTTGCGATTCTGAAGTAGGTTCAAGGCCTAGCAGCTCTTCTTCTTCCGCGCTGGCTTCTTCGATTAAGTAATCGGTAATGTTGTGGAGGACTGGGTTGTTGGAGACCAATCCAAAGGTCTGGAAAATGAATCAAAAATACAGTAATTAGAAATTATCAAGTTTATTTTTGTGATTTGTTCACAGAACATGTCAATGTGTACTTGAAAAATAATGCAATTGATGGATATGAGGTCAGATCGAACTATTCATCTGTGAATGATGGTGTACCACAGGGCTCAATTCTGGGACATGTTTTATTTTTGTTGTTTCTCAATGAAATTTCTGACAGTGCTTCTTCATATCTAACAAGAACGATTCCCCACTAGAAAGCGATTGTACTGAAATAGTAAATAATCTATTCACATGGTGCTGTTCAAATAATCTATGTTTCAATGCAAATAAGACTAGCATGATACGAGTTCACACAAGGCAAAGTAATTGTGAAACTTTTGCAATCAAAATTAACAATATGCAAAGCACAAACAGAGACAATGTGAAGTTTCTTGGTGTACATTTGGTAGAGAACCTGGATTAGAAGAAACACTGAAAATTTAATATCAAAATGATCATCAATCGCTTACTTGATCTATAATAATGAGAAGATTTTAAATAAAGGACAACTCATCATGTACTATCAGCCTGAAATTGAATCTCGACTAATATAATATATTTGTTTTTGGGCTAACTCAACTATCTTTCCAAAAATCTGTTTTTCACAAAAACGAATACTATGCTGCATGGCTAGCAAACCTCCAACATTCTCAAGTAGATCGTTGTTCAAGGATTATCAAATTATGTCAGTGTACACCATATATATATACTTTTGAAATGTCTCCATATGTCTATAAACATCAGAACGAATTCACAAACTAATTTTTTCATTGCAAAATTAATACAAGGCAAAAAATGAACTACATGTGCCATTTGACAGACATGAGGTTATTAAGTGTTCACCATATATTAAAATCTTTATTATTAGGAAAAGCATACTATTCATTGGATGAGTTTTTCATAAACCAATAATAGAATAAGATATAAGGTACGTTACTTGAGACATTATGTTTGTTTGTGAACTACACTGAGACTTGACTATTTATTCATATACAATGTAAACTGTCAATGAAAATAAACAAAAAAAAATAGTCGTTAGTATTTATCACCCTTTTTTAGGGGATCTTTTATCAATATATAATGCTCATTTTATAGTTAAGCCTCCCACACATCTTAAAAATGGATATGTATCCTGTATTGACAATCTTTGTGTTATGACAAGACCCCATCAGTTTCTGAAAACTACCCTCAATTCTTGAGAATCAAAACAACACAATCAAAAGTTGGTTCCAAAATGAAACTGGGTGCGAATTTTGTGAAAAAACTATGAAAATTTTCGAAATCAACTCCAGCAAGAAACGTAGGAAAAAGTTCATGATCATGCATGCCCCCATTTAGGTTACGAGGCTTTCTCAGAATTCCTTTAAAATTATTTTGAGCTTGGCTTCGCAAAAAAACTATGATAATTATTGCTACACCCAGCCTGGAACCTACATCCTTCAAGAACTTATGTGTTCAAATACCAAGTGAGATTTTAATTATGAAAACTACTCAGCATATGACATAAATGGATGTAGTAGCTACCTGGTCAAATAGTTTATTTAGTTTAGGCCACAACACCAAAATGAAATTTGTAGGTGAGGCTATGTAGCACTTACCGGTTGAGGTTTCTCCTTATCTTCAGCGTCAAGCCATAAACCGGCTTTATTGTCCAAGTTCAAAGCAACCCTGGCCGATATCCTAATGTCGGAGCGAACGACTTGCTTGTGAGCCGTAATGCCGTTTATCGGTCTGATGCGTCTACTCAGATCTCTGTTGACGATGGCCCCCAGTTCACACTCCCTCAGCCTTATGTTGTTCAGATTCCAACAGATCTCTTTGATGTTCACCTCCCGTTTGAAAGTGACCCACCCACGGCGCAGCCATCTCCTTTCTGGTTGAGGATCGGCCAATGCCACGCGGAGAAAGCCCTCGTACCTATGGAATATTGAACTTTAATGAAGAGCAAATAATAAAGTAATAAATAGTTTATCATTGTGTTTGGGTGTCTTTTTTAGTGGAATATCCCACTTTAGACAAAAACCTGATTATGTTAGTAGATTTGACAGCACTACATACCTAGAGCACATAGCCTCAATTTCTTGTCTCGTAATAGTTGGGGCCAGATTCCTCAAAAATATCGAAGTGGTTTTGTGAAGAGATTTAGGTTTCTCGGGCTTGTTACTGTCATCATCAACAGAATGAATATCGTCTTCCTTCTTTTTCTCTCCTTCTCCCTCTTTTTCGATTTCTTTTTCCTTCTCCTCTTTCTCCCCTTTATTATCTTCATTTTCACTGTCGCTACTACTGCTGGAAGAACCACTGCTACTTCCAGAGTAAGATCTTTTGCGCTTCTTCTCCCTCTCTGAAAACAATATTAAATTATACCTTATATCAAGAATAAACCAGGTATCACTTACTTTTCTGTTTGGGTTCTTCTTCGGGCTTTTTTGCCTCTTCCACAATATCCATCTTTTCTGTTTTATCATCGCCTTCTTCATCTTTTTCCTCTTCTCCCTCCTCAACTTTCTTCTCTTCCTTTTCCTCATCTTTCGTTTCGCCCTCAATCATTCTATCGTCTGCAGATGTATCATCCTTCTTTTCTCCACTTTCATTATCTTTCTCCTTCTTACTCTCTTCACTTATAGCCTTCTCATTATCTTTTTTTTCACTTTCTTCGTTTGGCTCAGAGTCCATGTCCACCTCTCCGTCTTCCTCTTTGTCATCTTTATCATTCTCACTTTTTTCTTTATCGTCTTTATCTTCCTTCTCTGTGTCATCCTCTTTCTCACCCCTATCTTTATCTTTAGTGTTGCCATTTGCCTTTTCAGCTTCTTTATTGTTTGTACCAGGTTCCTCTTTCAAAACAATGGTTTCGCCATCTTTGATCTCCTTGGGTTTGTCGCTGTCAGCATCTTTGGTTTTGAGTTCTCTATATTTTTGTTCCATTTCTGGAAAAGTATAATAACATACAAACCAAAACTAATAACATGTTGAACAATTCCTTCTAAGTTTGTGAAAAATAAATACAATAAAACAAACGACAGGAAGGCAATGGAACTAAGGTGACAAAAACAAAGTAAGCAAAAAAACCAAACTATTAAGTAACTTGCAAATACAAGGAAAACGAGGAATCACAGGTGAAAACAAGATAAAGAAATACTATTGAAGTTGGTTTACAAACTGAGACATTACTTTTTCTGTGACAAATTTGAATATTATGTGAGCACTTGTAATGTAAATGTAGACTTATTTTTAGACTTAGGACTGTAGCGTATTTGTTCACAGGATACATAATTAAGTAAATTGTGTAGTTACATAGTCTCCACAGCTTCTTTCATTACTAACAATCAATAAAAATAATATGGCTTAACTTACCTTCATACTCTTGTTCGAGTAACGCGAGATCTTCATCTGTTCCCCCTTCCAACTTGATAACGACAGTATCTAACAACTTGAGTAGCTCGTTGGTTTTGGCGCAATCTACCGTAACGCCGTCTATCTTTCCTGCCTTTAGCAAGTCTAGAAACACTTCCACCCTCCTCTGTAATGAAAATAGACATTTTTAACTTGCAAAATTTTATAATGAACTAATTAGTTACCTTCAGGGCTGCCTTTTGCTCGGCTTTTCTATTCACCGCTTCCTCCGGATGGTACTTAAGTCTAAACCTAAAAACACAATCATAAAAGAAACAATTAGTGGTGGCTTTTGGTGACGTTGCAGAAATTTTACATTCATTCAGACCATTCACACAAAGCAGGCAAATAGTTTACGAGTGTTGATTAAAGAGACAAATTCTTTTTGCATTCACAGAAACTTTCTGTAACACTTTCTTTTTCTTTACTTCACTAGATTGTTTGATTTTAGCACATCATGATTAACATTTGAGAATTATGCATCAAATTTCAGTTTGAGATGGTTCATATTTCCTGAGAAGTTTGCTTTGTGAACAGTTGAAAAAAAATTAAAATCAGTTCTCACAAGTTGTTCGCAGTATCATTTTTCTACCAGAGTAGAATGTTTGTGTGTAAAATGTATATATACTGAGTGTTTCATTTGATATTCCTAATTTAGGGAAATTTTCTGTAAAACTGGAAATGCTACAAAAACATCTTTGATCCAATCAGTCTATAATGTGATACCATTTGAACCACCAAAATTCCACATGATATACCAGATACACAATTAAAAGAAACTTTTTAACACTTTTTTCAAAATATATAACTTTTGCCTGTGAGAAAACCCTTTGAAAAAATTTGGTTTCCGAATAATTGTTGTTGACTATGCTTTGTTTTTTAAACATTTTTTTACTTTGTCCATGTAACATCCTACTTTTTATTTATATTTTTATAATGCTTGGTCAATAAGAAATCCTTCTTGAGACAAAGTATATTTTGCATTGAAATCAAAGTTATTAGTGATTGAATATATGCAAAATTTTTTAAGGTATTCAGTTTTACAAACTGGCTTTACTCCTTTGGACAGTCCTCCTTTGGAGGCTAAAGTTCTATCAATTCAAGTAACCTGTGACAGTTTTCTATGGAACACAAATATGTTAATTGCAAAACACATTTTACCAACTTAAACAGCTTAGTGAATTCACTATTTGTTCAATGAAAAAGACGATTAATAATTTTGATACCACTCTAGCTGTAGAAAGAAAAATACATAGCAATTATCCATTTCACTCTGCAATTTATAAATCAAAATTGAACGCTGCATTCTTATTTAATTTTTTATATATAATAACATATACTAAACGATTTTCAAACTGAAATAAAATCAACTCGGAAAAATTAAATTGTCTCCTTAAACTTCTCTTCTCCAAACAACCCGATCAGTTTTACAATATCGAAACATAAACCGCGAGCAAACGGAAACAAAACAGAAAAAATCATTCATGCAAGAAAGCGGCCGTAACTACCCACTTACGAAATGTAACCAGAAAAGTTGCGCTCGCTTTCGCCATCCACACAAGTCGTTACAGTCACAAGTTGACTTAGCTCTGCTGTAAATCTCACCTGTTTTGAATTACCCTAAACAATGAACGCGAGAGCTCGTGCATTGCGCGCACGGCCTTTTATCAACGGAAAACAGATAAAATTCCACATATTTGTGTATTTGCATATCATTTAACTTTTCGATTTAAAAAACGCGAATGATTTTCCTTTGTCGGAGCACACAAGTCGCATAATTATATTTTATGAGGACTTCAGCTCGGCTCTCGCTGTGGAGAAAAAGGTGTGTAAAATAACATTGCAATGAAGGGATCGGGGTTGGTAAAGGGGGCATCTAAAAACATAACACTTCTCAAAACTGCCTACAAAATTTGTTAGGCCTGACAAATTTGTTGGTCCTGGTTGAGGTGTATGAATGTTTCAACAATGGTCCGGGGAATGAAAAGCACATTTAACATTTTTGATTGATGTAGGACAAATCTACTGTTTCTGATTTGGCAGAAAGACAGAACATACCCAAGATCTATTGCTCAAACGTTGAAATTACAGATAAAAAATACAGTTTCTATCTAATTCTCGCTCAAAGTATTCAATATTCAAATTTAAGACTAGTTATTAATGAACACAGGTGGAAATTCAAACATTTTGGCTTTCCATTCCCTGTACTTTTCCTGAAAATATATCTGCGAAGAAATTGTACAAATTCAATTTGAAATCGTTTGTTATAGGAGTGTTCTGTTAAAATTATAGAAAAAAGTTTGAATCTTGAACAAAATGTAATATTTTCACCGAACCATGATTTAAAAAGTCATTTTTGGAGGATTATTGCAAAATAAAAAATATAAATTTTGTATTTTGTTTTGATAGCACAGTCAGTTTGTTTTATTGTTATGGTATTTCATTTTATAAAAACTTGGTGTCCTATAAGTCAAAATATAACTTGATAAAAGTAAATGAGTACGAAAATATTGGTGGAAATCGCCAAAAAAATAAATGTGATTTTTGGCTCAAGACTTTTAGATTTTCTTAACAATTTCTTTCGGTTCTTACGAAACTAGTTTTTGAGGAAAATGGGTTTAGTTTCTACAAAGTTTTATCTGAAAGTTGTCATTTACTAGAAAACTGCAAGCAAAATATTCATTGTTTTGCTGCTAAAGACCAAGTCATACAAACCCTGTTGATGGAAACTATGTAGTCCATGTATTTTAACTGCTCTAATTCTAATGTTATTTATTTCCCCAAAAAAGAAAATTTTCATATGAATTTTTAATTTTCAATTTGAAATGTGTTTTACAGTAAAACTACTTTTCCTGGGTTATAATAATACAAGGCACCATACACAGGAACCCACAAGAATTATTGAAAAAATTGCTCCAAAATTTTCTTAAACGTTCATAATTTATTTTGAAAAATAGAAAAATAAATTCAAATAAATGAAGCATCTTATTGAAGTTTCATTGTAGGATTTTCTAACACATCCATACATACAAAAACGGGAATAATAGTAAACCACTTATTAACCAGATCAATGCATTTATCTTCAGGAACATTAAATTCTTATTTGTTTATTTTAGTTATTTAATTTTATAATTAATGTTCAAAGAAACGCTTTTGCAAGATCATCGACAATAGTTACAGTGAGTTTTTGATATGTTATTAAATGTACTATAAATGATTTCTTTTGAATTTTTCATGTTATCTTCAACAGATTTATCAAAATAGTGGCACGTACTGAGAGTGCTTTTACATAGAAGATGATTTGAAGGGACAAAATAATTTATATTATTGCAATTCGACAAATTTCTTAGAAACAGAGATTTCTCTGGAAGATTCTTGGAAACAGAGTTTTCTCTCAAAGAGATTCACTGTTCAACTCCATTAATCAAAACAATTGCTCCAATTCTAATAATAATGTCATTAGTTTTTCTCCAATTACCAATTATATGCATTTCTAGATAAAAAAAACTCTAACCAATATAAAAATCTCAGTTGATCCACGTTTCTACAAAAGATTTCAAACTGAATTCAAAAACTAGACATACACCATCAACTTAAACATGTAAATATCAACCCTACACATACAACTAATCTAGGAGGTACTCGTATAGAAACTTACCATTCATCATCTTTGTGCGCAACGAAAAACTCATTGAGTTGCTGCCTCTGAAACTCCAATTTATAATCATTATATTTCTCGATAGCTTCGCTATCGGAAATGTTATCATCCTGGGTGGCCAGGAAGGCCTTGAAAGACATCATCGGCGGTTGTTGCCCCTCCATCTGGGATGAGGAGGGTTCTCTGAAGAAATAACCTCTTTAAATTAGAAACAGCAAATGTTAGTAAATATGAATGTTAGTTCTCTGTTTTTAACTCAAAACGACATCTGGAGAAAAAAACCATGCATGAAATAAAATAAAATGGTTTTTAGTTGGGTTAGGTTAGATCACAAGAGTTCTACTAGGGGTTAAAACATTTCATTGTTTTTCTAATCAGCTGCAGTATAACATAATAATGAAGAAACTGACTATGAAAAAGTTTTTTTTGTATAATTCCTGTAAACGAAGGAACATTATTGAACAAAACCAATGTTGAACACTTTTTCATAAAATCATCATTCAGAAAATGCATGCTCTAAAAAATTAATTTTTATGTGACACAACTTCTGAAAATATATTTTTCTCATATATACGATATTCATGCAAAATGAACCAGTATGAAATCTGACATTTGAAGTAATGAGAGCAGTTTTACAAATTTCATTCAACAAAAAACTGCTGTGAAAATGAACCTCATTAAACCTCTGCTTATTTTTGCACTTCCAGAAAGGAAGCACCTCGGGGACCAGTTCTTTGGCCACTCTCATTCATCACATACAGAAGGAATCTACTACTAAAACTAAAATCAAATCAAGCGGATGAGAAACGAATTAATTATCATTCAATAATAATATAGTTGAATAATGCTTTTTAGGTTTCAGACCGACTGTAAAATTTCATACCAAGCCTTCATCGCAACAAAATAACCTGAGAAAATCATACCTGTGAGGTTGTTGATGATACGAGCCATAGTGGTTGTAATAATTATCCCCTCCACCACCTCCATAATAGTCATGTCTTATTCTTTTTGGGGTCGGTTCCAAACTGGGAGAGTATCCTCTATCACGTACTCCGCTGCGATATTCTCTTGGCCTTGGTCGAGACCATGAATCCCTAAAGAAATCAATCGATAATTGAAAATGAAAAGACAGGTCATAAATATAAATTATTCGCCGGTTTTTGAAAAATATATCATCATTTTTATCAATGTATCAGTCCACAAAATCTTTGAGAAACTGCCCGGAACTGATATTACGAATATAATACAAAACCATTATACATATTATATAGTAGAAGATTTTTGTAATTCACAGTTTTTACCCAATGGATACAGATCTTATAAATTGTGACTTAAAGAGTCTTATTTACAAAAATAATATTTTAAATGAAATAAATTTAATATGTAAACACTGTTTCTGTTGTTCTATAGAGAGAAAGCGAGATTCATCTATCTAATTAAAAAATAACACAGATTACCCAGAAGGAAACAGATCTTTATAAATATCAAAAGGTTCTTCTTCCATCAATAAATTTCTCTAAGAAGCTTTCTACCAGAATCAAATGAAGCAGATGGTTTGAAAGGAATAGTATTTATTCAATTAAAATTGACACTGACAATGGAAGTTGTCATGAATGAAAAATCAACAACAGCTCAGAAATGAATGTCATACTGAATGAATTCTCAATTGCTCTACTCAAAATGAGAACAATTTATAAATGACTAGTGAGAATAAATTGAAACCATTTCATGGCCGTAGAATGGACATGTCCTGTTATTTTGAATGTGATGGGAATAGCACACTTTCCAGGACTAGAGTTTATTCCCTAATATGTCTGTACAAAAACCACAACTTCACACCAGTAAATAGCTAACCGGGGCAGGTAAACAGGATCTTGATTAGGAATCCTTATAAAGTTCAGATATTTACTAAAGAATAATAATGGTGTATTTACCTTTCGCTCCAGTCATCCCTTGGTCTCGCAACTCTATCTGTGCCTCTGTAACTTGCCTCTGCGCGTTCACCGCGGAATTTATCCCTCCTTTTTCTGTCGTATTCATCATCACTGTCAGCCATTCTTAAAAGTTTTCTGTGATAATAAGAAAACAATTATTAGTAATTAAAGACACTGTGAAGAATTCTCATTGATTGAAATATCTGAAACCCTTTAATTATCAGTATCCAAGCCAGAAAAAAGTCTTTTTAGAAATGAATAAAAAGGTGTGAATGTTTATGAAACCGTTGACCTCTTTTCAATATCTGTGAAAAAAGAAATATTGAGGGCAAATCAATCTGATGGTTTAGGCAAATTATTTCGCTCTATCACTTGACGTATCCACAAAGTAGTTTTTGGATAGTGTTCGATGTATCACTTTATGAATGACATCGACCTAACCTCAAAAACGGTATCACTATTTCAACCAAAGTAAGCTAAAGGTTCTTTACTCCTTGCATCGAGCAGCATGTACTTACTATTAGTCAGAATGCTGCAATATTCCCAATATTTTGTCCACAAAAAATAATATTTCTAAATTTTCAAGGGAACCCAGCAAAAGCAACGCTTAATTTACACGCCCTAGAAATTTCTTCTTCTCTGCTTCTTGTTTAAATTTTCAATGCATCAGCTTTTACGACTATCCAACAACAGTTTTAGCTCTCTCGGAATAGATTTAGTAACATCTCCTTCCTTTTGATCTCAGTGAATGTGGAGTGTCAGAAAGATAATTCAATATTTATACAATTCCGAAAGGTGGGAGTTAGGTAAGAAACTACCTGTAAAAGTGGTTATTCAATCAATGAGAGGTAAAGATAGGTTAATGCTTGCAAGTTAGGTAGTAAGTTGTCTCTGGTAGTAATTTCTCTAAATCACTTTTGTCTTCTGCTGAATTCTCTGAAAATCAAGTTTACCCAAATATGCATTATACATATATCAGTGAGTCTTTTCTTTAACTGAAATAAGCCACTCATACGTGCGATGTTTACAAACTTGTGATAATTCACAACGAACGTTTAACATATAAAATCTTTTAAAAAATGACAATTTTATTCATCCACCGATTATCACCCAAATGACCTAGAGCAGATAAATATGGAATTATACCTATAAAAAGTATATCAGGGTTTGAAATCAATATATATTTTTTCACAAAATTCTTATAATAATTATTATACTTGAATGTAATGAATTAATGTTTCACTTCAGTAAAATCAAGCTTATGAAGCATGTGTATAATCTAAGTCTTGCAACATTGTAAGGTCAACTTTGGCTATCCGCACGACTTTGTTAATAGATCCAATTCAGAAAGTAGAAATATTTGAAATTTATTATCAATCGAATGAATCAAGGAATTATAAAACATACATAATACATGTCATTGTAATATTTTAACTATATTGTCCCCAAATATGGATGTCTGGAATAATTCATTTCAACTTTTCCAAATATATCGCCTCTGGAAATTATTGAAATTTCATTGAAGGTTCAGTTTAGTAAAATTTTAAGAAATCGTAGAGTAATGGAAGAGTTTCACAACCTTTTCAAAGAGATGATGATATATGGTCAGATTAAACTTAGATTAGGTAAAAGAGAGATTAAATCTAATAGTAAATGATAGTCACTCAACCGTGTTCAAAAAACATAAAAAATGACATTACATTCAATTATTGACTATCAGTAAAATAATAAAAGTTTATGTTTTGACCAATTCTATTTGAGTTTGATTTCAACTATTTTAGGGTAACCTGTTCTCAATTTGACGAATTGTAATTTGAAATTATTACAGTCGCTCAATTTAAAGAACCCATACGTCATGCAAAAAAGCTGGTCAAAACTCTAAAGTAGGCATGCTGAATAATTTTTTCTGTATTTTTTAGTCTCGCCACAAACCATTTTCATTCGTGTTCTTTCGTAAACAAAACATGAAGCAACTTTCGAGTAATTGTTATTATTAGAAAAAAATGACAGCTGACAGTCGATAGCAAAATATTCACATGAAAATACGAGTTGCAACAGAGTTGCGAATATTCAGATGAGGATATAAAATTACTGCACATAAATTATACTTTACGGCTTAATGCGCCTAAGCCATTAACATAGAGAGAGAGAGAGATAGAAATCGTACTTTGCTGGGCTAGGGGAAAAAATAAAATTGAAAGCTGAGAAGAAGAAGAAACACGAAGAAGAGAGGAGGTTGGGAATGTATCTAGAATTTTTTTGAAGTTCAATTACGGGCCTGATTCATTTCTTATTTGGATTTCAGTGCTTCTTGAAAAAATTATTCGTGATCATACTTTAGTTTTTGTATATACTTTTCTTTGATGGATCTGTGTTCATTAAAGCCACTAATTGTTTTCTGCAAAACATTAATTTCATCTAGTTCAGTATTCGTACAACAGTATTTGTACAACAAATAATCAAATTCCTGGTCAAATATCAAATGTTTTTCTTTCTTTTTTTGTTAGACAACTTTTATAATGAAATACTTAGCGACTTTTCATTCTGATTTTGTATGTTAATATTTTCATTAATGTTATCGAGGTTGAAACATTGTTTCTCATTGTCGAAATTCGTCCTACATGTGATTTTTCGTGAGAATGTTTCTTTTTTCTCGGTACCTTCGGTTTCCTCGTTTCGATAGATTGCAAACAAGAAAAAAGTTAAGGTACACCAAACCATAAAATATACCAAAAGAATGAAAAATGAGCATCTGTTTTCAGTTTGTAATCTCTAAGTGTGTAGAAGAAATTTTGAAGTTTTTTTTGTGATTCCTAAGCTTTTTTCATTGCCCCAAGTGAAATATTTAAAAAATAATGTTGCAGCATTCCATAATAGTTTATTCTAGTGAACCTTCTTAAATGTGTGAAACGTCATTTTCTAGATTAATATTTAGAGATGAGTATAACACAAGTATATGCATGTAAAGTGGGTACTCTAAGTGAGTATTAAATTTCAAATTAAACTCTAATTTTTTTTAATTATAAAAACTCTACTTTAAATTGTCTCCTTAAACTTCTCTTCTCCAAACAACCCGATCAGTTTTACAATATCGAAACATAAACCGCGAGCAAACGGAAACAAAACAGAAAAAATCATTCATGCAAGAAAGCGGCCGTAACTACCCACTTACGAAATGTAACCAGAAAAGTTGCGCTCGCTTTCGCCATCCACACAAGTCGTTACAGTCACAAGTTGACTTAGCTCTGCTGTAAATCTCACCTGTTTTGAATTACCCTAAACAATGAACGCGAGAGCTCGTGCATTGCGCGCACGGCCTTTTATCAACGGAAAACAGATAAAATTCCACATATTTGTGTATTTGCATATCATTTAACTTTTCGATTTAAAAAACGCGAATGATTTTCCTTTGTCGGAGCACACAAGTCGCATAATTATATTTTATGAGGACTTCAGCTCGGCTCTCGCTGTGGAGAAAAAGGTGTGTAAAATAACATTGCAATGAAGGGATCGGGGTTGGTAAAGGGGGCATCTAAAAACATAACACTTCTCAAAACTGCCTACAAAATTTGTTAGGCCTGACAAATTTGTTGGTCCTGGTTGAGGTGTATGAATGTTTCAACAATGGTCCGGGGAATGAAAAGCACATTTAACATTTTTGATTGATGTAGGACAAATCTACTGTTTCTGATTTGGCAGAAAGACAGAACATACCCAAGATCTATTGCTCAAACGTTGAAATTACAGATAAAAAATACAGTTTCTATCTAATTCTCGCTCAAAGTATTCAATATTCAAATTTAAGACTAGTTATTAATGAACACAGGTGGAAATTCAAACATTTTGGCTTTCCATTCCCTGTACTTTTCCTGAAAATATATCTGCGAAGAAATTGTACAAATTCAATTTGAAATCGTTTGTTATAGGAGTGTTCTGTTAAAATTATAGAAAAAAGTTTGAATCTTGAACAAAATGTAATATTTTCACCGAACCATGATTTAAAAAGTCATTTTTGGAGGATTATTGCAAAATAAAAAATATAAATTTTGTATTTTGTTTTGATAGCACAGTCAGTTTGTTTTATTGTTATGGTATTTCATTTTATAAAAACTTGGTGTCCTATAAGTCAAAATATAACTTGATAAAAGTAAATGAGTACGAAAATATTGGTGGAAATCGCCAAAAAAATAAATGTGATTTTTGGCTCAAGACTTTTAGATTTTCTTAACAATTTCTTTCGGTTCTTACGAAACTAGTTTTTGAGGAAAATGGGTTTAGTTTCTACAAAGTTTTATCTGAAAGTTGTCATTTACTAGAAAACTGCAAGCAAAATATTCATTGTTTTGCTGCTAAAGACCAAGTCATACAAACCCTGTTGATGGAAACTATGTAGTCCATGTATTTTAACTGCTCTAATTCTAATGTTATTTATTTCCCCAAAAAAGAAAATTTTCATATGAATTTTTAATTTTCAATTTGAAATGTGTTTTACAGTAAAACTACTTTTCCTGGGTTATAATAATACAAGGCACCATACACAGGAACCCACAAGAATTATTTCTTTAGCTATCTAGGTGATATTTTGAGCAACATAAAGTCCCAAAAATACTTAATCGATAGATTAAAAAAATATATATTGAAACTGAAAATGAAACGGAATATATTTATTGAAACTAGAAAAATAAGTACATTGCTACAAGAAAACATTTTTTTTCTACAAATCTAAAGAACAACAAAAATAACATATTTCAAATAAAAGTGAATACCATTTAATGGTAATTATTCTTAAATAAGGCAGAGAGCGAGCAAGTAATATGTGATACCGATACTTATGAGAAATTTTGATTTTGAAATTTTATTTGGTTTCTCTTTGGCTTTTTTGAAATTCATCAAAAACGGTTAAATCACAATTCAGTTACTAAGTAAAGCGATATTAATTTCCTTAACCATTTTGACTCTATTAACAAATTTGGACAACTGCTCTTTGGATAAAGGCTGAGTAGAGTACCATAATGGACTATCGGGTGTACAATGTTTTTCCGGCATCAGATACATCAAATCGTACTTATGCTTGACGCTTTCGGGACACTTAGACAGGTAATACTCGTACAATTTCACAGGGCACCTCAAAGGGTTTTCGGAGCATTCTTTTTGCTCGAATATTCTTCCACAATTCCCCCTCCTCGACACAGGATCAGGATAAAGTCTCAGGACCATAGACTTGGAGTTCTTCCGCTGGATTTTCATCACATTACAAAACGAGAGCTTCATATGAGCTTCCACTGTCGACCGAAAATAATACTTGGTATTGAAGTAAACCAAGGTGTTGAGCAAGACGAAGGGAGAGTGACATCCCAACTGCTTCGTTTCCCAGAGGTGTTCCTCCTCTAAGCGCGTAACGATGAAGTGAGACTCGTCGTCGTACAGTGCGCAAAACTTCATCGCCTGTTCGTTCAGGCAATCGGTGAACCTCTCGTAAATATCGTTATAAAATATGTTATCTGATCTACCGTTTTCCTGCAAATAGTGTTGGATTCCCAAGCACAAGTAATAAATAGTGTCGGGGGCGTATTCGTCCCCGTTAGGCTTCCGCAGTTCATTGATGAATAGGCAGAGGGCGTCGCTGAACTCCTCGGGTGACATGGAGAGGATTTCCGACTTGAACGCTTTGGCATTCTTAGAGACGCGCGTTTTCGAGACCCACTGCTTCCAAGCGTTTATGCCCAAGGCGTAGTCGAGGCGCATGTCGGTTGTTTTGCTTAGGGCCTCTTTCTCGACCTGACAGAGCTCCTCAAACCTGCCTTTCTTATCTCCCGCGTAGTCAGTTTCGTTGGGTCTCTTCAACCCATGGGCTTCTTCGGACTTGAAATGCGTGAAGGTATCTGGCAAAGCCCATTCCAAGTCGAAGTTTCTCGCTAGATCCCCCTCGCATATTTCCTCGCTTTCGATGTCCTCTGCTTCGCTACGTGACTCGATGTCACTCTCCGAATCGTTTTCAACTCCGCTCTTTGACAACAAAGCAGCTATATCGAGCAATTCGGCCTCCAGTCGATTGGAAGGCACCTTATTCTTTACATTCAGTATTTCCTTCATCATACCTTTAGCCGAGTTCCGAGTAGTAGGTATAAATACGGGAACAGGGATTGGTATCGGAATGGGCACAGTAGAGGGAACCGGGAGCGCGTACATTGCCATTGGTATCGGGACGTAAATGGGAACGGGAACCGGGAGCAAAGTTCTGTTAACTTCTGTTTGCACCCCCTTTTGTACCTTCTTGGGCAGCGGGGGTGCTACTTGGACGCCTTTGTTTTCTTTTTTTGCATAGCACATAGTGGCTACATTGCGCTGCGTAACGATGCGTTGTTTTAATAGCGTCAGCTTCGGTACTTCGTACTTCTTGAGACAGTTCGTGGAGCAGAAGTGGATGTCCGGTAACTGGCGGGCGTGTCTCGTGACCATCCCGGTGTCGATACTGACAGTTTGGCACCAGGCGCAAGGAGTCAACTTTCTCTTGGTGAAGACGAACACGTTCCTGCAGGTGTTCGAGCAGAGCCTAATCTCTTCGCCGGCGAATATGAACCTGTGTTCCTCTAGCAACTTGCTGGGGTAGTACTTCTTGCACATCGAGCACTGTTCGGCCCCAGTTTGCAGTTGCACGTAGCTATAAGCCGAGAGACACTGCTTGCTGCAGAAGTACTGTGTCTCTGACCTATGCTCTAGCTGTATCGTTAGAGGCTTGGCGCTTTTGCAGACGGTGCAAGTAGTATTGGCGGGAATATTGTAGGTCGCGCATTTTGTCTTTTCCATGAACTTATTGTAGCAGATTTTGGAGCAGAAAATCACATCGTTCAGCAGAAAGTTGAACTGTAACCTCGCGATGATCCAGTCCGTAGAAGAGTTTGCCGGTTTGACGTTTTCGCAGAACGAGCAGATGTTCACGGTAGTCCTATATTTGGCGATGCAATTTTGAGAGCAGAACACGACGAAGCAGTTCTTGAGTCGCTGATAGTATTTCCCGAAGGAGTCTACTTGTACTTTCGCGATGCAACTGGTGCACTGCCAAAGTAAAGTTTTTTGGTATTTCGAAACGCATACTTCGCCGCAAAAGTTCATAAACTCCCAGGAAACGAAGTTTTCTGTGTTGACTTCCTCCATGCAAGCTGTGCATTTTCTTTTTTTGGCGTAGGTGAGGGTTTCGTTATTATTTTCTTCGCTCATTGTTGTGTAGCTGTTTTCGTTCAGATGGGGACGCGCGTCCATATCTGCTCCTATTTTAACAAACACATGAATGAATAACATTGTTTGAAGTAAGATAATCTAAAGCGTCCCTAGAAATTGTAATCTATTCATAGAAAAAATGTATACATTCATTTATATATTTCACCTTCGTAACTTAAATACCAATGAATATGTTTATGTGTCGTAAATCTGTTCATACAGAACCGTTCAAATTCGTGGGGATTTCGCTGACGTTGACGTTATATTCAACTATCTACCATGCTCTACATATACCTTATAATGTCAACTTCCGTCATTTTGACGTCACTTTCTAGTGACGTCACTTCCCATGACCCAAGAATTAGGCCTCTGGAAGTTGTATCACGCGGAAAAATGTCACTGAAAATATTACAGACAGAATAGGATATTAGTGATATCAACATATTTCAGGTACTTGCTGGAGTTTTTGAGAATTTGTAGTACATAAAGACAGTAAGAATTTTTCACAAATAGACAGTGGGCATTCTTGTAGACTGGCTTTTATAAATCAAATCATCTAAAGGAACGATTCGTTCAGGCCAGCCTCGACTCCCTACAATGTAGGTTAATGGGCTGACACCTATCAGAAAACAACTATTCCCCTGGCTAATACCACGAAGGGCAGATATAATCCAACACCCTGACACCTATCAGAAAACAACTACTCCCCTGGCTAATACCACGAAGGCAGGATATAATCCAACACCCTTTGTGGTATTAGCCAGGGGAGTATGGTTGTTTTCTGATAAGTGTCAGTCCATTACCCTACAGTGTAGGAGTGTAGGGAGTTGAAACTGGCCTAAACGAATTGTTCCTTTAGATTGACAGTAAGAATTGCGTCCATCTGAGGACCGTAATAGAATATAATAATTTATTTGATGATCACCAAAATGCCTAAATACTCGAGATTATCAAAAAACATCAATTTTATAAAATTATATTGAAAAATTTGTTATAAAAAGTCTAAATATGCTATGATGAGATTCTGATTGTGCAATGGAAATTGCTATGGTTAAGTGTAAAGAGATTTTCAAATTGTTTGCAAATAAAGAAGATACTGCAAAAATAGAATTTTGAAATGTTCGGTTTTATCCGTATTTCTCCGGAAACAAACTGCTGGAAAGCTTCTTTCGTCGTGTTCGACACCTTGAAGGTGGTCATTTACTAAATGATCAACATGTACCTAATGCCAAATATATTTTGTCAATGAATTCACACATTCTGAACTTTGTAAGATTCCATTTTTTTTTTCAATAACCTTACGTTGTTGGAGAGTATTTTCGTATTTTCATTTATGCAGTTATTATAATTATTTTGCTTCATTGCTTATCGCTATTTCCATCGCCACAATCATTTTATAAAATGCAAGCCCTTTCAGCTGAGAATAAAAAAACTGATCTTCATCATAAATTTTTTGATATTAGACTTTTGTGAGCTCTTGGAAACATGACTTGAACAAAATCCGGGCTATTAGGAAATAATCGTAAAGAAATTGTAGACATCATCAGTAGTCGAAGTCTCAACAATGACCAACAGACTTTTCCACTGTTTCGAACAATACACCATCAGCATTATTCATGTTACCTAACAATTAATATTACAAATACAATAAGTATTTCAGCTCATGTAGTTAGAACACCATATGGGGATTAGATCTTTTCGAAGTTACCAACTTGATGAATCATTTAACATCATAATAAAACCGTAGGAATAGATATAAAACAATTATAAAAATATGTTTTGTCTATTGTAGTAATTTCAATTATGATTTGATCCCATAAATGTTACTAAATTGAAAGGGGTTTATTTTTAGGAGAGATTTGGGATGATGATGACATAAGTAGATTTAACTTATTCATGATATAAAGTCGTGATTTTATGAATGAATTGGGTACTTCATCTTATAATGTTATCCAGACTGGTACTGAAAAGGCAAGTCTGAAACATCGGATGTCTGACATTGAGGATGCCAATCTTCCCTGAAAGTGAAATTTTTAGCTCTTGCATATACTATATTGTGTAGCAATCTTGTGAATGATATCTGATTCAATTCCATTACAAATGTTTGGGAGTACACACTGAATAGGAAATAGTGTTTTTTATATAATTCACTGTTCATATAAAAGTCGTTTTTTCAAAAGTGTTTTTTCCTTTCTGTGATTCAATATTCATATAATAATAATGATAATTTTTATTTGCATTCAATTACATGGTTCAATATAAACATAAAAATATTTCTGAAAGGATGACAAAACAAAAAAAGTATATATACATATAAAAAATAATATATTTTATTTTATTGTAAATATATGGGGGACATTGTTTATTGATTACTGCATGGTTTAAAATTAAGTTTTTGACGATCTTGCATTTTTAACCACTTTGCGAATCTTGGATCATATTTGCGAATACCGTAGATCAATCTGAGACATGATTTCTGTATTTTTTTTATACGATTGATATCGTTATGATCTAAGCATGGTCCATACAGAACGTCACAAAAGTTGGTGACTCAGGACAAGTGTATCACTTAACGTTCTTTTACGTGATTATGAAGGAACATGTCTGTGAGGGTATATCATTTTCAATGAACAATAAGCCTTTCGAAGACGAGAGTTAATATGTTTTCTAAATCGAAGTTCTGTATCTAAGTGTAAACCCAAATTCCTTGCATCACTTGTAAACAGTAACTCTTCATTTTGAATTTTAATTCTCATAATGGTTTCAGGTTGATGTTTGTTATTTCCAAATATCATTACTTTAGACTTGACTGCGTTGATTTTCAACTTATGCGCATGTGATACCTCTACTAATCGGTTTATATCTTCAGATATAACTTTTTGAGTCTCAAACCAATCTTCTGGAGCAAATGAGTGATATAATTGTGTATCATCAGCATAAAAGTGAACTTTACAAGTTGTAATGCTTGAAATGAAATAACTTCTGTATATACTAAATAGTACGGGGCCAAGTATAGACCCTTGTGGAACTCCACAAGTGACCTTTTCTCTTGCTTACTGACCCACAGCTGTCTCCACGTATGACTCCTGTCCTGTAGATAATTACGCATAGGACTAATAGCACTGTCCGAAAAACCTATGAAGTGTAAAATAGAGAGTAAAATTTCGTGGTTTATCGTATCAAATGTTTTTGAATAATCTAAGAGAATAAGAACAGTTGTTTTTCCTCCATCTGTCCCTCTAATAATATCGTCAACAATGTTAAGTAAGGCTGTAGCACAACTGTGTCACGGTTTGAACCCTGATTGTTCAGAAGGCAACATAGTATATTTTTCAAGATGATGTCTTATTTGAAAGTTGATGATTTTTTCAATTACCTTCGACAGACATGGTAGTATACAAACCGGGCGGAGGTCATTGTAACTCATTACATCACTTTTCTTAGGCAATGCAATTATCCGTGACACTTTCCAGATATCAGGAAAAATACCTTCCAGTAAACAAGAATTGACATTACTAGTTAGGACCAGTAGCTAGTGATTTCAACTCTAGCAGGCATTTATGAAATTCTTCGACAGTAACTGTTGAAAAATGAAAGAGTTCCCCAAAAACAGCAAATGAAAGCATCTGTTTCGAGATGGTTTTTTCTTCCAGTTTGTGTCTGGAAGTTACTTCTTTGCATGATCTACACTCTGCACAACTTTGTAGTTTATTTTAAAAATAATTACTTTTTTACTTTCTTTGGAATATTCCCACGTTTTTTTATATAAAGATGGATAAGTAGAAAGCCAAAACCTTTACAATTACAATTTAATACTCAGTTGAATATTATTCTACACAAACCACTGTAATTCAGTGTGGCAGTATTTTTTCTTAATTCGTCAGGTTTTTATGAATTGTGTCAGAAGAGAATTCTTTATTGTAATTCATTCCTTGTGGGCTTGTAGAACTCATGAGGTGATAACTTCAAGTTTCTGTGGCTTCCCTGTTTATTCTTAACCTCATTAATCTTATTTGGAATTTCTTTAAAGGAATAAAATCAGTACATATTAAAATCTAATAGCAAATTGCATGAAAATAACAATCCTGTGATTCATACAAAACAATTTGGTCATACTTAAGACATGTCTGTTGACACAATTGACACCTTATTTCGAAAGTAAACCAGGCTCATTCAATAATATAAATTATGCCTAACAACCACTTAGTACATACAATAATTTAACAATATCACATGATAAATAGTCAACTGCCTCTTTTGATATATATTCTAAGCTGTTTTACAAAGAAATGAGCCTTCTAGGAATAGATCAATCTATTGAATGAAGACTACATTTTGCCACTAACACAAATGTTATTATTACTAATAAAAGAAATAAGGTTGTAGCAATTGACTGCAATTTTGTTTACTGCATCATTAAAAAAATTATTTGAGAAAGAATCAGTTTTGTATTACTAACTACATGCCAAATGATAATTCCTTCTAAACTATTACTGAATTTGTAATTTTCAAGATAATTATCAATGCTGGTGATTGTTTAGCATCTATGAACGAAACATTGCTTACTCACAAGTAAATCGAAAAGTATTTATATGAATGTTATGAATTTTCAGCCAATTTCTAGAAATATCATTGCTATTGAGCAAAACATATGCATTTCTTCAAAATAACATCTGGACCTCGAGCTTTTGATAATTAATTTCAAAAATTAGATATTTTCGAAAAAGAATTGTTGTTGACTCATTGATATATTTAATACACTTGTTATATGAAGTGTGGTAGTTTTCAGAATGATACAATAATTCTAGATCAAGAGTTCAGATGAGAAGAGAATTTTTTATAGTTAGGAGGTCTATTTCTTCCAAGTCTCCGGAAAATAATGTAGCCATGGGCTCAATGCGTTTTTCTCCCATCTACTAGTTTCTACAGGTCCTTCATTGTTTGTCATATTCTTCTGAACATCATTTGGGTTGCACATGTATTGCTTGCCTGCTGTGAATCAGAGCCTCAGCTGAGGTCATTGTGATGGAGTCCTATTTTGTTTAGGTATCCTCTAAATTGGCAATGTCCAGTGAGTACCCCTTTAATTATTCTGGGTCAACCCCTGCTGTGCTGAAGAAGCCCCTAATGAAGATTTTTCCTGGGTGTATTCCCAGTACTCTTCAGGTTTCTTGTGTTTTTTATTGACCAATTTGCTGAGCAATTACCCCCTCAGCTGGTTCAAGACTTATAGAGTTGATGATCTATATCTAACACACTCAACTGCTTTTTGATGAGGGATGTTGAACTGCTGAAGTACAAATTACTTGGCAATAATTTTCAGCAAAAAAAAGGAACTCAAGAAAGTATGAGGTATTTATGTAGAACAAGAAATTGAAAATTTAGTTGAAGCTGAAAATTGAAGTGTATTTTATAAATGTTCCTATAGGTGAGTATTTGCTACTGGTACTCTTATCATATGAAGTGACTCAAGATGATTCATGAATAATTCCCTTCAAGATATTTGGGGAAAAAATTCACAGCACTTGTTACAAAACTATTTCCCAATTTATTTTTGTGATCAAATGAAAATGATATGTACTTGGACTGATTGAATTACAAATGTTAAAAAAAATGTAACAAATCGGACATTTTAAACTGAAGTCGTTCAGAATAAACATAAATTGTTAAATGAATCGTTCATTCAAATGTAGATATTCTCCTCGCATTATCACCGGTAAATTCCAAAACTCACCTGCAGAAAGTGCGTTACAAGATCGGTTCAGAAAACTAACTTGGGAAACACTTGAAATTAGTTACAAGTAAAACACCTCCCTAACTAGCATTTCAAAACGCTTTCCCTTCAGTTGATTTCCCACTCTTTTGTTTGAAGTTGACATATGTCATATATCAGTGTTGCCAATGTATGAAAAAGAAAATTAAAATTAGTTCTGTAGTATTGAATTTTACCACAAGATGCAGAGTTCCAAGCTGGTGTCGTGATAATGATTCGATGAAAATTGTAAACAACTGCTTCGTCAAACTGTTTTTTCCTTCATTCAAACGCCTTTCATAAGGATCGCCCAAATCGGTGAAACCATCTCTATGAATAACATACATAATGATATTGGTGTTAATATGGTTGATACATTTATATATATTTATATGATCGTGCTATTGTGCCTAACTTTCTTTTCTTGTTATGAATCGAAAATTGAAAATTAAAAATGTTTCGTGTTGTTACTGTTAAGATCCATGGATGGTTATTACAAAGCCTAGGTCGCCATATTCAAAGAAGAAATAGAAGTTTTCTTGGTTAAGTTACATTCCCAAGTTTATTTATTAGGTTATCATTCTTGTTTATTTCAATTTTCGTATTATTTTACACTTAAGAAATGCCTAAATTGAGAAAACAAAGGCGTAGGAAAGTCTACAGACATAATGTTAATAGAAAGAGACTGCGGAATAAAATTTTTGATGCAGGAAAAATAGAATGGTGAGTAAAAATGGTTCTAAACCCATGCATGCATTCCTTCCATTTTATCTGTTATTACCTGATTCAGTTATCAATCTTTGAAAAATTAAAATGTGAAATAAAGATGGAAACAATTTTACTCTAATTTTACATTTTGTTGTAAAATTTTTGGTGAAAGAAAACTAACACTTGATCTTGTTTTCAGTCAAGAGGTCAAAAATGCTTGGGAAAAACAAAAATCCGTCCAAACTAACCTCAAGCAAATGGGTTTATCATATGACCCTAATCAAACTATCAAAATTCCCAACAAAAAGAAGGAGCTCATATGCTTGGGTGGAGGAACAGAAAATTGGGATAGAACATCAGTTGAAGAACCTATAGTATTATCGAAAAGTTATGTTGCTGAATCTTTGGAAAATGATGCGAAAGCTCCTAGGGAAAGAAGATTCAATTTACCGAAGGGGCAATTAGAGCGCCTTTCATATTTGATGAAAGCTTATGGAAACGACTATAAGGCAATGGAACGAGACAAAAAGAATTATAATCAAGAGACTTGGAAGCAGATACGACAAAAAATTAAAAGGTTCATAAGCATAGCGGAAAAAAATAATAAATATTTAGATGGAATAGATTTAAGTTTGTATGAATTTAGCAATAGTGTATCAGATGATGAAATGTAGAAAATAAAATTTTGAAATGAGAGTGACAACAAGAAATGATGAATTTTTCGAAGTCATATATAAAGATGTTGAATTATTCAGTTTTTCCTGGAAGAGATGTTTCTAACCAAAAATCTAACAAAATATGTATAATAGTATATTTGAACAGACCTCATTGTATCTTCCTTGAGTTTTTTGTAAATAATCTTAATTTTCATCATCTAGTTGAACTGAATGTTCTATATTGAACGTTAGATTGAATAAATATTGGGTATTTTCACATGATATTTCATGGTTCACAATATATTCCACAGCAAGATTCTCTAACATTATAACATAAAATACCTGCTCTTTTTCAAGTGATTGCTTTCTTAAGATTTTTCGTATAGTATGAAAACGCTTAAATGAAACACGTGTTGCGGTTTTGTAAACTGTTCAATGAAAGTCTCAGTGAATATTACAATATGTAAAAAATATTATTCTGGGTACACCACAAAAAAGCGAAAAGCTATGGACTTTAAGTACATGTCACCAATTTCATTCAACCGGTAAAATATGCAAATGTCTGTTATGTCAATAACTGTTGTATGATTTTATCATAAAATAAATATTACCATTATATTCAGAAGTTTTTTTTTCAGAGCAGCTTCCATTGCCTGAAATTTGTAAACGTACCTCTCATTTTTCAGCTTTTGGTACTTTTTATCGAAGCCATCTTCAACCAAACTAGCGCCTTCAACAGCGGCAAGTTATTTTCACCTCAATACAAAAAAAAAAGAAGAAGAATACCCGCTTGTTAATTTTTTTAACGTTCATTATTTTTGAACTGTTTATGTTTATATATTTGTTATATTGGAAAAAAAAACCACATAACATATTTGTATATGATGTTTAAATAATACATCTGATTAATAAAAACGTTGGTTCCTCATAATTTTTCGAATTGTGCAATAATAATTACAAAATATCAGTATTCATCTCACGGAAGCCGAATTCAGAGGGTAATATCCTGTTGCAATAGTTATGGATCATTTTTTTCAAACAAAACATATTACAAATTGATTTCAAAATCGTCAAATCAAGCAGAACAATGATTTCTCTATTTAAAAGAATATTTCAAATCTCGTCTACTTTAAAGTTTCAGTTGTCGAACATTTACTTAAACCATTACCATCATGATTGAAAAGAATCCAAAACGAAAGAGCCAAGCACCCATTGAACCTGAAATTGAAGATAATGAATCGGAGGAAGAAGTGAATTTGTCGGATGATGAAGGAACATTTGTAGACGGCATCCGAATCCCTCCAGCCACAAAACCTACTTGTTCTTTTGATCCAACTGGCCCTCGACTCATCATCACCAAAATTTCGAATGATTTCTTCAAGAGTTATGCTGAAGAGCAGGTTTTGGGTCCCTTTCATAAGGTACTTGTTATTAATGTTGGATTGTCTATTATCACTAGAAGTGTTTCTCTAATATCCAATTGTGTTCATTTACCTTGTTATAGAAAAATTGATTATTTCTCCTTACATATTTATAATAAAAAGGGAATAGCAGGGACATAGTATTATTTTCACAAAAAAGGGGTTACATTTTTTCCCTTCCACATTTGAATTTGTTATAACCATCAGGTGCTTTGTATTTTTGTTTCACAAACCTTCAATGCATTTTTTTGTTACTGCATTTTTGTAAAAGAAATTACCTATTAAATAAAAGAAAGTCATTGTTAATATTATTTTTTCAGTGCTTCAATGCCATTGTGGGACCCAACGGCAGTGGTAAAAGTAATGTTATTGACTCCATGCTTTTTGTCTTTGGCTATAGAGCTACCAAAATAAGATCGAAAAAAGTGTCTGTCTTACTGCATAATTCAGATAAATACCAAAATGTCAGGTCTTGCACTGTGTCTGTTCACTTTGCCCTAATTATAGACAAGGTAAGTGAGATTTTCATGAAAACACTTGAACAAAAAATTTTAGAATCCATTATCACAATGATATTAAGTTGAATCAGTTTGTTTTTCTAATTGTTGGAGAATTCTTGATAGAATGATGCTATTCCTACTTCAGAACCTAAAGATAATACGGTCTCAATAGAAAACTTGGTCAAAACTTGTTATACTTTGGATTACTCGAGTTGCATAATTCTCGGATCTCTTGGTCACTTACCTCTCAGTGTGGGGGAATGATCATTAGGCCCAAACTGCAAACCTTTTTAATAAAAAGGTCGAGAGAAGATTATAAAAAAGAATATGGGAAAGGTTGATATAAGAAACAATAATTTCGAGAACTTGAGTCTGTTCAGATATTCCAATTCTACCTACTGTATTTCTCCGAGGAAATTCCTTCACTCAATTTGGCTACAGTTCTAAGAGCATTTTCTAAATGTTTTGATTGAAAGTTCTGTAAATAGAAAAATATATTTCGAATAAATTGTACTCAGTTAAAGGAACAGAAACATTACAATTTTTAGTGTACATATGTATATGTACATATGTATACATAAGTATACAATCACTTCATATTAAGATATAATCACATCTGAACCAGAATATTTCATGTAATGTTTAGTGTTTTAGCTAACATATTTTGATGAAAGGATATCAGTCATCTGGGAAATTTTGAAGGTAGATATGTAAAACATTTCAGGCTGGAGATGAATATGAAATCGTACCAGGTAGTGAATTTGTTGTTTCACGTACAGCCAATAAAGATAACTCATCTTACTACACTCTGGATGGTCGAAAAGTTCAATTCAAAGAAGTTGGAAGTTTGCTCAAACGGCACGGTATAGATCTCGATCACAACAGATTCCTTATTCTTCAGGTGAGACATGTATTAAGTGTGAGAATTTTTGAACCATGGTTGCATTAGTTTTGACTCATTCCGTGAATGTATTCATTATTGCAGGGAGAAGTAGAACAAATTGCGATGATGAAGTGCAAGGGGGAAGGAGAACATGAGTCAGGAATGTTGGAATATTTGGAAGATATTATCGGAACAACACGTTTCAAGGTAAACATATTAGTGATGGTGTCTGCTGATGCAGACACCCTGTGGATTTTTATCATTATTATTATGGAGTATGGTTGGTTGAAATCAACACCTTCTGTAACATTTTTGTAGAAACCTCTCGTGAAAGTTCAAGAAAGAGTAGACTACTTAACCGAACATAGAACCGAAAAATTAAATCGACTCCAACTGGTCGAAAAGGAACTGAACGAATTGAAAACCCCTATGGAGGAAGCAGTGGGTTTCCTGAAAACAGAAAACACTGTCATCAACAGCAAAAATTTCCTTTTCCAGAAAAACGTGTAAGTACAAAGAAACTTTATGAAAAACATACTAGATAATGAATATTCCGAAGTAAAATCTCAAACTACCTACACTACTCCACTACTAAACCACTACTTCCCTGGCTAATACCGCGCTGGATATTGAATGGTATCTGACAGACATTTATGCAAGATACCTTACAGAGCTTAGTCTCGCAGATGTTTCTTGTTCATTCAACAGCACGAACATGATGAAATTATTCGAGTAGATGTATTACCTGTCATCAGTGCAGGAAAGATCCGATCGCAACAGCAAATTGCTTGGGACTCGATTAATTTCAACGTGGTTTGACTGCATCTATGAAACCTTTGTCTAAGAGAAAGATTGTTAACTAGTAACAGCTCCATCTCATGGACAAAGCCCCAAGCAGGGAAAAAACATCCCATACACTAATATTCTAACAGAGATCAAACTCTGAAGACTGTATCAAGGAGAGATACGTACTTATGTATCTCTCCTTGATAAAAATCAATTGTCAAGTACTTTGATATGACCGCAAGGGATTACTGTACAAGTTTTTTTCAGATATGATATCGAAAGAAAAATAGAGAAAGTGGAAGAATCCAGAAAAGAGGTTTTAGAAATCCAAAAGGGATTTGAGGAAAACATGGAAAAATTAAACAAGGAGAAGCACGACAAAGAAAAGATACTGAAACAAGAATCTGAGTAAATTAAACTTGCCCTCACAGCTGCGGTGTATTTTTTCATTGACGTTCTTTTTCAGAAAATATGAGAAGTTGCAAAACAGGAAAGACACTCTCACGGAGGCTTTCAATAAAGCGAATAATAAAGATATTCAACTTCAGGAATCAATGACTCAGACGAACACCACTCGAAAGAAAACGAAGGAGCTCATCGTTGAGGAAAAGAAAAAACTGGAGAAGTTAGGAAAAGTTCCTGAAGAAAGTAAAAAGGTATGCACGTTTAATTAAAATGAATATTTCAAGTTTCATTAAAGAATTATATAACTTCCTTCGTTCCCTGTTCGAGAAGTAGTTAGCATAGAAGTAGTTGAATACATCTGACATTTTACCAAGCTCAAGTTGCATTTAGTTTATGCCTTTGGTATTCTTTTACATTGTGGATTCATTTCAGCATAGGAACTGACTTATTTGTCCATTCACAAATAATCATTATTGTGATTGTACTTATTTTGGAATTATGTATCTTTATTTTAAAAAATATGTTTTTCTACAAGGATCAAGAATATGCCCTATATGTATGTACAAAATGAAAACTTCCACCATATTTTTTTAATATTTCAAGAGATATCTCATACCCAGGGTTAATTATTTTTAATAATCTTCCACATACCTTCAGGAAAGTTTCATGCTTGAATTATTTCAAATACTTCATTTTTCCACGACTTGTTTCTTCAAACACTCCAGTAACTCTACCTTTTCAAGATAGTTCATTAATATTATACCATGCGCATCCCAAAATACTGATACAATAATAATATTTATTGATTTCTTTAGGACATCCTAATATACATACATCATTTTAAAAATATATAAATAAATGACATAAATAACAAAAATGATGATATAATAGAAGAAAAAATAATAATAAAAACCATTTTTCATGATTCCAGAATGGTTTCAACATGAGGATATACATAATAAATATATTACCAAACAGAAAAAAGAAAATCAAGTATGTTAGTTTATATAGAAAACATTTATTGAATCTTTCAACGAAAGTGGGAGTTTGTTATACTCATCCAAACCTTTATAAAGTAAAGACTTCATCGTACTAGTCAAATTAGTTCGAGGAAGGTGGAATTTTTGGGAGCTACTTGCTCTTGTTAAGTGGTTATTGATTTGAGATTTATATATACAAATTCTTAAAAATAAGTTGGAAGCAAGTTATGTGTTAGTTTGAAAGTGAATATCATTGCTAACTCGTACAGTCTCCGGGAAACAGACAGCCACTGCAATGTACTTAACATGTTTGACATACTAGAATACCTATTCACTTGTAAAATAATTCTCATTCCACAATTCTGTAACTTTTGTAAAGCCGATACCTTATTTTGGTCAAATGAGTACAAAAGACTAGCACAATAATCAAAATGGGGTTGGATTATACAATTATATAATGTAATTTTTGAGTACATCGAAAGCTGAGATGAAATTCTTGAGAAAAAATATATTTTTTTAGTAATTTTTCTTTATATATAATCAAAATGAGCATGAAGAGATAACCGATTATCCACCATGAAACCTAAGTATTTGAATTCACTTACGAACTCTATTACATCACCTGCAATTTGTAATCTTATGTTGAGATTGTTAATGAGTGATAGCTTATAACCAGTTGATAAAATCATATATTTTCTTTTGGAGGTGTTCAGTTTTAGTTTATTGCTATTCATGTACTTGAAAACATTTCTTACTTCATTATTCATTTGATCAGCTACTATTTCTATATTATCTCCTGAAATTGATAACAAAGTGTCGTCTGCAAAAAGGTTCATGAAATCACAACCATGAATGGTATCTATATCATTCAGGTAGATTGAAAATAATATAGGTCCCAAAACCCTCCCTTGAGGTACCCCGAAAATGACATCGCGATATGATGACACTGAATCCTTTATTTTGGTTACCTGTATGCATTGTGATAAATAATCCGTCAGCCATAACAAAACAGTTTCCCTGAAACCAATACTTTGCAGTTTATTTAGTAATATGTGGTGATCAATTGTGTCATAACCTTGCCAGCCGACTGTTGTGTCTTTGCACACTTTGGAGTCGGTTTACCACGTGCAGTCCACACAATTGACGATCGTTTCGATTCTGGTGTGAAATAATGGAGCCATGTATTATGCATTATTACATATCGGGTTTTTTTGGAGAATTAGCTTCAAACACTGCTCAGAATCATCAATTCATTGTGTTTTTTTTTTGTTCGATTGTGATCTTGCTCAGCACCCTCTTTGAACAGAGCTTCGCACATCTAAATATGTTCTGTCCCATTAACTAATAGTCCGATAGCTGTGAAATTTGTACACGTGTCTTTTGAAGGTTAGGGTTAACTGAAAATAATATGGTTTTAATACTAGTAGCGCCATCTGTGTGTTAACCTACGAACTTTTAGGCCAATCTAGTAGGGTCACAGAAGAGGTTATTAATCATATATAAATTTTAGTCACCATCTCAACTCATGGACATTAGAAAATCAGAGAGTAATTGATGAAATGTGCTTTTTATCTTATTTTTCCATGCCAAATCAAAATACTATTCTCGACACTCGAAACAAATACCGAGAGTTGGTATTATGTTCTGGTGCAGCAAAAATGTTTTTAATAGACTCATGTTACAGAGGTTTTCATTCAATTTGAATGTGTATAGATAAGGTAGAGTCAGCAATGGGATTTTTAAAAAACAATGTTACGTAACCCAATTATCGATCCTTTAAAAAAGAGCAATTTTATCAATGATTTCTTTATCGACTCTTTCAAAACAAATGTACCAAACTACGATAAAAAAAATCAAGAAAACCAAATCAAGCTTTTTTTTATCACCAACGACGCCTGATGAAATTTTAAGAATGCTGTCAAAAACTGCATCAAAACCCGCAGCTGGTTTAGATGAAATAAATGGTAAAATGGGGCATTTCCAGATTTGAAAGTGTCCAAATGCATACCAGTTTTCAAAAGTAAAGGCTCAAAAGATGATTTGAAATGTTACCGATCTAGATGTGTGCAAAGCCAAATTGCTAAGCTTTTTGAATCAGCCTACTCTACCAGACTAATAAACTATCTAGAACACTTTGAGCTACTTTCTAATACTCAACATGGTTTCAGAAACAATAAATCAACAAAAACAGCTACTCTGGATTGCATTGGTTTTATTTACGGTGCTCTGAACAATAAAAATCATGTTCTTAGATTATTTTATGACTTCAGTCGTGCTTTTGACACAATTGATCATAAGCTATTGCTCATGAAACTAGATGGCATTGGTGTCAGGGGGGTTGCACATGACTGGGCTACATCATATCTTATGAATAGAGAACAGGTCACTGGTAGATGGCGTGAGATCAAACGCGAGAGAAATACATCTAGGTGTACCCCAGGGATCCATTCTGGGACCGCTATTCATTATTTTTATAAATGACATTAAAGGTACCTGCACTACGTCAAATCAGATAATTGTCTATGCAGATGACACAAAAATACTTATGTCAAATAAAAATACTGAACAACTAGTAAAAAAGAGTAATGTGGCCTCTAAAGAAATAAGTAACTACTGCTTAAATAACGGTCTCACGATGAATGTCGCCAAAACTTACCACATGCGTTTTCTGCCAAAAAATGTTGCACCCAATTCTGAGCTATACCTGGTAGTCTCTGCCAGTTCCATCCAGAGTAAAAAAACAATAAAATTTCTGAGTCTCACTTTGGATCAGAAACTAACATGGGAAGCACACATACAAACATTGTGTTCAAAAATGAGCACTTCCTGTTATATAATAAGAAACTTAAGAGAAAATGTTTCACATGACGTTTTAAGAACACTTTATTTTGGGTTAGTTCAGTCAGCCCTACAGTATGGACTGATCTTCTGAGGTTCTCCCTGTCATTTTAAGGAGGCATTCCTTGCACAAAAGAAGGTATTGAGGACTATATTTAAAGCACATCCAAGTTCAACCTGCAAACCTCTATTTAAACAATTACAAATAATGACGCTGCCTTGTCTTTATATATCTCAGTTATAATGTTTGTAAAGGAAAATGAAATAGAGTTTAAAAAAAATCGTGATGTTCACTCGTATTTAACTAGAAATAGAGAAAATTTTTACCAGCCTTATTCTAGACTTGGAGTATGCCAAAATTCACCGAATTATATGGGTATCAAATGTTTTAACAAAGTAAAGAGCTTTATTGACAATAATAACAACATTAATATTTTCAAGAAAAATTTAATTGATATTTAATTGATAACTTTCTGTGAAAGGGAATTGAAGAATGTGAGGCAAAAATAGAAGAGGTATCTTCAAAGAAGGAGAAATATGAAGAGGAAAAAACAAAATTGTTGACCAATTTACGAACCGAAACTAAATCCCTGCAAGACAAAAAAGAGGAAATACAGAACAAATTGGTAGTGTTGAAAAAATCTGTCGACGAAACTAAGTCAGCGGTATTTCCTTCATAACCGTATAAGTGTCTATTTTTATTATCGATGCATAATTTTTCTAGTTCACTCTTGCCGAATCGGAACTGAAAATCTACGTCAGCAACGAAGAAAACGAGAGAACGAAACTTGAGAACTTGAAGAAAGAATACGACTCTTCCAAGTCGACTATAGAAGAACGACTGAAGCAAGTCAGCTCGTTGAAAAAAAAGATTCCTGCTACCGAAAAATCACTCAAAGACGCCACGGAAGAACTGAACACCGTCAAATATCAGGAAGCGCAAATCATCAACGAAGTGCGAAGAAGCAGGGCCAGCCTCGAAGAAAAGAAGAACTCCATGCAAGCTTCCAGGTCAAGAGGTAAGGTTTTGGATAGACTGATGCAGCAAAAGAATGAAGGAAAGTGTCCCGGATTGTATGGACGGTTGGTAAGTATTTTTTTTATTATTCCTTCCACAAGCTTAATTTGTTTTTATTTATCCTGAATAGGGTGATTTGGGTGCAATCGACCAAAAATATGACATCGCCATATCCACTGCTTGCGGACCGCTGGACAACATCGTTGTTGACTCTGTCAGTACAGCTCAGTGGTGCATAGAATTTCTGAAGAAGTACGATCTTGGCAGGGCGACATTCATCGCTTTGGATAAGCAGGAACATTTGCGAAGTCAGGCTTCCTCCAAAATCAGCACGTGAGTTTAATTCTTCTCGTGAATGATTAACAACTAGTTCTTTGGATAATACATGATGGGTATTGAACACTGATAAGTATCTCTCAAAGATTTCCCTACTGAGATACTCAGACAAATGTCTGTTGAATGAAACAAAAATCCGTTGTGGTATTAGCCAGGGAGGTAGTTGTTTTCCTGTAGATATTTTCTGAATCCCGCCGTGTAGGAAAGCTGAGCAGATGACTGTCTCACATATCTTTTGGAATATCAATTTCTGAAATAATATAATTTATTTTTTACAGGTAACAGTTCATCTAAACCAGCAAACCTGTTGTTTTTCAGTAATATTCAGTTAACACAGTAAAACAAATGGAAACAGTGTCAATATTTTTAGTTGGTTAACCTTTCACCTCAGACATTTTTTGTTATATCCCACTGCTGACACCAAATAAGTGATGATTCCAAGAAAGCTATTTTGTCATCAAATTATGCTACGTTTTAGGTCCTTGTTCTTGCAGAATCAACTGTATTGCAGATGGTGATTTATACTGATGGGCATACTACCAAGACAAATTTGTGCAAGCAGTCTATTCTGATAGAGCTGCATTACCAAAAGTTGAACGAAGCTATTCTATTCATTCTTTACTTTTTTCAAACTCACACTTCTAATTATACATGTTGTCAATATCTATTCTGCTTTTCCAGGATAATAAAAGGCGAACTTTTCGAATATCGTAATGCCACATTTCTATAGCGCCACCTAACGGTAGTTTGCGAAAACATAAAAGTCAACCATCATATTTGAAATCTAGTTTGACCTGAAAATGTATTGATGGCAGCTTAGTCGGAGTTATTTCACGAGAGTTCTCTGATATATCCCACATTGTTTTATTTGTGGTCATTTATTCTCCAACCACTGACGTGACTTCTTCAAACTTTCATTTGACTTTTGTCTTGAGGATGCTGTGGATTGTCTTTTACTATTTCAAAACATAGTAGAAATTAGACAAAAATTATTTTCTTCATCCTATATTCTTTCAATATCTTATGGGGTTCTGATATTTCATTATTATTATTTACCATTTAATAAATTTTGTTGTAAGTTACATTTGTTTAATAATCACCCGTCAACTTTTTTTTTCCTAAAGCGATCTAAAAAAAAATTATTGCCATTTTTAAAAATATCCCTAGACTTTTCCAATGTGTGTATATATAATTTGTGAAATATTACCATCTACCTAGAAACTAATAATATTCTAGGAACTAATTGATGACAGTTATACCTGAGTTTAACGAACATTTATACCTGAGTTTAATGACTAGGTCAACTAATTATCTCACAATAAAGTGTGAATGTGATGAAAATCTATGATAATGTATTTTGAAAAACAAGTATCAACCAACTATATCTTATATTTTGAAGTTAATAAATATAACAGTCTATTTAATAAATGTAATAAAATATATTTAATAAATACAAAACAAAGTCATCTTCACAAGAAACAGAACACACTACGCCTATGCAGATAAGGACGCTTGATAATGAAGAACCCGAACGACTAGTTATGGCATTTTAAGGACGCAAATATAATAGACCTGCGAAGTGTTGATCAGTTTACCGATGTTTCAAAGTATTTAACGAACTGGTTCACCTATTCGCTCGTACATCCTATCGATCGATATGCAGAAGCTATCTTGTTACGGGGGTCAAATTTTATGGAATCATCTTACTTTTCAATTATTTACAATGGCGATGCATGGACAATAAAAATGACCCCGGTAAGAATTTAGTTCTAACATTTAACATTGTTGCCGTTAGCTCTCAGTTCAATTTGTATATGAGTTACCTTCAATTGAAAATTGTCAGCACAGTAGCTAGCGAAACATGTTGTGATATATTTTTCAAATATAGTTTGTGGAGATAAAATCGTGAGGTGTAGTTTTTGAAATTACTATGGATCTTCATCAAGTAATGGCCGAATCAATCAGAAAAAAATACAATTTTGATTCTAGCCCAGAGAACGTTCCTCGTCTATTCGATTTGGTGAAAATTCAGGACGAAAATGTGCGTCCTGCATTTTACTATGCCCTGCGCGACACCCTCGTAGCCAATGACCTCGATCAGGCATCTAGAATAGCTTACGGTGCTCAAAGATTCAGAGTCGTAACACTAAAAGGAGATCTTATTGAAACCACAGGTAAAATCTTGAAGATAACGTCAGAAGGTTATTTTAATGTTATTGTTATTATAAAGGAACGATGAGTGGAGGTGGAAAGTCCGTCAGCAGAGGAAGGATGGGACAAAGTGTTAGAGTGTCAAATGTCAATCCAAAAGAACTCGAGAATATGCAGGAAGACATAGAAGAGTTGGAGGGTAAGGTTAGGGAATTGCGTCAAAGACAAACCTCTCTGGAAAGTCAGATCAGTACACTCGAGCCGGAATTGAGACAAATGAAGTTTGACTTTGAGAAATTTTCCATGGAGTTGAAGGTACTAAAATAAATACTCATTGATTCTTTAGAACCTAACATGATTTAACAGTTGGTAATACGTCTGGAAATATAAATATGGAATAATCATGTTGAATTAACAAATTGAAACTTCTCTAGTAAAATTGTATAATTCATGGGTATACAACTTTCAAAAATTCAGTCATAATGTTATACAATTGAACGGTTATATTAATTTATCATTCATAAACAGGGTTCTATTCGAAATTGTTGAATTGAGTTCATTTTGGTTTAAACTACTATAGCTATACTATAGCTACTATAGCTAGCTATAGGCTTTCTGTTGTCATTAAACAAAAAATGTGGGAAACTTCCAATGAAAGAAATAAAATAACTGCAATAAATACTATTTAGGTATAAAGATACGTAGATCGTAACTGGAAGTTTCTATTGGAAACAAACTAGAAGAATAAAGAAGAAAATGGTTTTTTCTCAAAAAACTGATATCTCCTAACAATATTCTCTTCTCAGTTTGAAGGTTTTCAATTGGTTTTCATTAAAAATATTGACTCTGAGAAAGTACGAAGTTGTTCCAGTTTCAAATTTCTCACCCTAGAAACAATTAAATGACGCCATGTACAATGATTTCGTCGCCACCCAGTATAGATTGTTTAAAAATTTTATTATAACTTGGGTTATCAAACACCTGCTTCAAAAACCAAATTGATCTGCATTATAAGCTTATGAAGGTCGAAGACTGAAACAACTGAATTTGACACCTATTTCTCATAAACTTTTAGATGTACTAGAAATAGTGAAGGTCCTGAAATGGGAACTAGAGCTTCAATGCCAGTTTTTGTAAAGGTTTTATTTCTCCGGCTTCAAAACTTTCTAGACAGATTTCTTCTTGCAGTGAGTAGTTGACGGCAGAAATTGGTGGACCTCAGTAGATGAGCAACATTTGTTTTATTACAGCTACCTAACATTCAGCGTGTAAGAAAAAGCGCATCTTAACATTCAACTTGTAAGAAAGAGCGCAAATGTTGAGAGAGCGCCGACTTGAATGGAGTTCATACGTTTAAAAGATAAGAAAGATGTAACGGGCGTCCTAAAAACACAATATACCGGGCGTCTCAAACATGATTCTTTATAGAAAACCGAGTTTTATATGGTTCAGATGATGTTCGTTGTTCACTTGGTATATAGCGTTTTTGGGACGCCCGTTACATCTTTCTTATCTTTGAAACGGTTGAACTTCATCTAAGTCGGCGATCTCCTAACCGATGTGCTCTTTCTTACACGTTGGATGTCAAGATGCGCTCTTTCTTACACGTTGAATGTCAGGTAGCCACTCTGTAATGGAACAAACGTTGCACATCTACTAACCTTTAATAATATTTCTTCAGACGACTAGAACTTATTTCATCATTAACACTATAGTATTAGGTTCTTAGGTTTCTGATTATGCCAGAGGATGTTGTTGCTTGAAACGAGAAAGTTCAAAACTAATATTATTAACAAACTTTCTAATCACAGGATTTGCAACAACGCATGCCGCAACTTGAAAAACAAGTAAAAGCACAAGAAGCTAAATCTAAAGCTACTAGAGCCGATCCTGCTGAAGTTAAAAGGCTAACGAAAATCGTCGAACAAAAGAGGGCGCTGTACGAAAAAGCTGCCGAAACGGCGGGTGAGCTTCAAATTCAAGTAGACAAAATATCTGGGGAAATCAACGAGAAAACCAGCGGGAAAATGAAAGCCATCGATAAAAATATTAATGAAGCCACCAAAACAATCGATAAGTGTAAAGCAGAAATAACTAGGCTTCGTGTAGCTATCACGACTGCGGAAAGGTGAGGAATACTCTAGTTGAGTCCAATGAGCTTTCAAAGTTGTAAATTTAAATCTAGACCTCATCCCACTGCTGACACCATTGTTCACTTGAAAAACTGCCACTTGAAAAACAAATGATGCAGTTAGGTTCTCGATAGTGGCGACCATTAGCTTTATCTCATGTTTTTTAATAGATCTTTCGATCTAGTTTTACAATTGTTTTTGATCATCTTTCGATCAATTCAAATAATGGGGATGCGAAGTCTGTTCAAATGCTTCTCGTTGAAAATTTACGAAAATTATTTTAGAAATGCCAAAAAATCAGAACAAAAGATACAAACGATGGAACAAGATGTGACAGATATGGAAAATAGGTTGCGTCAAATGAAGAATGCAAGGACCGAAATCGAGGAAGATGCTGCAAAACTTTTGACCTGTATCAAAGAGATTACCGATTCAATGGCAGAAGGAGAGGAGGCCTACTCAGGTACACAGGTGATGAACAAAAGTGTCTCTTTTCTCAATCGACTGTTTTTCCAGATATCAAAAAAGAAGTGGCGAATTTGACAAAAAAAGTAAATGAATTGAAATCTGAAAAAGTGGATGTTGATCAAAAAGTAAAAGCATTCAATAACAAAATGAACGAATATCAGGGAGCTGTACATCAGTTGGAAGTGAAGGTATGTATCAAAAAATATTACAAGTAACCATGGAGAATATTGATAATTCTCACTTCTTCCTGTAGATATCGCATTTAAAATTACAAGACATTCCAAATGAGAGCGATGCTGTGCTCAAGAAATATACCCATGACGAGTTGGAAGAAATAGATTGTGGGCATATTGTTAGAGAAATGGAAGCCGCTGAAAATCATCTCAAGGTAGCGAAACCTAACCTAAATGCGATTGAGGTAAGTGATATCAAATTGATCCGTGGAATTTTTCGAAGGTCAAAATCTATTCATTTATTAACGGGACAACAGTTCGATGAAAAAACAATATAAACTACAACAAACGATTCCTTGATACCAACATAGTTGATATAGTTAAATAAATATAAGAAGAAGAAGAATCTACTCGGACCACTCAAAGCTGCACATTCGAGTACAACAGAAATATCAATATGATAGATCACAAGCAAAAATAGGGAATTATAAGTTTTTATGCTAAAGTAGGTTATGCTGAAAAGTAAGTCAAATGATGAGATGAGATAAACAGGCAAAGTCTATCACCATAATACCTACATTATATTTCTGACAAAAAAAAATATGACGGTGATTCGATGTTTTTCCAAAAAGTTTTTTCCGGGTATTTGAATTTGGATGGTTGTCCTTCAGCTCTTTCCCTACATAATGCCTGTAGGGTCTCCAAGTTACTTTCATTTTTGGCAAAGCGGTTTCCTAGGTTTGATAGTCTCTCCTTAATAGGTTTCACTTTTGTAGTTCTGTAAAGCAGTGCATTTGAGGGATTGTGTAGTATGTTCTGAGAGTGACGCATTTTGGTAATATTCCTTAGTGTAGATGTTTCAGCTGTTTGGATATTTTTTAATGCAGGATTACGACGACTTGAATAAATTTCATGTGCATATTGGAGAAGTTGACGACAGATCATTTTATATATTTTAGCTGCAGTTTTAGTGTTGATTCCTCTTTTTTTAAATGTCAGACTCTGAAAGTGTTTTCCTCTATTGATGCATTCCTTTTTAATCATTTTTGTATGGCTGTTCAAGTTGATTTTGTGGTCAATGTTAACTCCCAAGTATTTTAGTGATTGCCTGCTTCTTACCATTTTGTTATTGATGTTTATTGTTGGTAGCGTCTCTGAAGAGTTGTGATGAAAAATGATGTAGTAGTAATCTTTATTATTTATTTGTAATACAATACTCTACAGGAAATCATTATAGGATACATCCTAATCTTACAAGACATAATAACTAATTAACAATTTAAATTTCCACAGTGCCAAAAATATTAATAAAATTTAAATCTATATATAGATAATAACAATAATGAATATAAACTAAATAAAAAGATAATAATAAAAAATATACAATTTATAAGACCCAATGTTGAAAATCAATATTGATATAGTAACATACATATAATATACATATTTTCAAACTAACTAACGCTCTAGGTATTCCATTAATTTACTTTTAAACCCTCTTACAGTATTTTAATATAATTATCATGCCCCTATTTTGGAGTTTTTGAAGTTGGGAAAGCCTATTTTGGTTTATTAAATGCATTAAAGTTGGACAGTACTCAAAATGAGGTTTAATTATACAATTATATGTTAATATTTTGGAGTTAATAGTTAAATTATTTGGTATCCTAGAAACAAAATAAATTTTTTTATAAGGTATTCAGCATGACTGTTCAAACTAAAAGTGTTGTCTACAATAACTCCCAGATACTTTATTTCAGACACATATTCCAAGGTAGTGTTTCCAATTTCAATTTTTATTTCATTATAATCAATAGAGTTCAGTTTATATTTAGTTGTTTTCACCATAGGTTTTGTTATCTGCATTTAATTTTAATTTCTTCATATGTAAATATTTTTCGATGTTCTTCATAGAATCTTTGAGAGTATCTACAGCATCATTGAGTTCTGTATTCGAAGTATAAACTAATGTATCGTCTGCAAATAGATTAAGTTCATGTAGCCCAGGAACATAATAAATATAATTTAGATATATAATGAATAAAAGTGGGCCAAGTACACTTCCCTGGGGAACACCAATGTTGATATCTATCTCATCAGATATATTTTTTTTATATTTTACATGATGAATTGTCATTTTTCCGGGTTTGGTCTCAGTCTCCATTTATTGAACCAGAGCGTTGTCCTGTCGACGAGATTTTGCAGTTCCTCTATTGTGAGTGCTAGCGTGCGGTTGTGTGAAGCTAAGGCAGTGTCATCTGCATACTGTAAGATGTAAAGGTTTTCATTAAATTCATTCTTGTCTTCCAAGTTGTAATTGTATATATCATGGCTGTATATATTATAGATAATTAGAGATAACGGAGAGCCTTCTGGAACTCCTTGTTGTTTGGGAGCAAATTTTTTGGAGAATGAATTTCTTACTCTGACGGTGAGGGTTCTGTTCTCAAAATATTGTTTTATTATACAGAGAAGATGGATAGGGGTGTTCAATTCGTGAAGTTTATATAACATTCCTTCATACCAAACGCTATCAAAAGCTTTATTGATATCCAAAAATAGCGCCGCAGAGTCATGCGTGCTGTTTGTACGTTAGATGTTACAATTACTAAAGGGTGGGTTGTATTTCTATTTTCTCTAAAACCAAATTAATACATTGGTATATTGATATGTTCACTGAGTTGATATTTGATGATTTTCTCAAAGTTTTTTCCTAATACTGGAAGAAGAGTAATGGGCATATAAAATATTCACTTGTTTTATATGCATTTTTTTATTTGTAGTGTTGCATAATGCGTTTGTTTTATTTTGTATTTTTTTTGTATTGAGTAAAATGGGTTTCGAACCCGTGAATAAATAAATAATTCAATTTGGAAAACTGGCCAAATCACTTTGGAGATTGAGGCACTACCATAAGTGACACCATTAGAAATACAGGACCTTATATCTTTTATGAATGGGTTGAAAAATATTTTAATCATTTTTCAATTCATTGATTAAAAGTCCTTGTTGTCTAATCATTCGTTGAAGAACAGTGATCTAATTTGAATAATTCGCATTCTTGTCTTTTGAAATATTCACATCTTATTACAATCATTTTTCAATTTCTAATTTTTCAGGAATATCGAAAGAAGCAAGGTGTGTATATAGAACGTTCCAAAGAATTGGAAGAAATCAGTAATAAACGGATGGAGATGCGAGCTTTATATGACTCGCTAAGGATGCAGCGCAGAGAAGAATTCTTGACGGGATTCAACATCATTCGATCAAAACTGAAGGAAATGTACCAGATGATAACGCTGGGTGGAGACGCCGACTTTGAAATGGTCGATACTTACGATCCGTTTGCCGAAGGAATACAGTTCAAGTATGTGGTTTGTTAAATGCTCTATTGAGTTTAGTAAGTCATCACACATGTATTTTTTAGTGTTCGACCGCCTAAGAAATCGTGGAAGAAAATATCAAATTTATCGGGAGGTGAAAAGACTTTGGCTTCCTTAGCGCTAGTCTTTGCTTTGCATTATTACAAACCCTCGCCCCTATATGTAATGGATGAAATTGATGCTGCGTTGGACTTTAAAAACGTTTCTATTGTGGGAAATTATATAAAGGTGAGAAAAAATATTTCGTGATTATCAGTAACAGATATTACACGGTAGAATCTGGCAATTGACGGAAAACAAACTGCTTTCGTGACTTATATCATGACAGATATTGGACAACACCAAACAAATATGGGTGCAAGTTTTTTCACAAAGTTTATTTGTAATTTTTTTTGTCACAGTAAAATCATAGAATGACAGTCCAACATAACCCTATGAAAAATAGGTGATTGTTTATATTCCTATGATTTGAAATCATGAACCTAGGAAGTAGTAATAAAACATCTAATTCTTTGACCTGGTGAAGCAGCATTTTTGTTCTGGTGAGGCAAAAGTGTTTTCAGTAGATTCATTTTATATTATCAAATTATTATTGTAGTGTAAATCCAATGTACGTCAATTTCAGGAACGCACAAAAAACGCCCAGTTCATAATCATCTCACTGCGCTCCAACATGTTCGAACTCTGCGACAATTTGATCGGAATTTACAAAACCTACGACTGTACCAAAACTATTACCATCGACCCACGAATATACGATAAAAAAGAAGAGCAACCTGCTATCAGAATGCCCTCGACTGAAAACCCGATTGCTGCAATGCCCAACAGCCAAAGTATCATCAGAGATGTTGAGACTTCGACTGCAGAGAATGTCATCAATGAAAGTTACGATCCTTCCAGCACCCTTGGTCAGGGAAATGGTACTGAGGGAATTTTAAATGGTTCTTCCCAACACGAGGAAATGGAGGTAGATGCTTGAGAAAAAGTTAATTGTTCTTCCGAAGCACTTCGATCTGTCTTGATTTATATACTGTACAGTTGATTCATGGATAATATTACAAACAATGTCAGTGATGTTTTAAGAGTTATTTGCCGAATTTCTAGTGATTTATTATTTTTGTAATAAACTTTTAACTTTTGATGGTGTTGTTTAAATGAGGAGTCATAAAATTCAATCTAAAACTCTGTGCTAACGTTTAAACTGAATGAAATGAATTTCAATAAATCAGGAAGAGATTAATTGAATTAGTTGACCACAATATATAATGATACCAGTGATATTTTGAGCATGTTACGTATAACAAACTTAACCAATTCAGTTCGCTACTTGTACGCCACTGAACGCTTTTTTAAACTTCTATTTACCTCAACTGACATTCTATCATTTGTCATGTCATGTGATACAGAAGCATTTAGAGACAGCAGGTGCCTTGCGTGAGTACACTGCACATAAAGGTAAGTGTCCGACCGAAAACAAATATCGGCAACGGTCTCAGTTTCGGACGAAACCGAAAACGAAAATTCCTTTCAAGGATTATGTTTTGAGGAAAAAATAAAGAAAACGTTATTATAATCAGCAGTCTTTACTTATTGATAATCAACATAAAAAACCCTTATTTAAGAAAAAATATTAATTGCAGTATGTGTAGATCCTTCTTTTGAATATTATTGATGGTTTTTCAAAAAAATTACTTAAGTTGTTAACTAATATCACAATAGGTACTTAATATTTATGTAATAAACAAAGTAAGTCATGACATGATTAGGCACGTGGACGTAGCAAAATGTCTTCGTCGCTTGTATGAAATTCAACGCGCCGAACATGACCGATCACAGCTCGGGAACTCCCGAATGCAGTTTCGTAGGTTTGTCACCGAAATTAAACCGAAACCCGTTTTTTGTCGAAACTCGACCGAAACCGAACTTTTGGTCAGGCATTACATAAAGGGAATAAGCATATCAGTCACTAATACTAATCACTAATTATTTTTCATACTTCGTTGTACAGGGCTTCGCAGTTTTTTACATTTGGTTAAAGTTGAAAATACTGCCGAAAATTGTTGGTTCTTGATACATTTGATAAAAATTTCATATTTTTTTTCTGTATTGCCTCACCAATATTTAATTTGTTTCGAAATCGTGAATGATAACATATTAATAGGGTTTTCTACCACAAATTCCAGGAACACAATAAATACATGGTAGATTACGGAATAAATCCCAAAGAGCCTTAAATTGAAACCCAAGTTGCAGCATTAATAATGATAATATAGCAAATTGTGACTGAAAATAACTATGTATCACAAATACAAACAATATAGAATTATAGTCAAATATATGCACTTTATTTCAAGAATAGTAGTTTCATAAATTTAAATGAGCAGCTTGAGACCATATAACTTTGTAATGTTCTTCCATGTTGAGGGAATAGATGCAAGTAAATTCCAGTGAATGCACAGCAGTAATTAGCATAAGGTTTGCTCTTCAGAGTTTGTCCATGAAAACTACACTTATAATCTATATCAAGACACATATCAAACATATTTGCTGTGTAACATATCCCGGATTGGATGTCACAAACGCCTTTGTGGTGGAGTTAGTGTTTATGAACGCAAAGGTTTTCTAACCGGGATCCTAATTGTTTGATTGGCTTTTGTAGATAACGCCGTACGTCTGTGTTTCTTTCAACCAAGTACATTTTTACACATCATATTAGCAAGGGACAAATAACCAGGGTAATCCAAATATCAGACTGATCAACAAAAAAAAACTTTCATCTATAAAGTCAGGGATAAAGTAAACTAAATTCTGAGGGGAACCAATATAAAAGCACTATTTCCAACAAACTCTCATATCTTCATGTTTCAACAACAATATATGTGACAAATACGACACGGGGTTTATATAAAATACAATTTTCTAAGCATTGTATATTACATTACCATGTTTGAACGGCCTCTCAAATCCGGATTTCTAATAAACGATGTTACTAAAATCAACATTGTTGCCGTTCATGTCTGCTAATTCAATAAATAAATGGGACGTTTGGTATGAAAATGAGGCTTCTTTGTCCGACTTTCTGAGAAAATGGCAAGGCGTGAGATAGGAAAAGATGTGAATATTTTCTCATTCAGTAAAACCCATGAATGAAAAAAGCTACTTGATGAGCCAGAAATATGCGGGTACATTTAAAAACAATGAGATATAAATTCATAATAAATCGAAGAAGAAATGTAAACCAATTAGGAGAAATGAAGCCACGCCAACCTATGGTGATATAAAACTGTGGACAAATTCCAGCGTTGTGGCTTCTGCGTTACATCATGGCCTTTTACAATGTTTGTTTGAAGGTGGTTAACAATGTTTCGTGGTGTATTTCATCAGTTCGGATTTACATTGTCTAATATAACAATTTTATTGAACAAAAAAAAACTGAAATTACAAAGAAATAACATAAAACCAAACAACAACCAAAAAAATCAAAAATTGAAATATTAACACGAGATGAAAAATTAAAAATTATTAACAAAAAAATGAAGTTGAAAATTAAAAGATTCCAGATAGGCTGGACATAGCAGATCACCTCCAACAGCGAGGACACTTCCTACGGCGAGCGCCAAGAGCTCCGCCTTGAATAAAAGCAAGGAGCCAGCTGCCCCTGCAGGAAAGCTCCCTCACTTGTGCACCTCCACGGAGGGAACCCTAAGAAGGTTGAAGAAGCTGCTCAACGTCAGTAATATCGCTGCATCTTCCAAAACCTTCGCGGAGGCCACCGTGAGACACCTCAAGGTTGCCAAAGAGAGTGTGTGTTCGGCGAGTCTTGGCCTACACCTGCCAATATTATCTATTTAATATTTTTTTTAGGAATTTCAAATCAATTTATATTATATTAGATAATGGAAGTCCGAACTTATGAAATATGCCTTTTATAATGTTTACCACAGTATCAGACGGAACGTCAGGCATACATATATCTGCAGACCACATCCAAAAAACCCGGAAAATAGCTCTGACTCAAATAATAAATATTATTATTATTACATTATAATCTCAAGTCCAACTTCAAATAATGTATGAATACATTCGTTCTGTAAATATAAACGACAATATTTGTTCAAATCTTCAAGTTTATTTTATTCTGTGGCTGAAAATGCTTATCTATATCTTATCTCGAGTCGAGTTTCCTGTACATGGAATCATCACCTTTCAATAACTTCCCATTCAGTATGTATGTGTGAGTTTAAAGTGAACGACCATTGCAAAATAGTTTTGTGACTATCAACATGAATGACGAAGAGGTTTTTGAGAAGCCTGAATCCCAAATCTTGTACCGGCAGTCCTCTTTGGAAACTAGACCTTCACCAACAGGGTATGAGCCGGATGAAGAGTTAGAAGTTCTTCCGAAAATAGTTGATTACACCACGAAAAAAAACGTCGATCCCAATATTGGGGTGCAAAACCTCGTGTTCAAAGATGACCTCACTCAGGGTAGAAAGCCACCGGTTTCTAAAAAACCAGACCTCTCTAAGAAGCCAATGATAATTATAGGAAATGCGGACAGGTCGTCACAATCGCAAATAGATATGACAGAGGAAACGCCAGTGGGTCTAATGAAAAGTAAGTATTCAAAATAGAGATTGTTCTCTATGTATACCTAGAGAAATATTTTAAAATTTAAAAATACCACAACAAAGTTGTGGGATAATAATCACTTTTTTAATGCATGAAAAATCAAAATAATCATCCAGAAATAAGCTCCTTACCTTCAGTCTACAAAAAAGAATTCCTCAAATCCACCCAAAATTACTAGAGAGAATCCACATATGTTACATTACTCGAAAAGATTTTGTTTTCAGTCCAATAGTTTGGAAGAAAAGCAAACGTGATTAATCACCGTAATATAATCATTTCCATTCAAATATTCACATAAAAATTGAATGTAATACAATACACATGAATTGAAAAACATAGATTTGATGATGAACACCGTTGCTAATTCTAGAATTTTATAAATTTACAAAAATAATTCATATAAATGGAAAAACGCATACAAAACTTCAAATATAATATTTTATGTCAGGTTATGGCTATGTACTTCTCCAATTTCAAAGGAAGAAAAAAGATTTGTTTTGTATATCAATGATTGTTTGGAAAGTATTTTTTATTTCATGTAACTCAATGTTTATATGAAAGAGGTCGTTTCGAGAGGACTTTTTCTTTCAGTTTTGTGTCTGAAAGTTACTTTTTTGCATGATATAGACATCTTTGTAAAGAGTTTATCAACTGCCTTCTTCCTTTTTAGATCATTCCCACATTTGTTTGAATAAAGATAGAGATGTAAAAAGCCATAACTCTCTAAAAATATCTCCCTTTCAATTCTAATATTTATTTGTTATTCAAATTGTTATGAGCTTAATGCAGTATGAATGTTGTGTAACTAAAATACTAAAACGCTACATTTCTTCTTTTCATCAAAGCCTTTATTACTCGATTATTTGTACCAAACTTAAAAAATCGATTTTTGATGGTTAATTTTGCCCCTTGTACTTGTACTAGACGGGGCACATATCGCCACCGCCTAGCTACAGGCCTAGTTACGACCTTATATGTTCCGTCTCAATCTAACCGTAGACCGATTGAAGAATATTCTCCTTACCTCTACACTCTATGATTGGGAACCTCAATAGCTCATTTTTGTTTGGCGTTGCCAAGTTTACAATTGTTCAATCATTTTGAAAATTATGACGTCCTTGGATTATTAATTTCATCTAGACAAATGTAAGAGGAAAATCTCCATATAATGGAATACTGCGTCAAAGAAGTATGAAAATATTTTTTTTCTTACCAGTTTTCCAACAGTCCAAAATTTCAAAGAAAAACAAATCTAGAATGAATGATCAAGCCTAGGATTAACTTTTAATGTGCCGGAACCGGGAGAGTAGACATATGCAAGTGGGTAGAGGTGTTGAAAATTTATTTTAGAATTTATAATTAGAAAAAAATAAATTATATATTTCCCAATTGGAACAGTTGTGTTGATACATTTTTTTTCAGCGTTGTCCTCGAAGGCGAAAGGAAACAAGAAAGTTCCAGAAGAGGAATTTGAAAAAGACACAATGAATACAATGCGACCAAAATCTCCTGGTCCTAGGCCTGTTCCAGTAAAAGGGGAAAAAGACGAATCTATTTGGGATAAGCTGGGTACTCTTGGCCGAAAGAAACGTATAAAGGAAGGTATGCGTCCTCTAAGGTTGTTTTATCTTTGCCCAAAGTCCTTATATGGATATTGTTGACAAATAGAAGTTGTCATAGGGGTGTGGTTTTTATTACTGAACTCCCACATATTTTGCAGTTCAAGAAGTGCAAGCAGAAGGAAAATATGCCATCGATTCACCTGGATGCCCCACTGCCCCAGTCATACCTCCCGAAGATTACAACCTCGGTGAGTAAATACTAAACAATTATGAATACTTGCTTTACACTGTTGTGCTTGCATCAAAACCTCTTTGAGTTTCTACAAGTTCAACATTATTGAAATACATGTAAGTTATTCAGTATTACATTACTGGTTTAGAAGAGACAGTTTCATCTGAAAGAACTCTTCAATAATAGTGTTCCAATGAGCTAGTCATTTGATGAATTTAAATTATTATTTATAGAATGTAAACTAATAAGGAATAACTCTCAATTTTTTGTATTACAGTTGAGGCTATGATAGAAAAATGTCTTTTCAGTTGAAATCAACCTGTTTTTGCATTTTTTTCGTTTCATTTTTGATGCCGAACACTGTATAGTACTAAAGTCATTCATTTTTATTGAAAAGCCCTTGAAGGCCGAAAAAAGAAATGACCCAGCTTGATTCTCAGGTTTTGATAATAGAGTAAGACACTGAAATGCCTTCGATAGGTCCCATAACGAACAACCGTTATGTTAATTGATTATTTTATAATTTTCAATTCAATTTCAGACGACAATGAAGAAGTGTGCATGGTTGATGGCAAAACTTATGAGAATCCCAAGTTCATGGAACTGCAGAACGTTCTCAAAGACTGGATAAATGATGAACTGGCCTCACACAGGATAATTATCCAAGATTTGGCAGAAGATCTTTATGATGGTCAAGTGTTACAAAAACTACTAGAAAAATTGACGGGAGATAAATTGGATGTACCGGAAGTCACTCAATCAGAAGAGGGACAGAAACAGAAGTTAACAGTGGTTCTTAACCACTTCAATCAAGTAATCATATTATATCTGTTTCAAGGAAAAAATTATATTTCATATATGCATTTTTTTGGTATGCCTCTGTTGTGTTGTATTTGATCTGATTCATGTATTAATATCAAATGAACATGTGACTTTCTTTTTCGTGTTTATAAATCGACATTTCTTTGACAACTTGTAACTTTGTGCTTGTGCAATAACGCATATTTATCGTTATAGGTCTTAGGAATCCAAAGGATAACTCATAACAAATGGAACGTCGAAGCTATACATTCCAAAAACATTGTAGCCATCATACACTTGCTGGTAGCCTTGGCAAGGCATTTCAGACCCCCGGTAAGAATGCCAGAGCACGTTTCAGTCGAAGTTGTTGTTGTACAAAAAGTTAAGGGGCAACTCACACACAAAAGAGTCTGGGAAAGTCTTACTAAGACTTACGACGATGTCGGAATGAGATGTGAGCGAGATGCTTTTGACACATTGTTTGATCACGCTCCTGATAAATTGCAAGTCGTTAAGAAGGTAAAATAATATAGCTACAGATGAATAAACTTTGGAACAAACATTTGAGTGAATTATGTTGCAGTCATTGGTTACTTTCGTCAACAAACACTTGAACAAGATGAACTTTGAAGTCACTGAAATCGAGAGTCAATTCCACGATGGCGTTTACTTGATCATGCTGATGGGGCTTTTGGAAGGGTTCTTTGTGCCGCATTATACTTTCCACTTGACTCCTCACGAGTTTGACCAGAAAGTTCACAATGTTAGTTTTGCCTTTGAACTCATGGAGGAGGTTGGTCTGCAAAAGCCCAAAGCAAGACCAGAAGGTAAGAAAAGATATGTTTGGTAAATGGTGGCTTCTTCAGCTCGACACTAATTTTTGAAAATTATTTAATTCTTACTGTTCGCCACTGATCACGAATCTAAAGTCAAAACTTAGTGCTCTGTTTCACTTTGGAGGTACTGACCCCCCCACAAGTCGTAACTGTTTAAAGTCAACTTACACAAACTGCAAACATGATATTAACATTATTATTCCAGAGAAACATCGTCTGTTTATAACAGGACAGAAACTACACTTAAGTGTAAGAACAATGAAAAACATGAATGAATGAATTATTATAGAAAACTTCTACTTGAAAAAAAAAGAATTGTAGTAAAATCTAATATTTGTTGTTTGTTTGAAAGTGGTTGACAATGTTTCGTGGTGTATTTCATCAGTTCGGACTTCCATTGTCTAATATAATATAAATTGATTTGAAATCCCTGAAAAAAATAAAAGATTAACCAAAAATAACAATTTCGTTTTAATAAAATTGTTATTTTAACTTTGAGCATCATTACCCACAAACTGACTTGGAGAGGTTACAAATTTTGAATTCGTTTACACTGAATTAACGCACAAGCTGTTATGAAAACTAGATGAAATTAACATGAAACTTCCCAACTTCCTAGTGCAGTTACCAACATTAAAATTGTACAATTATACATCATGGTTAGTTACTAACTGGTTTCACACAAACCTAATAAACTTATATCGTCCAACCCGTGTTAGGAATCACACGTTAACAGGTAAGACCTCGTTAGTCCTTAGCTCGCACATGTTTCATCTTTTGAGAGTTGTCGTTCATTGGGGTGCGACAGCAGGTTAAAGGAAAAACAGATTTTTAAACATATTTTTATGAATTCTGTTGGTTAAAACATAAGCTGACCTCAGGAAATAGTTTATTTTACATTAAAATGATTATTTCCTATCTATATTCAGTAAATAAAAGACGAAGATACACTAAATGTGCATTTTTTTATAATTAGAAAATGCTTCAACTCGCCAAAGAACCAAAAGCAAAACGATGAATGTTTGAAGTTTCATGAAAAATGAAAAGCATTAACTATCCAAAAGAGGAATTGATATCTGTCCGGATCTTCTTCTTCTCTTTTCAATTTTTAATGGCCATTGCTAATGAGAACTAATCAGTAAAACGATAGGAATTTCTTTATGTCATTGATCAGATTTGAAATCGTACGTTTTAGGATATCTTTCAAAAGAAGTGCAACACAACGTGGAGCAACACAAACCAGTTGGCAAAAGAAAAAGCTCTTCAATACATGAAAAAAAATATTAAATTTTATAAAATTGTAAAAAAGGGACTCCAAATGATATATAGACAATGAAAATTGATTTTGAAATTCTCTATTCAAAATTTTTCGGATTCATTTATTTTTTCAATTTTTTATGAATATTTAGAACTGAAAAGGCAATTTGCCCTCCATGTTTTTGGTCGATTGAATCGTATTTGTAAAACTGATAATAATAATAATAATGAAGTTAATCTTTATTTTTCTTTTAGACATGTTTGAACACGCATAGAAAACGTCAGCTACTTATTTTATATTATAGCTTGATAAAAATAATTAAATTCAAAATACAAACACAGGGGCATAAAATAAGTGAAGGATACATGTTATAATGAAAATAGTGAATCATATTGATAATAAATGAATTTATATTGAATAATAATAACGATTTGTTATCCCAAGAAACATACCTACATGTTTATAGTAGGGCTACAAAAAAAAAATGAATCTGCACTTGAAACGTCCTCGTACTTCTAACATAGCTCATTGGTTGAAGAAGTTTTGTCTCTATTCAACCTTTTTTTTTTTTTTCAGATGTGGTGAATATGGATCTCAAGTCAACTCTCCGTGTACTGTACAATCTTTTCCTCCGTTACAAGACATTAAATTAATAAACCAGTGCAATGTTTTAACAGGAATGGGTGCCTTATACTGCCTCGAATTTTTGAATGTAGGAACTAAAATAGTCTTGGAACTTATTTACAAAATGTTATTCACTATTTTACTAATGTACATATATTTTTAATGTAATTTATTTAATGTGAATTCTAAGTATCTGCAAATGATTTTTAATGCGTTGAAAATACTCACTTCTTTACTTTGATGTAGCGATATTTGTGAGACTTACAGATACTTAGTTAACGTTAGTATTGACATGCTAATAAAAAAACATAGTAACAACAGCCTAGTTTCTCTTGTCCAAAATGCTTCAAACTACCTTTTCACTTGTTTACTATAAGAATCAATAATTGCTTTCAGAAGATCTGCATCTTTCACACCTTGTATAATCTCTGGAAAATACATGTCGTGCAAAACTTGGAGTCGTTCTTTATAAATTTCCAAAGAATCTTCTGCAGTTAATAATAAGTATGATGGTGATTGCTTTTTCTTGGCACAAACTGAACCGCAATCCAATAGTGATGTTGATAAAAAAGCAGCTTTTTGTGCATTGTAGTCCTCTTCAAACAAGTTCGTGTACGCATCAAATCCAGATATTATAATGACATTTGGAATTTTGTGCCACATGTGAATAGTGTTGAGGTGACTGATGAGAGATTTGTAGTCTTTGAGGTAACTGAAACCATAATTGGGTTGACAGAAAACATTACATCAATAGCTCAGAGTTTGCATATTGAGAATTATTACACTTTTACAATACAAAGCAAATTCAACTAAAATTCTTAATGGTACTGGAAAACAAACTGATATTTTACTCACACAAAAGTTATCAGACGTAAAGTATGTTTATCTGGTGGAATAATATTTTCTGGCACCTTGTCAAAAGCTTCAGAGGATATGAACCATACATGTAATCCTGTTTCAGCAAAGTGAATGGCTGCCTGAAAATGCAATAAGAAACAGGAATCAAATATTTACAAATCTGACAAATTATTTGTTAAGATTTGCAGTTTAATCTTCCTCTTGAAGATGATCACTTGGTGATCGAAACACGTGTCGAGATGTTAAAAATAACGATTTGGTGTTGGGAAGAAACTCTCGTAATATTCAAGATTTGAATGTTAAAACCCATTTTTTACACTAGCTACTTAAAAGTTACCTTGAAAAGTGTATAAACAAAATTAGTTCCCAACAAAAAGCTTGAGTGAACATTTTCGGGATACATAATGAAGGTAATAGGCTGGCGTCATTTGCTAAATGATTTTTTTTCGAAATTTGTTCAGAGCAATTATTAATTATTTTCATTTCTTATTTCATGTTAGAAATTTGAAATATTTTCTTCTCTCTCTCTCTCTATGGATGGTCGTTTCCAAGATTCAAACTTCTTTTCACTCTTTCCTCTCGATTGTTATTGTTGTTATGATATGACAGGAGTAAAAGTGAGTAAAGTAATAACGCTAAATGCACACACACCGATTTTGGACGGTCGACTTTGTACCGGTCGTCCAAATTCCAATAGTGAACCACATGTGGGTACGGGACCTGGCACACACGCCGACCGGTATCGGCGTCGATCACCGGTAGGTGTGTGCAAGGTCCCGTTCCTACATGTGGTTCACTATTGGAATTTGGACGACCGGTATAAAATTGGCCGTCCACAATCGGTGTGTGTGCAATTAGCCTAAGTCTTGAAAAGAAACGGCTAATTTCAATATTCACTTTAATTATTATAAATTAATTAAAGGGAAAATGTATTGTTATAGTGTATGATTTCCAGTTTTCAATAACTCAGCTGACAAATAACACAACTCTCTTGTTTCAAAAGTAACCAACACTTTTCAGATAACCGCTGTCAAAAATTCTGGTTAGTAGCGGTCATGAAGTGGTTGTTTGGAACTGTCAGTTCTCATACCACAGAATAATAAACGATTCTGTGCTGATACGTCAACGGGCAGTTTTGATACGGCAACTGTCACCAGATAACACCTATATAGGTGCTTTGTGACTGCTACTTCTGTTGCGGCAACTATCAGTTGATTGTTTTTCAAATAGTGGAAGAGGCGTAACTTCATAATTTCGAACGTCCAAAGTCAATGTTTTTTGTTACTGAAGTACCACCGGAACAACACTGGTTGCCACTCGATATTTGATACTACTATTGTTATGTGCTGGCAATTTAACGAATATCGACATATGCAAAAGAGCTGTTGCCAAAGAAACCATCTTTTATATTTCTTTTATCTTTGGCTACTACCGTGACAAACCAAATCTGTGACACTGCTGCCGCGAAAGGCTTTTCAAAAGTTTTGTTCGAATTCAAAATTCGAATCATAGATACACAAGCATTACTGTTTGGTACCTAGTTTTTGCTTATGATTGAAATGGAAATACTTTCAGAAGAGATCAGTTTCTGCAAAAATGAAAAACCTAGTTAGTTTTCCCGAAGAAAAGGCACTATTGAAAGGTCAAGTTTCTGTGTTGAAGGTACTTTAGTGTAATTTTCAGCGGGACACAATAAATAGTGACATATGCGTGTTCCCTATTCGACATTGGCAACTCTGTAGTTGTCATTATTTTGATAGATAGTTTGCAACATTGAAAGTGCACGCGCCGTGCTTTTTCGGGAGTTTGCTGTTGCCGTAATGGAGGTATTGAGGGAATGTTGAAAATTTAAATTAAATTTAAGATGGTCTCCCCGAAAGCAGTTATTGGAATATGTGCGGGTGTGTCGGCAACACTTTTTATAGGGTACTGTATTTATTTTGACAAGCAGAGACACAATGACCCTGACTTCAAGAAAAAACTACGCCAAAGTAGGTAAACCGATGAAATAGGTTATGTAGAATTTAAAATGGAGAATTTTCTAGGGCGACGGGCTAGAAAGGCAACCGCTGCATCCGGGAAACCAGCATCCACGGTGTTCCCGGACATGAAGGACCACGAAGCAGTACAGAAATTTTTCTTGCAAGAGATTCAACTGGGAGAAGAATTGTTGGCTGCAGGTGACCTTGAGGATGGCGTAGATCATCTAGGAAACGCAGTAGCAGTGTGCGGACAGCCGAACGATCTGCTGCAAGTGTTGCAGCAAACGCTCCAACCGAACGTGTTCCATTTACTCATCCAAAGACTGCCTGCTGTGGCACCTCGTCTAATGAAAGCACAATCTGCACCAAGCGCTTCCCTACAGGAGGATGATGTGGAGTAAATATGGATACGCCTTTACTAGTCTCACCTCGTTAGACCGTTCTTGAATTTATTCACCTATGTTATGCATCGTTAAATAAAACGGATATATCGAGCAATACCCAACTAATTTTGTTTTGTATGTTTTTAAGATATTCTCGTATTAAAATTAAAACATTTGTTAAGTTTTATTTCAGTTGTCTGTAGACGCTCCACAAATATTCACTCTGCGAGAACAATGTTTGAGCAAAATTTTTAATCTACCTCAAACAGAGGTATTCACTCAAAAGAGACTCTCACAAGTATGTATGTGTACGCATGTGTGATTTTTGTTGTCATTCAAAACTTTTGAAATAAATCACTCTCGTAATACTTGTAATAAACAGTTTTCTCAATTTGAAGACACGTTTCACTTTTGTTCAGGAAAATGTTTTTCTGTTATTGGTAAATATTACAAAATACCTGAATCCACAAAAAACTTGCCCCTTAGAAAGATGAAGAAAATATTTTTTATTAATACACTTTTATAATTTGACAAGTTCTACTTCTGTAGAGGTCCTTGTACCAAAGAACTAATGAACAATATCTATCAATTATAGAACACGAAGTACTTTTACAAAAAAAATTTTTGCTCAATGAAAATCATTGATATTCTATTGTCGCAACTCAGTACTCGCTTGGCTTATTAGAATAGAATATTTATTTCGCACAAGGGACAAATTACGAAATTTGTATAGTACAAGTCAAAAGGAATAGTGTACATTTTCATCCCATTACATAGGGAAGTGATTTGTTAAAAACATTGCTCCTTGGTTTTCAAGAATCTAGGAGCACCAATGATGCCATGTTCTCAGTCCTAGAAAAAATATATTTCAGTATCAATGAGGGTGAAGTAGTTGCTGTGTTTTGTGACCTTGCTAAGGCATTCGACTGCGTAAATCACAAAATTCTCTTGAATAAATTGGAAATGTATGGTTTCAGAGATGTAGCGTTGAAATGGTTTCATTCTTATTTGTCAGATCGCACCCAGTCTGTATTAGTTAATAATAAGAGATCTGAACCTCTGTTGGTATCTTGTGGGATTCCGCAAGGTTCAGTACTCGGTCCACTACTGTTCCTGCTCTTCATAAATGACCTATCTCTCATCAATACGAAAGGAAAAATAACTCTATTTGCTGATGACACTACTATTGTTTGGCAATCAAAAGACAATACTGAACTATATAATAATATATCGGTTGATCTAGACATCGTTAAAAAGTGGTATGATGCTAACAGACTGGAATTCAATACCACAAAAACCTGCATACTAACCTTTAAATGTATATTAAATGAAATTTTTCTAGGGAATACTTTAATTAGCTCCGTCTCATCAAGTAAATTCTTGTGTTTGCATGTAGATAATAATCTATCCTTTGATATCCACATCTCTAATCTATGTAATAGGATGGCTTCGGGATGCTATGTTTTAAGGATTATTGCCAGAGAACTCAACTTGCAAGCTGCAAGAACAGTCTATTTTGCGGTAATAGAATCCCGCCTAAGATATGGAATTTGCTTCTGGGGTAATGCTTCTCAGTTCTTGTTACAGTCTGTGTTTATCTTACAAAAGAGAGCGGTTAGATATATTTGTAAGGCAAAACCGAGAGATTGCTGTAAACCCCTATTTATTGATCAAAAAATCTTGACTCTGACATGCATTTTTATCCTTGAAAGTGTGTGTATGATGCACAAAAAATTTAATACTACCAGTGATTCACAAACTCTTATAATACTAGGCATAATAGCCACTTAATAGCACTACCCATTCCTAAAAGCGCATTAATAAAAAAATGCATAATATACAATGCAAGGAAAATGTTCAATCATTTGCCAGTATATCTTCGCTCCACTTCTTCATATAAAAATTTTCGAAGTGCTGTAAAATGTTTTTTGCTAAATAAAGCTTTTTATACTTTAGACGAATATTATAATGAAGATTTTGACTAACATTGCAATCACTTGTATACGCACTTTATATTATTTTACTTGGTTTTATTATTTTAAGGTGTTTATTTAATTTTGAATTGATCCCTTTGTGTTACATATGTATATGTGTGTGTGTGTATATATAGATATATGTGTACATACATAAATGTATTTCTAAACTTTGTTAACAAGAATTCTGTTCTTTGGACAATAAAGTTCTTTCTCTCTCTCTCTCTCTCTCATTAAAAGGATTACGAACATATTAACGAGAGGATTTGATTCGCTGTATCACCCATTCATCTAAATAATGACAGAATTCGTTCAAAAACTCAATTAAATATTTGATGTAAGGAGACGGGGAAAATACTTCAGGACTAAACTAAAATGTTAATCGAAAATACAATAAATCACCAAAAATTTACATTATACTTAGTGCCACCGAGCAGAATCTAAGAAAAGAAGATATACTGTCTGTCCATGATCTTGACCTTCCTCAATATTTATGAAGATTTATACGTTGACATTGCAACTTTGATCCAGTCACTGTAGTAAGGTAAAAAGCTCAGTATGCAATATGTTCAAAGTTTGCATATTTGAAGATTGTTTTATATTTCTATATCCTGTAATCATATCAATGTTGATGTCTTTGAACTTGGAATATTAAAAGATGGAATTCTGAATACTGAGTGTTTTTGTTTTAGAATATTGAAGCTGGGGTTGGAACATCTTTCAATTCATGTATTCGCTTAAATGAATTTGAATTATTTCATGATTATTTTCCATATTTGACACTATGAAAAAAACTGAGAATCCCATCTATTTTTCCTGAGTATCCGGCCCTGGAACCGGATGAACTGCAGCATAATTATATTTGAATATTTTTTTGGTAATTGTGTAAAGACAAGTTTCAATAAATTGACTCAGTATTTATTTCGAATCAAATACGAGCAGTACTTTGGAGCAGTTGAAAATGTCAGGAGAACTCCCACAACAAAATATAAATGATTTCTCAAAAATTGCTGTAATACTAGAGCGCCTATCATTTTCATAATAAAGTTCAATTATCAATAATCTTTCTGCAGTGGGAAAAATTATTTTGAGCAAAGTAATAACCCGAGATAATCACGGTCAAAATATGTGTGACACTAAATACTTTTTTCTGGAAAATTACTGAAATTTACAGAAATCATCTGGAGCAGATGATATTCCTGTGTACATTTTGAAAAGAATTCTTCCAACGATAATAAAACCATTAACATATCTGATTAATCTGTCATTTGTAAAAGGTGTGTTTCCGCAAGAAATGAAAATCGGAAAAGTAACTCCTATTTTCAAGAAAAACAACCCGAACTTAATGGAAAATTATCGTCCAGTATCAGTACCAACTATCAAAGTAATTTGAATATGCATTTTTGGACCGACTTACTTCATTTTTTAATTTATACAAAATATTGTGAAGATATCCCTGTACGCCGACGACACGGCTCTCCTCTCGTCTTCCATGGGTCGTGAGCTCGGCGTCGTCTACATGCAACGTGCTGGTACCACAGCTTACTTACTATACTTGATTGGAAGATCCGAGTAAACCCGGACAAGACTCGGCGATAACCATGGGAAGATTACTATCTTCTTCGGCCAGAAAAGTGAGAATCTCTGGAAGGGAGATTGACTGGCAAGCGCGGGTCAAGTACCTCGGCCTTCTAATAGACCGTAGGCTCACTTGGAACCCGCACATCATGTGCGTTAAGTCAAAGATCGAGGGTCGGATAGCTAGTCTGTACCCTCTGGTCAATAGAAAATCCAAACTGAGCACAAAGAACAAAATTGCCATCTACAACACGATGTTCAAGCCTGTCATCATGTATGCTTCAGGCGTCTGGGGTGGGCTCCGTCCAACATTTCCATTTTGGAAAGACTACAAAATAAGTTAATCAGGATGATTGTGAATGCTCCTTGGTTTATGCGGAACGAAGCCATCCGCAGAGATTTGCAGCTGCCTTCTATTCGGCAGTCCATTCAGTCAAGGAATCAGCGAGTTTTTGAAAGTTCGGAAACTCACGAAAACCCGTTAGTTAGGGAAGCCACAGATTATGCTGTAGACGACCCCTCCCGATATAGAAGGCCCCGACACTCTGTCGAATGAGGCCCTCATGTCCCCCGTTAACGGACGAATAGCTTTTTCATCCATCCCACCCCAGCCAGGTAGGGGTATCCCGTGAAGGGCAGTACTGATGTCTGAGGACTTCATGCCGCCATACCATCAGACATGTACCCATTGGTCCTTCTCGAGACCAATAATCAGCCGAAAGGGTAAGGGAGATGGACTCCAAGCCTGAACGACACGAAGATGACTTTCCACACAAAATATTAACTAACACGCAGCATGGCTTTCGTACAGAAAAATCAACTAATACTGCCATTTTTTTCACTATGTCATGAGGTAATTAGATATATTGAGGTAGGTGAATGCCCGGCGGCGATATTCTGTGATTTGAGTCGGGCATTCGACTGCGTCAATCACCAAAAACTTTTACTGAAATTGGAAAGGTATGGGCTAAGAGGTGCCTCTCTCAACTGGATATCCTCATTCCTTGAAGGTAGGAGTCAATATGTATCTCTCCAGTGTACGGTCAATAATGAAATCCAGAGTATAAATTATGAGCCTTTAAGTAGGTAGGTAGGTAGGTTGTTTCTGAAGTTCATCAAACAGCTCATGCTGACGACATTTCTATGATCTTCTCAGCACCAGATGACAAAATATTGAAAGACAAAATTTTTCAGTTATCATGATTTATTTTTTAATTCGGATAAAACAAATATTATTCATTTTCATAATAAACAAAATAGGATAGAAGACTTCAGTTTCAGTGCTGATAATGCGACATACTCAAAATCGAATAAAAGATTAACTCAATAAAATTTCTATTTATGAATCTGCAGACAGTTTTAACTACCACTCAACTAATGAGCATTTATTATGCTCAAGTTGATTCAAGACTGAGGTATGGTGTCTGCTACTGGGGTGGGCCATCCATGACTCATAATATATTCATTGCTCAAAAACGCATTATACGGTGTATTGCAAATGTCTCAAGGAGAGAATCTTGCAGAAAAATTTGCAAAAATTATCACATCTTGACACATATCAGTTTATATATTTGAAATATGCATTTACATATTCAAAAACAAAACACATTTCAAAATGAATAAAAATGCACCATGACACTAGAACAAAAAATACTCTAATATAATATAAAATGATTTGAAATTCCTGAAAAAAATAAAAGATTAACCGAAAATAACAATTTTATTAAAACAAAAAACTGAAATTACAAGGAAAAACATACAAGCTACAAGCAGAAAATAAAAAATTGAAATATTAATGAAAGCTGGAAATTAAAAAATATTATTAACAAAAATTGAAAAATAAAAATTATAAGATTCCAAACCAAGTTACGTCAAGACGTTTCGATTGTTGATGGTATCCACAATCGTCTTCGGGTGATATGACCCGATTAATTTCAGTTTTTTGTTTTAATAAAATTGTTATTTTCGGTTAATTTTTTATTTTTTTCAGGGATTTCAAATCAATTTATATTATATTAGACAATGGAAGTCCGAACTGATGAAATACACCACGAAACATTGTCAACCACCTTCAAACAAACCAAAAATAAATTTCATGTGCCATATGCAAGACTAAGAGTGACTTGATTTGCTCCAGAATACATTGGAATAAAAATATTTGACAAACTGTCCGATCATTTAAGGGAAGAACATAATTTTGTGATGTTTAAGAGAAATTTGAAGAGTTTTTTATTCGAACAATATTTTGTTTCATTGAATGAATTTTTAGATTAGATAAGTAGGGTATTTTAGTTTTAAGGTGATGTTTTCTACTTGTATGTCTCTTATACTCTGTCTTTTGTTCAATTATTTTATTGACTATTCCTATACAATGTATATTGTCTACATGGAAAATAAAGTATTATTATTATTATTAGTAGGGAAGTAGGGAAAGAGAAATTGAAGACCTTTCATATGAGACATCACTCGCTGTTATTACTTTAGATTTGAAGGTTGGAAGTAACAAAAAGTTGATGGAACACTCTAAACATTTGCCCTTCGAAATAAAAATTAACGGCTCCGGGCAAATTTTCTTTCTAAATGTCGTTCATGAGAAATTGGCTTTGATTCGTTTTCACTGACCCACCATGTATGTCTTGGTATATTGAGTATAAGGCTGAAGGAACGAAAATGGCGACGGTCAAGCGGTGCGACGGCGGAACGGTGGCGATGCATACAAGCATGGGCGGAAGGACGACAACAAGAACAAACTAGTGTGATTAGATTGCTAGCGATTACAGTAGTGTTGTGTAGAATAATATTATAATACCAATACCAAATGGAAATTGATAATGAATTTATCTCGTGTATTTTGTCAAAACCTGTTCAATGGGACAGTAAAAATGTTCACCTCAGCTCATAATAAAGGGTAGAAAATTCGCCAAGATCACTTCTTTCATTTATTGAATAGTTCTCTTCGACGTAAACTTGTGTTACGATGACGTGACATGTTGCTCTCAACTCTACTCCAGCACGACTGACCTACTGAAGTTTCGTGTGCACGCAAAATACTTTTCCTCTTCGCGCCGCGGTCGCCATCCCTCGGCCGTCGCGATTTTCGTGCCCCCAGCCGTAGTATATTAAATCCATGTAATTTTATGATCGCTCATACATATAGTCTTGAAATATGCCAAAGATAAGGAGTTAACTGATTGGAATGAAAGGAAATCTGGAGAAACTTTCATCGGGTACAGTGTATATAGATAGCCTTTCTGTATGGCTTTACAAAAAAAAATGAAAAAATCTACAGAACAAAGTAGATGAAAAATTTCTGAAAATACATTAAATAAGTAGTTTTACCCTTAGCAGTAATCACGACAATAAAACATTGACTTTTTCTTAAACAAATATCTACATTCATCATTGTAACTGTCACAGATGTTTTGCCCTTCCAAACTATTTTTAGACATGATGTACGTCATGCTCTGTAATTCCTAATATTCTTATTATAGACTTTCCAACTTCTCTGGCATTATTCCAAATTTTCTTTTAGGTCATTCTATGTATGCAACGAAGTGTTGAGTCTCTGAATGAATTATTACCTTTTCTGATTCCCAGCAAAAAAATACCTGTAGATTTTTTTGAAGAATCTTTCAATTCATAAAATGTAATAAATCTAACTAATCTGATACATTTGTTGCTGAGACTTCAAAGTACTAAGTACTACCTTCGTCCTCACAGTCAACCATTCACCACTAGGTGGCACTGGACAGGTTTTTGATGAGGTGAAAATCATTTGTTTCCAATGTCCAGGACCGCTCAATATATTACTCCCGTTTGAAAATGTACTGGAAGTTGTATGGTATAATCAGATGACTAGAAATTGAAATGAACATTAAAAAACAATTAAGATTTCTCCATAAAAATTCCACAATATCATCACTACAGCTTTTGGTGCTTTAGTGAAGTTATATTTATTTACATTGAATTACCTAAAATGTCATCATTTTGTACAGGAACAAGTTATTATTAATTTAAAAAGGTCAGAAAATAATGAAAAATCGTAATCGCGGTATGTATTCTATTGAAAACACTTTTTATTATTTATTGATATATTTACTACACGATGGAACACCCATTAATTTATTTAAACTTTGCCACAATCAGTGAACGAAGTATCAATTGATTCAATCAATGATTCATTTCAGACAGACACATTTCCAGATTTTCTGGAGTCTTATCTCAATCAGCCCAGCCAATTAGTTATCTGATGAATTACTTTTGGTATACCACAGGGGTCAATAGTGGGGCCTCTTTTTTCACTATATATTGACGATCTTATACAAGTATTGAAATCTCAGGTAAGTTCACTGTCTTTGCTGAGGACAGAACTATTATTTGGAACGGAAAAAATATCACTTCACTTGGGGCAACTTTAATAGATTATGTTAAATCAACAAAACTATAATATATATGACACCAACCATCTTGCTTTGAATAATTCCAAGATCAATATTTTGTGATTTAGGTGTGGTTTGGAAGATTCAAATACAAACACAATGACACCATTATACATTGTCCTACTGCTAAATATCCAGTAGTATTTATTGACAAATTGGAGTGGTGGCAGATGAACTTGGGCGTGTCAGCAGAGATCCAACGCCAGTGGGGATTCTTTCTTCCAGCAGGAGGTATTTGAAATATTTTATTTAACTTTGAATTATGTGGGCAAAATTTGTAATTTTCACAATTTCCATCATCACGTGATACTAGTAATGTTTTCTTTAGAAATAAAATTATTCATCGATAATAAAGATCTTAGAAACTCGTTTTGTATTTTTCCATATCGCTTCTTTAAATGAAATTCCTGGAGATGCCATTCTACAGAACCAGATGCAATTCTACAGAAACAGTTCAGTACAAAGAGACTTTTCAAAATCATTTTTACTTTCCTGAGTAGAAAAACTAATTTACTTTTAAGTAGGTTCACTTCAACATGAAATTATTAACAATTGAATCAGGTATACTCTATTTACCTAAATTACAAAAGTAAAAATACAATTTGAAATACAAATCTTTACTTATGCAGAAACAGTATAATAATTATGTTTCACATGAAAGTTGTTCGGTAATACAAAAAAAGGTTTCATAGGAATTTTGTATTTACAGACATTCTTCTACTAGTTAGTATAGAAAACATGAAAGAGTATGCAAGTTCTAACTTATTAGTCGCCTGTCATTTCTATATTAGTGAGGATTGGATAATTTAATCGAGAAATAACATATTAAAATAGGAAGATTCATCAAGCATGAAGGGCGGCTTTCAACTGAGCTTGTTGAAACTGGTGTTGCAGTTTTTGCAAGGCATCTCGATGGTTCTCCTGTTTTCTATCTAGAGATGAAATGGCATCGTCGATTCTCTTCATTTCTTTGGTTATATAATCAATTCTTTTGCGGACATTTTGTTTTGCTTCCACCAACTCTGTTTTGATGAGAACGGGTCCTACTGATTTATATACTTTTCCATCACTAGGCAAGAGATCTAATTCTTGTTTGACAATTTCATTCTCGTTGAGTTGACCATCTAGCTGCTGCCTTGTTTGAATGGTTTTCTGCAGCTCTGAAATTAAGAAATTATATGATTTTGTAAATATATTAGACATGATTTTTTTTGAGGTTATATGTAGAACAAAATTTGTATCAACCATAATCAATATGACTTATGTTTTTGAGAGGAAAAAACATCTGTATTCCTCGTTTATAATCCGAGGTACTTCCATCAAAATGAAAATATTTTTTTATAAGAAAATGTGTGGGTGTTGAATATAACCATTTAATTTTACACTAACTACATTTTTTCTGCATACATATAACGAACCTTTCTGAACTCTCTTTAAGTTATCTAATTCTGACTGTACTTTCCTTTGAATATCTTCACTCATTTTTACAGCTTTATTATAACCACAAATTTCTGATAATTTTTCTGGTGTTATTTTCAGTGTTGCCAACTAAATAATAAAGTTCTTTTGCGCCAGATTTCCAAAAAGAAAAAGTAGACTAAACGGCCACAGTGTATAGGCTTTCACGGTCGGACAAGTTATAAATTATATGATTAGTAGAGTAGTAGCCAAAATAGAAAAAATACATTGCACTACAAACAGAATCCTTATCCGTATCCATTTTGTTTTCTTTACTAGTTAAACTTGACTCGATAATGTCGCACTTGGAAATTAGTGAGTATTGAAAACAGAAGCCTCAATTTTTCAGTTTGCATGGAATGTTCGAAGTATTTCAACTATAGTTGACAGTAAAAGCTGTAGTGAAGCTGCTCCTTGGTTATTCAAATTCGCTATACAACAGCCTCCTCATGCGTGTCTTTACGTAAAGACGCGCCTAAATAAGCTGTCGTATAGCGAAACACGTGTTGCGTGTTGCGGAAGATAAGAAAGAATATTTTTGGATATTTTCATTCATATCATAAACCATAGGAGTTTTCGTCTGTGATTATAATACATCCGTTCTGGCGTTGAAACGATGACGTCACATCAGCTATGATTCGAAACGTATTCATGTTGATTCAAAACTGAAGTAAGGGAGTTTTGAAACGGAATTTGACGTTAGTCAGTTGTCAATTCCTGCTTTATTTTGATCGTTATAGTTTATAAAATGCTGAAAACTTTTTTCAAATACGTTGTAAAGATTTACGAAATAAAGCTGGAAAAATATTACTTGCACATTATCCGATTCTAATTGAGGTTAGAGAAAATTGAAAAGTTTTTTATTGATTTTGACATATGACACAAATTGAATCATTTCATTCTGGCGACTCTTATTATTAATGTCACTACGAATCGTATTTGAATCACGCTGGAATACGATATTAAACGCCAGAAAACACCTCTAATATCCTCCAATATCTAGAAACTAAAAGTCCCGTCTGTCTCTAGTATAATAAATGATATAGAACGAATTACAGTGGAAATGGAAGATAGTTCATCTGATTGTAGCTCGAGCGAAAGAGCTACCACAGTTGAAATTGACGGGAAAGGGTCATGTTCAAAAAAATACAAAAAGTCTCAAAAACAAACTTATTCTCAACATTGGTTCGCTGTTTTCAACTTGAAAGGATGAATTAGACTTGTCTCGAATGATCGTTCAAGAGCTCAGTGTGACTATACGTGAGTGAACAAATTGATATTTATTTTTACTTTTCAAAATCATCATTCCAGCATGATCCTGATTCCTGAAATGTAATTTCTGTGGTATTTAATTTTGTGAAAATAGTGAAATAAATTACAAGCGAAAATAGAACAATGGAACAAAAAATAAAAAGTTGAGAGATTCCAAGCCAAGTTACTTCACGACGTTTTCATTGTTATAGTATCCGCAATCGTTTTCGGGTGATGACTGTCATCAATCATTTTTAATTCTTCTTTTTTTATTAGTACTTTCAGTGATGTCAAATCATTTTATATATAATATCAGACAATGGAAGTCCGAACTAATGAAATTCATCATGAAACATTGTTAATCATTGTCTTTTGTTACTCTGAGGTTAATCACTTACAGACTTTATAGTTCATCCAGTTGGCAACACTGCCCTACTTGGACTCTGGTTTAGGCACAGGGCACAGATGATATAATATTGTTGATTGTTTACGTGGGATGACGTTTAGGTGATTAAGGATAATAATTCGAAGTCTAGTTGAATAAGGCCAAAATAGTTAATTGGCTTAGTGAAAATAACTATGGCAGAGACAACGACGATAGAACCTGATTTTGACAAAATTCTCGCCGGATTAGATAAGAAACAAGACAGCAAATACCTCTTTAAAATATTGACAAATATTAGAAAGCAAGTTGAGTGGCCCAAACACAAAGAACAAATCGCAAGTTTCCGAACGAAAGGGTATATTAAACATGTAATAAGAACTTTGCAAATGCCTCAGAAACATATAATAGATGTGTCCTTGAGTATTTTAGGGAATTGTGTTTTAGATAAAGGATGTGCTAGAATGGCAGTAAGTTACACCTTTTTTTGTTTCATTCACTCTGTACTACCATAAAGCTATAAAACCATTGGCGTAACAGCAAGTGGTTTGTAGTTTTTCAATTAATTTTTTAAGTGTTTACAAACAATTTCTATATATTTCAGATTGGAACTTACAACATTCTCACATCACTGGGTCAATTGTTGGAGCGCTATCCAACTGAAAATACTATAAATGGAAGAATTTTCAGAATTCTTGGAAATATGTGCACCCATAGAGATCAGTGGGCTAACACAATTGTGGAGAGAAAACCGGAATTCGTACAGCATACAGTAGATTTGCTAAATACAGTTTGTGAAGGTGAATTTTCCTTGGAAAATTATTCTGAAGCTACAGTCACAATGGCGGTGCGGCTCCTGAGGTAAGATGCTGAAATAGACTTTTCTCTTTTTATTTATTTGATATAATCATTTTAATTCTCTCCAAAACAATGTGGTAAAGATAACAGTGCCTGAGTTGGTGCTACCATTGTTCCAAATGCATTAACTACATTGCTTGTATTTGACTCTGGGTTTATATTATTATTAGTGGGTGTGACTTGGTTTCTCCTGATTGGATTACCCATCCTTGTTTGTGTATCTCTAAGATCTCTAAGGACAGGTAGCCAGATTTTATTGATGTTCATAGCCTCTTCTTTTATATTCAAATTATCCCTATGTTTTTGAATTTCAATTTCTTCTCTATATACTCTTGGATAGTAAGTTTGAGTTTTATTGAGTATTACTGTGTCTTTGAATGAAATAATGTGAGTGCCTTCTTTGTCGAGAGCATGCTCAGCTACAGCTGAATTGTCGGTTTGTCTGAGAAGACAATTTCTCTCGTGTTCAGAGAGATGGGTACCCACACTTCTTTCCGTGGTTCCAATGTAGACCTCTGGGGTCCTTAGCTAACCTTAAACTTTGTGTGATAGTTTTTGTTGTTGGCCTAAATATTGGTTTCACGTCACTTGATGAATGATTTTATGCTAGATACAAAAAAATTGTCATACTTATAGATTGTATCTTATCCATACTGACTGTTTTTTCATTTTCAGATTGATGCGTTACTCTATCATGAGAGTAAACTCGCTCGGTGTGCTGAAAGTTGTGGGCTGTCTCTTTGCGAAGCTGACATCCAAGTGGGAGGAAACGGGGGCCTATGCAAACCTTCTTAACAATGTTATAAAAATATTGTATGAATATACTCGGTTCAACACGTATCATTGCATATCTGAATTGAAGAAATCCCATGAAGAAAATCCTTTGATGTGCTTGAGCAAGGTGGTCTTGTTAAACCCTAAATGCGTCGTAAAAATTTTTCTGAATTGTTTGGAACACTCTCGACTCAGATCTGAACTGCCGATTTGTGAGATATTCGCAATGTTCAACGACAAGCTGTTGAATTATAGTAAAGAAGGTGAGTGGATAACTTTAATCTATGTGGGACCTACACAGATTTATTTTATCATTGACTCACATTAAGAATTTAAAAATTCTTGCACAAAATGTAATGCATTCTTTATTAGATAGCTGTATAGTCTTGATTTGAATGTTTGCATGTGTTAGTTTTTGATCGATGGTTAGACCTAAATATTTAATGTGGCTTACATGCTCAAAGGAGCAGCGATCCATTTTTGTAAGAGGACAAAAATCATAGGAAACACTTTTTTGGTGGAAAATCATAAATATCTTCTTATTGAAATTGACTGTTAACACATTATTTTTACACCACTTTGAGAATTCGTGTGATACCGCATTTGCTGCTTCTATGGAAATAGATATCTCATTTCGTGCCACCATTTGAGTTGTGTCATCTGTATAGGTAATTGTTTCTTGTTGTGACATTTGAATTTTCTATATCACTCAAAAATAGTGTAAAAACAAATTGGAGCCAGGGTTGAACCCTGCGGAACTTCCATTGAAACAGAAGTAGGATGTGACTTCATCGGATCAATCATTACCACTCGTGACCTGTTTTTTATATATGAAGCAACCCAGTCATTGGCAACTCCCCTGATTCCAATTCAAAGTAGTTTTTCCAGGAGTAAGCTATGATTCACCATATCGAATGTTCTAGTTAAATAAAAAAATAAACCATCTGGAATTTGTTTGTTATTGAGACTTTTATGTATACTTCTGCAAAGTTCATTTATTGCTGTTGAAGTTGATCTTTGTTGCATAAAACCATGTTGGCAATTGGGAATAAGTTTGTGGTACTCGGTGAAATTCGTCGATCTCTGTTTAGCAAACAGTCCAACAGAATTTCACGGTAAACTGTTTTTTTTCGGCCAAGCCCATCAAACAATAATACGTAATGAAATCTTCAGCATTTCGAGCATGAAAACATTGATTTTGTTTTCCTTACATTCAGTTTCAGTTTATTTGTCCAGGACACAGAAATTTCAGAAACAATTTGTCTTGTGTCATTATGTTATCAGAATCTCATTAATATATTTCAAAGTTCTATTTATCTACTAGGCTAGTTAATGACCACATTATTTCAAATTCAAAGCAACTGACAAATTTATATTTCATCATAACAAAGAAAGCAATAAAACCATATCAAAAACTTTTCCCTATAACAATATAGAAAAAACAATCAATCAGTCAAACATTTATTGAATCAGTTTTTCTCTACAATCACATTAGCCAAAAAAAAAACATTACATTATCATAAAATACTGGCTGATTCGACAGGTCAAACAAACATAAAAAAGTCAATATAAAACATAAATACATAAATAATAATAATAAGCTACAATTAAATTAGGATTCAAGGAGAAACTCATCCACAGAGTAGTATGCTTTTTGCAACTGAAAAATCTTGAGTCGCTTTTTGAAGACATTTGAGGATTTAATGTCCTCACTAAGCTTATTATATAGCTTAACCCCAAACCACATGGGGTGATTCTTTGATACTGTCAATTTACTATAAAATTGATGTAGTTGAGAGTTATTTCTGGTGAAATGTTCATGGATTTGCTCATTTCTAGGAATAATTGAAATATTGTTTTTTTTTTGTATATATCAGAGTTTGGTAGATATACAAACTAGGCATTGTTAATAAACTATAACGAATGAATAATGGCCTGCAATGTTCACTTGATGATGCACCAGTCAGAATTCTGATTACCTTTTTCTGAATAACAAAAACTTCATCAGCTTTAGCTGATAAGCCCCACTGTTCAATACCATAGGGCTGTGGTATAAAAGTTTGAGAACATCAAGAGAGACTGTTTGTTTTAACTGGCGAAGTAAATATATATGTTTACTGAACTTCAGTTTGACACTATCAACATGGAACTTCCAGGTATCCACACCTAAGAATTTAATACAATTATTAAACCTTACCAAATAGCTTTTATCAATTGTTGTACTTCTGGTAACAAAGTTGAGCATTTGAGATTTAGCAGCAGGCCATTTATACAACACCACTGATCAGTTACTTCATTAGCTTTGACAATTACTTCGGACATAGTTCCTGCAGACACCAAGATTTTAGTATCATCCGCAAAAATAACAGCAATGGAAGCTTTTGAACAAAATTTTGGAACATCATTTATTAAAACAAAAAAAATAAAAGGGGCTTTGAGGTACCCCTCTTGATATTCATTTTCTTTCTGAATTCATTCTATTCATTGGTAATGACACGTCTTTTTGGGCTTTCTACTGCTAATGTAAGCACCGCTATTGTATGTTAATTGCATTTAGTATATTTATGCCGTAAAAATGTATACTCTATCTATCGTGAATGTGAATCCGTTAATTAATAAATCTTCCTCTGTTACAGAACTAGGAGTCAATTACATGATATACATTGATTGCCTCTGCTCCCTGTTGGACCATCCGATCCCCCGCAGCCTTGAACAGTGGGGATCGTGCGTGAAAACTTTCGTAAAAGTGCTCGAAACATTGAAGGAACCTTCTAGAATCGAACTAAAGTGCTGCAACTCGATCATCAGAGCTCTCACCCAATGCCGTTATGAAGAGCGCTTCATAACGGAGGAACTCGAGTGTAACATAATTCCAGTACTGGCCGGCAAACTGAAGTGGGCGATGGGCGTTAAAGACGAGTCAGAAAGCTTGGCGGTCAGTCACAAGGTGGACAGGAAAAGAGGCAACCCGATGATGGTGAGAAAGTTGCTAGGTAACAGGGAAAAACCAAAAAGGCGGTTCATGAACTTGGAGAGGTGCAACAGGAGCGAGTTTTTGGATTATGTGAGTACTAATTTTAATAAATCTAAAGAAATGAACTTTAAATAATCAAGCATGTCTCGAATATACCTACACAGTAAGTTGAATGGACCGGCTCTTGTCAGAAAACAACTACTCCCCTGGCCAATACCACGAAGGATGTTGGATTATATCCGACAGGCTTCAGTGCAGGAATCTTCACAGAAAATTTCCTGCATATGCAGTTGGCAATACAACTGAAAGAGTCGACCTTCAATTTTGGAACGGGCACACTTGCAGACCGGTTTCGGGCTCATTAGCCACTCATCGGTGCAAGATATGGCCATCATCGACCTAAAGACAATGATATTCCATAATTGAAAATCGGAATTCTTTCTGGGTATTTCACTCCTCTTCCTAAGTTGGAGCGAACAGCAACATGTCACTCCATCTAGCGGACGAGGTACTGATCAACTGCATATCCCAAATTTGCCCGATTCCTCTGAATAAGGAAGAAAAACTTTCTTATTAGTCAGTCAGAGCCAGTCTCGTGTAGGTATATTCAAGACTGTCTTGAACGTTTAAAGTTAATTTCTTTAGATTTGTTTACTGCCAGTCTTCAAGCATAGCCCAGTGAATAATAAGAAACTAATTTTAATGATTTTCTTGTTTTCCATAAACGAAACTCATTCATTTCTCTGTGAGGGTACGTATCTTCTGTATGGAACCCATTATATGCAAGCCACATCCATATATTAGAACAAGTTCAGAGAAAATTACTAAGATTGGTTGCATTTAAATCCAGAATTACTCCTGAGAATTACATATATAACTATCCTCAACTACATTCTCAATTAAATCAATCAAATAAAAATATACTTTATTAATTCCTTTATTTAGCATAAGCTAATATACAATATGTTTGATTCTAAATATCATTAGGCTAATGTCCAAATATTTAAACAATGAATTACAAATATATACATGTATATGACTGGTTACAATCACAAATCTGGATCACAATCAGCTGGAAGGGCAAACCGAATCAGAACAAAACTGGAAAAAAGTAAAAAGCAAAAGAAAACCATCCAAGAATACCAGAGGACAAGGAGAAGACAGTGAAGGGAAATTCAAGGGTGAGAAACCAAGAATCTGGATGTTTCTCTATAGAGTTCAACAAGAAGTTCATGAGGAAGATATACTGGAAAACTTAAAAAAACAAACAAACAATCTGGATGAAGATTTTATTGTAAAAGAATTGAGAACCAATGAGGGTAGTAGATATAAAAAATTCATGGTGGCAGCAGATTTTGAGTGGAAGAATCGATTCTACGAACCACGTTTTTGGCCCAGGGGAATAGGCTTTAGAAGATTCGATTTTAAATTATATTACGAAAAGTATAATATTCGTGATGTTGTGACCGGGGAAGTTGAAGCAGCACGACCAAATTATTTTTTGGAAACACCGATGGACAGCAGCAAACAACAAGTTATGGTATCAATGAATCAAAGGAAATAAATCTTTTACATTATAATATACAGGGGTTATCTAAAAAGTTATTAAGCTTAGAAATTTTATTTGAGAGTAAAGATCCAGATATAGTTTGTTTGAGCGAACATTGGCTAAAAAACAATGAAATTGAAAACGCAGCTTATCCTGGTTACAAACTGATAAGTAGCTTTTGTCGCAAAGACTCTGACCATGGAGGTACTTGTATTTATACTGAAAATAATATTCCAGCCAAATCTGTGAAATACGATAATTGTATAAACATTTTGAAATTAGTATTGCTGTGCTAGATGTTTTGAATGGTCAATCTAAACTATTCATTATAACTGCATATAGAACACGAAATAGTGATAGTAACATTTTTATAGATGCAGTGTATGATTTGATGAACAATATTTATCGTAAGGAATATTATTATATCGTATGCGGCGATATTAATGTAGAATTTCTAAAACATAGCAGAGAAACAGTTGAAATAATAAATTTATTCAACGAGTTTGGTATGACTAATCCTATTGATAAACCCACACGAATCACACAAACCACAGTTTCAGGGATTGACGTGATTTTTTCTAATACAAAAGCATTATCGGTACTCATTGAAGATACTCATTTATCAGATCATACATTGCAGCAATGTTGTTTTGAAATATAAAAAGTCAGAGGTTAACGCAGCTTTTCCTGGTTACAAACTGATAAGTTTGGGCCGAAGTTTACAGTGAGATAAAAAATTTTAAAACGTTCAAAACAACATTATTCAATTACCTTAATGAAAATACTTTTTATACAATAGAGGAGTACCTCACTGTTTGATGCACTGTCTGTGAGTTTTTCGTATTTTCTTGTGAGCTCTATAATGTTTATATAAGTTGTAATACTATATGTTTTGACTAGTCTGATAAGTTTTGTACCATTGTGTAAAAAACTTCAATGATGAATACATTATCTGTAAAGTATGAAATATCTACACATAGGTGGGCAACAAAGGTAAGACAAAAGTATTGATACAGATACAAAGCAACAAACACAACACTTTAAAAAACCTTGGAATAGTAATGGAAGTTATTGGTTTCTACATGGATATTTCGGTTGATTCTGGTATTATAATTATGATAATTTTCATTATATGTTATTTTTCTCCTCAAGTAGTTTGAAGATAGATGGTGATGCATCTTATATATCAGTACCATTGTTTGACACTACACAGTCTTTTAATGACATCCATTTCACTTCTCTCAACATGTTGACTATTGGCGTGTCTCTCGGTACACCCAGTATGATTTTCATGGCTCTATTTTGTTGTTTTTGAAGTCGATCCAACTCGTTTTTATTAGTCGTAAATAGTATTGAAGAACAGAAAGTAAGATGTCTTAAAACTAATGTATTATAAATTATGATTTTTGACCATCTAAATAGGCTAGGTGATACTCCCACCAGAAAATTTACCTTATAAGTGATGGTTTTTATCACTTTCAATACATCTTCTTTGAATGTTAGTCCTTGGTCAATCAATACTCCCAAATACTTCACCACTGTTACATTTTCAATATCCTCATTAGCAATCTTTATACTAATTCCTCCATTTTTTATTTCGTTATAACCTGTTTTATTACTCAGTATGAGAAATTTCGTCTTTTCACTATTCACTTTAAGAGTGTTGAGATTATACCATTCACTAACTATGCAGAACTCTCTATTTAGAGTATCTACCAGCTCATTATCATTATAAGAACAGTAGTATATTAAGGTGTCATCTGCAAACAAACAAATTTTTCACTCAGAGATCTCTGAAACAAGGTCATTTATACACAGAAGAAAGAGTAAGGACCCAAGTGTACTACCCAAGATCTGAACATCTCATTGGCAAGGTCTAGTAAAGTAAAACATATGGGACATTAAAAATTACAAGCTATAAAGTAATGCTTAGAGACAAGATCAGCGTATATAGACAGAACAATATGAATCCCAGCTGAACAGATACAAGTTTAAGTACATGCATATTGACTACATGTAAATATATAGTGCTATGTAATGAACATTGATATACCTAAAGCAAATTCAAATCCAAGATAGAGTGGATGTAAACATTGATATGCCCTACGCATGTGATATTGAAAATCCCAAGAATTGGCCAGGGTCATATTCAAAAGCAACATCTTGTTGATCGCAAATGCTTTTTTATAATAACGTGTGAAATGCACAAGTTTTGCAGTTTAACGGGAAAAATGCAGATAATATGTGTAATATAAAAAGATTTTCATTGGATTTTTCACAGCGCACTCAAGCATTATATGAAAAGAGACGTAATTATTTCTTTATTGATAATTTTTATTTTATGTAACATCAAAAGGAATATTAATCAAAATTATTCAACTGGATGAATTTGTCTCTTCATCAGTAGTGTCATCCTCACCAATATGAATTATCAGTGGCTCGATTTGTGCCTCTATTATGGTATCAAGCTTCCACATCTTTGTCTCGACTTCCGATATCACATGCCGAACACACTTCTCCCATTTCTCCGCTGTGACTTTTTTCAAAGCCTCATCGCAAAGTACTTTGAGATATGCAAATTTGAACGTGGTGTTATGCTGAGCTACAAAATTCTTCACATCCGCCCATATTAACTCGATGGGATTGAGCTCGCTGTGGTATAGAGGCAGGCAAAGGACAATGTTGTTTTGGCCTGCTGCCATCTCATCGACTATATATTTTTGGTATTCAAGCTTGCGCTCCTTGACAATTTTTAGTAGCTGTACTCTTAGCATTGACTCTTCAAAGCTAATATTCTTTGATCGGAGCCAATTTTGGATTTCAACCTTCTTTGAAGACGTTGTCGGAATCTTCTCTAACCGTCGCGAATGATAAGGTGCATTGTCCATTACAATCACAGCATTATCCTCCAGATGGGGTAGAACTTTGGAAAACCACTGTTCGAAAGATTAACCGTTCATTTTTTCGTGATAATCTCCAGTGTTCTTCGACTCGAAACACCACAGCCCTTCAGCAACAAACCCATTCTCATTTCCGATGTGACAAATAATAAGTCGTTTTCCTTCACCTGAAATTATGAGGAGGTATGTAAGTAAGTAAATAAAACAAATTCGAGGGTTACTTTTTATATATTGAGATTGAGGCAGGTCTCAATATAAATATAAGTTTACCTGATGGATTTGTTAATCCGGTGGATAGTCCATCTAGAAAGGCTCTCCTAGATGAGGTCACAGTTTCATCGACCCATACTTTAGGGGTAGTATGACCAGCATTAAACCAGGTTTCATCCATATAATAAATTGTTCTCTGTTGTTCCCTATAATATTTAATTTTGGTCAAATACTCTCTCCTCCATAACACAATTTCCTCTCTATCCAATAATAAACTATTGCGCCCTCGTTTTTTCCATACAAAATTCAAATGTTTCAATACTTTATGGAATGTTGACCGCTTAAAACTTGGCAATAAAACATCTTCATTTATTTCTGTGAGTACTTTGTCTATCGTGGGTATTTCATTCCTGAAAAAGTACTCATGCACTTTCCTCCTGATTGCATGTTTATCAGCATCATCTATTGATTTTATAAAGATTTGACGATTCTGATTTGTATTCGGTTTGGAAAATGTATGATTTTGATTATATTCCCGTAAAACATTGAAAATCGAAGCGCAACACACTCTAATATTATCGGAAACTTTCGATACGACTTCGTCGACAGTCGATGTCTCAATTTCTTCCATCTCTTTCTTGAACACATTTAAAATCACTTCTTTCATCTCAACACTCAAATGTCTTTTTTTGGATCGTTTCCTGGCTGGACTCAGAGGATAGCTCACAGTGTCATCAGCAGTGTCTGTACTGGACATCTTGGAAAACAATTTTAAACAATATACTATAACGCACGCCACACAAACGACTGATTACAACCCTGTGCTGGTACCTAACTCTAAGAAGGCGAATTCACCAATGAACGCTGCCCTTTCCATCTGACACTGGGCGATCACGTGAACATCACGCTTTGGTTTTGTTTTGTTTTACTCTATCTTGGATTTGGATAGACTTTACATGCCTATTACTCGATAGAGCCTTGGTAGAATTCGTCCACACTATAATAGGGCCTCCTAAGAAGGAATTCTTTTACTTTCTTTCTGAATTTCTTTTTATGTGTTCGCCTTAAATTGATGGGAAGGTGATTAAATAACTTCTTGCTATTGAAAATAATAGAATTTTGTATAGGGTAGATGTTGGAAGGGAAATGAAGTAATACTGACATGTACTATAAGTTGAGGTTGGTATTAAATTGGTTTTTATATTTTATGTGGGCAAGACACTGTTTCCAAAATAACAAGACATACTAAGGTCAGAAATTTTTGCTTCACAAATAAAGGGCGGCATGAATCCCTGTAACTAGCTTTGCATAAATATCAACTCTGTAACTTAGTGTTTTCCCGTTTATACCGAATAAAAAAAAATTAATGTATCTTATATTACTCTCACATTGTTAAAAAAAGTAGTGAAACTCAAAAATTTCATGTTGAAAAATTTGAAGACGTATCTCCTGCGCAAGCATTATACAAACCTTACTAATATGATCTCTACTACTAATAATATTCTTTTTTTCTGCAGACAAACATTGACTCGCCTATTGAAAGGATGCATATGTCGCAGTTTCCGTCCCCTAGCAGCGACGATGATTGTAGACCACCGTGGGACCGCAGTCCCAGCCCGTGTTCGAGTAACGAGGGCAGCACTGGATCTTCGGCATTGTCGCCTTTCGGTAGCCCCAAACCTCCAACCGACTACGAATTAGAGTCCGATTCGGATGATTATTCTCCTGTTTGTAGCGATGCCGACAGTTCGGAGTTTGATTACAATGATTTACCGTACTACGATGAGCATGTAGAATTTGAAAGACAAATTCAAAATGAACAACACGGATCTGGTAAGTAGAATTCCTGTAATTTCATTAAACACATAATTTTGTGTGCTTGATATTTATGTGGTCGCCTTCAGGGTAGTACTTATTCTTCTTCCGATCTTCGAAAGATTTCTCAAACTCGATATTTGGGATAGCCTTCAGCTATTTCAGCGATGAAGTCATCTATGATTGTAAAACATCCGTTCGAAGTTCTCTTTATTTTTGGAAATATGAAAAAATCACGTGGAGTTATGTATGGCGAATATGAAGGTGGGGAATCATTTCGGTATTGTTTTTTTGGTATAAAATTCCCGAACAAGCAAGTTCCATGAATTGTTTTTCCACAAATCCTACTCTGCACAATACATCTCTTTTTGTTATATGAATAGAGAAGTTGGTTGCAGAAATCCCGAAGTGCTATATCATATCTGATATAAGACTCTGAAGGAGAGAGAAATATGTATTTTTGGTAATAATTTCATTAATCTCAACAGATTCTATTCTCACAGTATAGCAACCTGATGCTACCCTTCTCTTCAATGACGTACCATAGTCATCAAATCTTAACCGATCATCATGAATGAATTCCCAGAATTTTGGTATAGGATTTATTTCCAATTTGATGTTTTTAATTGGTGGTGTCGTCAGCAAAAACTATTAATTTTCCTGTGTTAAGTAAATTGGTTGTATCATTTAACTGAAGCAGAAATAGGAAAGGACTAAGGACTGATACCTGAGGAACTACCGAAATGATATTCAACAGTTTTGAACGTTGACAAAGCCGATTCTCCAGTTTTACTCCATTGGTGGTAGGTGAGGCCTTATTCCATGGCTGAATCAAATAACATGATTCGAGAAAAATGAAGTGCAGGTAGCCAGATTTCAGTAATGCTAATTTCCTCCTCCATTCGGTTGAAATTTTTCTGTTGTCTCCCTATAAAGTATTACATGACACGAGTTTTTATTGAATAGTATGTCGGGATGTCCTAGGCTACAATTTCTTTTGTATTTCGTACTCACACTTCCACAGCTACGAGAAATCCGGTAAATCTCTGGTGTTGCTAATGGTACTCTAGAGTCCTGAGCTTAGAATCTTTCTGATAGTTTTCGTTGCTCTGGATATCGATTTCATTTAATATTTCTCCATAACTCTCCCAGTTTGGCCCGTAACATTTCTCACAGAGGGCAGGGTAAAGTAGAACATTCCATCTGTTACCTCATTGCCGTTGATAATGTTTACCGCAGTTGTAGACAAAACGCCAGGATAAAAACCTGCAGACCATTACCAACAAACCTGAGAAATAAATTTGGAGTATTATAAGTTACTGTTCACGTATTTCTATTTGAATTGCTACATTCAGCAGATTGATCCTTTTGAAGTTTGATACATTTTTTGACTCGTTAATTTTGCCATGCAATGTAAATACTTCGGTCAATCTAGACTTTGGAAGGTACATAAATTTACAACAAGCTGCAAACGCGTGTAATTGTTCAAAACATAGTCAAAAATAAGATTTTAAAATTCCGAATGATTGCGATGCCTGGAAAAAAAATTATTCGAGGTTAAAGGTCAAAAATCTCGAAAAAAATTGGTTTTTCGCGATTTTCAGGAAAACGGTAAGTTTTATCATAAAATAAAATATCAGATAAAAATTGTAGATCATAAAATTCTCTACAAAAAAATGTACAATATGTCTGTTGTGATTCTGTCAAATTGAAAACTTGCATAATAAAATATATTAGGAAGGGTTGGAAATTATAATTAAAAAAATGTAAAAATGTATTCATCTGAGTCATAACCTTCAAATACTTCTTCTTGTCGTTCTTCTTCTTGGTCTTCTTCTTGGTCTTCTTCTTCTTCTTGATGTTCATCCTGGGTGTAGGTAAACTGCGTCAAGAGTGATATATCACGTTTCCTCGTTGGTATCAAATGAATCCTTCACTATTGGTGATTCAGCATTAGAACATGACTGACCTTGACAATGTGTACATGCCAGAGAACACAACAGTCCAACTTTTTTACAACCACATTTAGCGCTGCATCCCTTTTTACAGTTGCAAAAAATTGTGTTTAGCAATTTTTCCGGCGCAGGTGGGAGTAAAGTCAGAATAGGTTCAAATGCATTGTCGACCAACTTCCAAACCAGTCTTTTGGGTCTAGCTGATAACCAAGCCACACTTGAACTTGGTAATATACCCGGAAAAGATGTTGATGGGCAGCAACTGAGGTTGGAGGAAGACAAGCTAATTGCACCTGTTTCTTATTTTTAGTGTTTTTTACGAAACATGCATATCGATACTTATCTAAGCAGGTGGTTTTTTTCGGAGCTTTGTACATAGAAAGCAGAAACTGAATCCTGTTGGTGATAATTTCTTGTTGAGTCGAATTACTTTTTTTTGAAAACTTCAGCACATTGAACTAAATCTTGTTTTTCAAGCTTTTTGAAGGCTGTTGCTTTACCCCTCCTGTAAAATGCAGACGTCGTATCACAGCCAGTTATTGCGAGTAAAAATAGTACATGATTTTGACTCTTTGCAAAAGTAGATAAACTTTTTGACGAATATATTTCGGACTGACTTTGAGCTTTTCCTGGCTTTAGAAAGAAAATAGTTTTTTCAGGTGGAGTTCGAGCAGTAAGAAGTACAAGTAGAAACATCTTCACCAACAACAATAGTTGTATTTGTCAAATTAAATTGCCCTATAGCTGTTTTAATAATCGTACACTTCAGGATCTATTAAATTTTGTAGTTGTTGCATATCCTGCAAGTAAAGGTGTGCAGACTTAGCATAAGGAAAATGTCCAAACGCGTGAAAATAAGGAAGCATTTCTTTAACGCACTTTAAATGAGCTCATGCATATAATGACGATTACAACTTTTTGACACGTCGTATCTCAGAAACGGTGGCTCTAAGAAAAAAGTATTGATACATTTTTTGTACAGAATTTTATGATGTACAATTTTTATCTGAGGTTATTTTATGATAAAACTTACCGTTTTCCTGAAAATCGCGAAAAACCAATTCTTGTCCTTTGACCTCGAATAATTTTTTTTCCAGGCATCGCAATCATTCGGAATTTTGAAATCTTATTTTTATCTATGTTTTGAACAATTACTCGCATTTGCAGCTTGTTGTAAATTTATGTACCTCCACTATTATTTTTAGTCTAATTTGACCGGAGTAAAACGTTACGTTGAAATAAAGTAATTTTTCAATTTTATACTCTTGTCATAATAATTATAATTATTTTCAGATAAATCCTCCAGCGAAAATCCCCTCCCCGATAACCTCAAAGTGACTTTGCTCTACGAAATATGCAAGCTACTGGACAGTTTCGTAAAATTCCAACCGCCCCAGCTTGCTTCCCAAGAAGTGATCTACTTGCTTTTGAAGAGTGCCTTGTACTTTCCGAACAAGTTCTCGTACAGGGAAGCCTTCGCTGACTTGATAAACAAAATTCTCAAATGTCAATCCTACGTGATCCCCTTGCTGAGGACTAACATCATCGAGCACTTATACGACCTTACGGAGTATCAGCACGACAAGCTTTGTCTCAAATGTTTGGAAAACAAACATTTTGGCAACAAGATACTGGGGTGCTTTACTTACGTGGCGGAGTCTGAGGTCTCCAAAGGAGAGATTGCTCACGCGCTGATCAGGGGAGATGACGAAATGAAGGCGCAACTCGTTCTGGTTATTCCTTACGTCATTACGTGAGTATTTGGATTTTTTTATTCCAAAATGTGCGGATTACAATTTTACAATACAGTTTTTTCTATTGGTTGGGAAAGGGATCAAAAATGTTCGTAGATAAACGAACGTTGGCATAAAACGAATTTAGTTTCATGCCAACGTTTTGGACTTTATTAAATCCATCATCAGCGCTCTATAATAAAATAATTTAATAAGTGTACAGTTTATGCCAATACATATTACAAACAGGTGCACTTACCAAACATTAGATATCCATGTCAACAAAACCTTTAAAATATGTGTGTCAGACAACATTGGTACAAACGAAAATGAGGACTAAACAAATGAAAACGATATCAAGGGAGACAAACTGATTAGAAATGGACATTTTTGTTTGCCTTTTTGAAAAAAAAATTATAAACAATATAAGAATATCAGATTACACAGGATGGTGGAAACTTATGTGTATTAAAATATTAAGGAATACGATTTAGTAAAAGGGGATTAATTTTCCTTTTTTAAAGTAGAATATCTAGGTTCGTATAAATTATTTCAACTTGATATAGGCCCTGTTGCCAATATGTGAATTAGAAACAAATCCCTTCAAAAATTAAAACCCAACATTTGAAACATCAATTTGAATACTTTTCGAAGTGAATTTGAAAGACTCATGAATTGAACTCAACTTCATTTTTTTCAAACTTGCATCTCAATCAATCAATCAAAATATACTTTATTGTCGAAAAAACTCTTGTTTTGTTGACAAAGTAGAATATACACGTACAGAAAAAAAAATGTAGGCAAAATACACACAAATATGTAAAATATAAATAAAATAGAATAAAAATAAAAATAAAGTTGTTATATAAACAAGCAGTATATAAACATATACATTTATCAATTATACATTTTATTCAATAAGTGTCAATGAATAAATAAAATATCAATTATGAAATGTTATTTGAACATTTTGCCAATTTTACGACTTATAATTTAACAGTCTAATAGAGTATGCTATACAGTACCCACAATAAATTACAATTTCACTGGAAGTTGTCATTGTAAAATTCTTGCAAACTATAATAGGGTCTGCTCTGCTGTAATAATCCAAATTGAGGAACATTCCCCATTAAAGCACTATTAGCAGTCCTTCTATGTCCCTTCTAATGTTAACACTTTTTTGTTTAAAAATGTGGATCATCTCACTAAACAGTCGTTTACTTAATAAAGGTTGAATACCTAAAATCTTGGGGTTTGCAAAGTCAAAACTGTGGTTGTTTTCTCTTGTGTGCTCAACGAGGGCTGTTGTATTGGCAACATTCAACTACCTTGTATCTCTTTCATGTTCAGACAACCTGTTTTTTAAGTAACGTCCCGTTTGCCCTACATAACATTCTGGACAATCCTTGCAGCTAATTTTATAAACGACATTTGATTGCATATTCATCGGAATTTTTGTTTTTTGTTTCGAAAAAAATCTTTTACCTACAGTTCAAACGCAGTTTTGATGTGGTCATTATTTAGAACTGATCCATCTGAAGTGTTTCAGAAAGGTTATGTACATAAGGAAGTTTGAAATTTTATTATAGAAAGAAAGAAAGAAAGATATTTTATTGACCTCAAATTACAATTTCTGTTTCTGTAATAACAAAATTTGCTTAGGTACCTCATACTGAAAATATAAAAAATATACATAGAGTACATAAAAAAATCTCACAATAGTTATGACTCACAATATAAATACACATATATACACACATACCCACATATACACACACATATATTAGGTCCACTGACAATTGAATACCTCATCAATCTTATAGAAAGCTTGGGTGACAAGTGAATTTTTTACTTTGAACTTCAATTCTTTGATATGAAGGTCTTTCCACTCACTAGGCAAAGTGTTATAAATTTTTATGGGAAGAAACTCCGTTTGTTTGGCTGTGTTTTGATAATGCATCTTCGGTAGCCTGATGATATCTTTGTGTTTTGTATCATAATTGTGAATCCTGGAGCCACTATTATATTTATTTGTATGTACAAACAACACTGCTTCTAGTATAAACATGGAAGGTAATGTTAGTATGACCCATTTTATGAAGATTGGTTTAGCATGGGTTCTGGAATCAACTTTTTCTAAATCTCTCATCTTTTTTTGGATAATGAATACTTCACTTGCATGTGAGGAAGCACCCCATATCAGTATCCTATTGTTTATGTTGCAATGAGCCATGCCAAAATATGCAGTTCTCAGCACATCGTTTGAAACTAAACTCCTTAGTCCTCTCAATGCGTAGCGACATCTCGAGAGCTTTTTACATAATGATGTCGTATGCCCGTTCCAATTTAATTTGTTGTCAAGATGGAATCCTAGTAGACACACCTCTTTGTCACCGTCAGACATTTGGGATCTATTTGCAATGGTTATTTCCTGAGTCTTATTTGCGTTCAAGCATAGAACATTAGTGCTAAAGTATGTTTCACATTTTGCCAGTGTTTCACATGACAACTGATCTAGTTTCCCCACTTGTTGGTTACTTATGACAAAAGTTGCATCATCGGCATATAAAAAAAACATCTGCTGTATCAATATATGTAGGAAGATCATTTATGTATACAATAAATAAAAGGGGACCAAGTACGGATCCCTGAGGTACTCCATGCTTGACAATTTTGGTATCAGATTTTACATTGTTATATAATATTACTGGTCTACAGTGGTTTTGTTGCCCTAGATATAAGATTGCTTTTGGCTGTATTTATACTCGCAAATCATGAAATTATCAATGGTTTTGTAAGATTTGCTCTCGTTTTCTTTCAAATATTTATTTTCATTTTACATTACAAAAATTCGAAAACAAGAAACAAAATAACAGATATATTTATAATCTCAGTTTTATTTGGAAAAAAATATGATACTTTGAAGTAAATAGAGAGGGAAATTTCGAAAACATGCTTTTCTTTTATAATTTTTCAGAGGACAATCTCTTTTTAAAGACCAGCAGTAATCGGCCATCATGTGACAATCCCATCGACCCTGATATCTTTCTTCCATTACTTTTAGATCCTGGTGGAACCGATCTTCCTGCTCCTCACTATAATTTCCTAAATTATCTGGAAATTTATCCAAATGGTTGTGAAGATAGTGTAACTTGATACTCATATTTGCTCCTAGAATCTGAGAGTTTGTCAGCATATTTTGTACAATTTCTTCATAATTTGGTGCTTTATGGTTACCTAGGAAATTTTCGACTACCAACACAAAACTTTCCCAAGCTTTACTTTCCGGAACAGTCATAACTTTAATAAAATCAGTGTCTTTCTGCTATTGCCGTATTTGAGGACCATCAAATATTCCACCTTTCAACTTTTCCATTCTAAGTTTTGAAAATTTTCTACAAATATATTTAAAACAATCTCCTTCCTTGTCCAAAGCTTTTACGAATTGCTTTATCCTAACTTAATATGCAATGGTGGAAGTATAATTTTGTCTCTGCTCACCAACAGCTCTCTTATTACATTAGCTTTACTGACAGTTAAAGAATTTCTTTCAGGCCAAACATCTTCCCAATGACGTTGCTTTGCTCTACTGTCCCACATACAAATGAAGCAAGGGTATTTCGTGTATCCACTTTGTTGACCAAGTAAAAAATTAACCATTTTTAAATCCACACAGATCGACCATTGATGCTCCGAGTAATTGATTTTTTCTAAAACTAATTTGACATTTTCATATTCTTTTTTGAGTTTTGTAGAATGCAGTAAGACGCATTTTAAACTTCTTTTACAGCTATCAATAAAAAGGCGCCACTCAGTAGGTTTGTATTCTTTCAAACCCATGTCCAGAAGCAGCTTCGCAATATTATTACAGTATACCAATCCTTCATTTTCATCAATAAATTGTAATATCTCACTCTCTCGCGTTCTGTACGTTGTAATTGTAACTGTCGGTGCCAATAAATTTTTTTCTTTCAATCTTGAAGCTTACAGTTCTGATCCTTGTTTTGATAAATTTAAATCACGTATTAAATCACTGAGTTCATTTTGAGAAAACAACTTTGGCGTAGATGTTTTACCCTCCCATTCACGTCCACTGGTAGACTGATTCGATTTCTGTGAATTTGGCAACATCATTGTCTCTGAGGGCATGCGAATCACTTTTGAAACATAAATAGGCCGAGGGAGATTTTCACTGTGTAAAACAGGGCATTTTGTAGACTGTAAGTCTGGATATCTCCACGTTTGATTTCGATTAAAACCTTTAGCATCTACTACGCAAAAGTAACAATCATTGAAATGATTCTTAGGCTCCATCCAGATCATAGGAATACCAAAGTCTAATCCAGAACGTTCTCCTTTTTTCCACAACCGCAAAGACTCAACGCAAGACTTAGAAACTTGATTAGTAACCCATGATTTATCTAATTTGTCCATTTTAAAACCGAAATATTCAGCATAAGTTTCCTTAACAAAGTCTGTGATATTTCTATTTTGTTTTTTTGATATATAAATACCACAAATATAACAGAATAAATCACTACTATATTTGCACTTCCTTCGTGACAAACTCATGTTTAAAAAGACAAGATAAATATATTAGAACGGACACTCAACTATTGAAACAAAATATTAAAATATAACAACTTATCCAGATTTCCGTGTTAGTACTTCAATATTATCAAATAACTGAGTTCTTAGCTGTTTTGCAGAGCAAGGAGCCCGAGAAGTGGGGATCACGTGATGTTTGTACGCGTAAAGAAGTTGCCCAGAAGCCTATTCATGACTGAGAAAATAAATTTTTTCACTAACAAGCCGATTATTATTAAAAATACAAGATATGTAAAAATCATGAAAAATAGAACACATTCAGTACGTTCATAAATATATTCGTGATTTAGGCACTCGAAAACATAAAAATTTGCAAAAATATCCAGGGCAACACAAAAAATTTTTTTTTTTGTAGAGCTGTGTATATATTGCAGCCTGTCTGTCAAAAAAGAATGTATTAGGTCATATGCTATGCCTCTAATACCATATTTTTCAAGTTTTCTCAATAATATGTCATGTGAAACACTGTACTACACTTAAACGATTTGATCTCCACTAACTTTATTGAAAATAATCATAACATGTTTCGCTAAAACATTAGCTTTTTCAAATGATTAATAATTTGAATTAATCATTTGAAAAAGCTAATGTTTTAGCGAAACATGTTATGATTATTTTCAATAAAGTTAGTGGAGATCAAATCGTTTAAGTGTAGTTTGTGAAAATATATGAATCAATCCAATTACTCATATACTTGAACTTTTCAGAGACCACAGCCTGCTCAAGCAATTCCTTTTAGAGTGCGGAGGGCTGAGAGTCCTGATGAACCTGTTTCAGCAAAACGACAAGTACACGGACCGATCCATGAGGACACTGTGCTCCCTAGCGAAAGAAAGACTGGAAATACCAAACCCCATAGACGTCGAAACGTGCGGTACGACGTCAGGTCCCTCCTTTCACGACGGGCTCCCGGGTAAAACGACACTGTCGGGGAGGCTCGTGGCCTTCAAGCTGGACGATGGAGAGGTCGTACATACCGAACGCGATTTCCTGACCAGTAAGTCGGAGTTCTTCGCGATCTTGCTGAACGGTCACTTCAAAGAGAGCGACGAAGACGAGGTGAATCTGCACAACGTCAAGGGCGAGTCGCTGCGATGCTTGCTCGATTTGTTGCAGCATGACAAGCTGCGCTGGGCTATTCTGCGCAGGTACAGTAAATTCTTTTGTATGGTAGGAGTGTCATAGGGTTCCCTTTTGAGCTCCCTTCTATTTTATACAGTGACACGTTTTTCTTGATAGATATAATTGAAATTTAACTATGAAGTTGGTTTTCGCTTAAAAATGACTTGAAGATTAGCCTCACTTCATTTGTCAAGTGCAATCGTCAACCTGTCAAGTTTGATATTTTTTAAAGACAGTTCCAAAAATCGGATCACCTGGAAATTTCTAAAAACGCTTCAGGGAAAAGTTCAGTTTTTAATTTTATAACTCTCCATCAAATAATTTTTTTTTCTCATTTTTTATATGAAATTTTTCTAATCCTGATTTAATCAGAAACTGATTTGGATTTCTTTGTTGAGATGCATAAATGAAAAACAAATTTGTTCAATCAACTCGTTATCCTTTTATTATTCGACACACTTTTATTAGCCTCCCCTGTATGTATATAAATCCTTTATTTAGCAATGAAACTGCTAATACATCTATAATCAAATACGACACCACAATGTGTTAGTAACAACTAAACTCAGGAATAAAATTTCAAAGTATGAGTATTACAATAAAGATACAACATCTACTTAAAATATATCAGTTGTTAGTCAATATAAAACACAAACAAAATACAAATATAGAATACAAAAAAAATATAGTCAATTTATACAGTCAAAATTTATATTATATAAAGACTAGTTCATTCACCGAATAGATGACTCTTCAACTTTCTTTTGAATAATGCAAGATTGCTACATTCTTCAATATTTTTGTTCAAACTATTGAAAGCTAACATTCCTGCACGGTAAATGGATTTCTCAGTACACTTTTTATTTTTAACTCCTACATATATGTTATTACGCGTTCTTGTATTATAGTGATGATGGTTCTCATTGTATTCAATATGCCTACTCAGGTATGTCGGTGATAGGTTATATATCATTATCATTGTATAGTAATATATGAGATCTGTCACATCCATCCATTGCAATTCCTTCAGCATTGCTTTGATTGGTGTCTCTCTTGGTTTTCTTAATATGATCCTCATGGCTCGGTTTTGCTGTTTTTGTAGTTTATCCATTTCATTTTTATTGGCAGTATATATTATCGATGCACAAAATGTAAAATTTGGTAATATAAGTGTGTTATATATTATAATTTTTGTAGATTTTGTAAGTGTTGACGAAATCCTTCCTAGAAAGCTAACATTTCTTGAGATAGTTTTTATTACCTCTTGTACGTGTTCTTTGAATAATAAGCCTCTATCAATTAAGACTCCAAGATATTTCGTCGCACTAATGGTTTCTATTTTATCAATATGGATATTAAAATGTCTGCTTTCAAGTTCATAATATCCCGTTTTATTAGTAAATAACATGAATTTTGATTTATTACCATTTAATTTCAATACATTATAACTACACCACCCACTTATTTTTTGTAGACTCCAAGATATTTCGTCGCACTAACGGTTTCTATTTTATCAATATGGATATTAAAATGTCTGCTTTCAAGTTCGTGATATCCCGTTTTATTAGTAAATAACATGAATTTTGATTTATTACCATTTAATTTCAATACATTATAACTACACCACCGACTTATTTTTTGTAGACTCCAAGATATTTCGTCGCACTAACGGTTTCTATTTTATCAATATGGATATTAAAATGTCTGCTTTCAAGTTCATGATATCCCGTTTTATTAGTAAATAACATGAATTTTGATTTATTACCATTTAATTTCAATACATTATAAAACTACCATAATGATAACAACAAAAATATTATAAAATAGGGGTGAACAAACAAAGGCATCACAAAAGAAACATTTTCGAAAAAAATGTTTCATGTGCGTGATATCGCCTAGTATAACATGAATAAATGAATGAATAAATATACAAATATACTTTGTGTTATAACAATAACACAAAAAAAGCAGATATTGTTGATTTCATGCGAAATCATGACATGGAAATACCCGAAAAGATTCCAACGAAAAAGGTATTACTGGCGACCATAAAACAACGTAATTTCAAAAAAGAGTATATTATTGATTCGATGTGTGAAACACGTGGTCATATTCTCTTACGTTTGCCTCCATACTATTGTGTGTTCAATCCAATTGAAATGGTTTGGGCCAAATGAAAGAAAGCTTGCGGAAATGTAATCAGTCACCGACTTTGAATGTTGTAGTCATCCGAATATAGCGAAGAAGAATTTTGATTTTTCTAGCAATTTTGTTGGCCTCTATTATTTGGTAAATATATGTTTGACGAGAATTCGGTGTGATTATTTGTGTTTTCATTGTATTTTAGAGTTTTCGACTCGGAAATCGACTACCTTAAATTACGAAGTTTTTCATGGGCTGATCAATTGCTATGATTGTAAGAATAAGTTTCTGAAAAACCACCACTAAAAAATAATATGCCGACGCCTATGTCGAGACGGTAGTTCCTTATCTGTGCTGTTCCAATTGGTATTGGAAATACAATACCAAAGCCGATTCTGTTACACCAGCAAATGAGAGCGTGGCAATTTGTCACATGACCAGTTTGTTCGATTGGTTACGCTATCGATCGTGTTATCTGACATATTGACTGCAACTAAATTATTTTCATTTAAATAAGTCTATATATGTGTAACCGCCACATACTTGACCAACTGCGCTTAGCGAAACTAATACATAGTACGCCGAACCAAGCCATACTGCGCAACACCAAATCACATATAAACACTTGTTCAAATGAAAATAATTTAGTTGCAGTCAATATGTCAGATAACACGACCGATAGCGTAACCAACCGAACAAACTGGTCATGTGACAAATTGCTCTCATTGGCTGGTGTAACAGAATCGGCTTCGGTGATCTACTGACATAAATTAATTTTTTCGAGTATTTATTTTCAATGATTATCAATATTGTTTTGTTCATCACAGGATCCGACTGGAAGTCCTGCTTGATACTGCCACTTTAGCAGACCGTTATTTGCTGACGGATCTGTGCATGTACATCATCGAATGGATCGAAAAGAAGTTGATGATGCCGCAAACTGTGGCCGCCATCTACCGGTGGTCCATTGAATCGCAACTAAACCTGCTCAGGGTTGAGTCTGTCGCGTTTGCGATGGTGTATAAGTACGGCGACAATAAGAGGGTGAACATGTTGAAGCAGCTGTTCGATCTGGGGTACATTGAGGAGCTGGCAGAGGACATTTATGATCTGTTGGCCAGGTACGTCACCATGGAGAGATTCAAGATTGTCAAGAAAGTTATTGTGATACCGTCTATTGAGTTGGACTTCGAATTCTGATGAGAAATGGAAAATTTGTCTTGGTGTGACTCGTATTGTACATAATTTTTGTTTATATTCGAAAGTATTTGTTACTTTATGATAAAATATGTTTTATATGGAAAACAAAAGTACTGAATAAAATTATTGAGATTTTTATAAAATTATTGGATTTTTACACTTGAAGGTGAAATATTTTTAAGTGTGTCTCAGGTTCAGACTTCCACTATTTGAAAGGTGTTAACCGATTTGAAATGTATGAGAAGAGAACTTCATGATATGAGTGAAATATTAAAAACACTAAAATTACCTGGACAGAAATGAGTTTGTTTAAAAGGAAATATAAAACACAAAAAAAATAAACAATGAGTATGGTATTCAAGAACATAAGAATGCTAATTTGTGAAGATACATTATTCTGACCTGAAATAAAAATGAATTAATAAATAAGTTCAATAATAAATTGATAGAAAGAATTAGTATTGCTATTCAACGTGGCAATGCTGCTTCAGTACTTGGAACTATTCCTCCTTCACATAATTTTGATGAGATCATGCATTGCCCTAATTTCGGTACGGAACTGAAACCTCTTCGAAATAAGCCGGAATATGTGGATATTCATCAGTCTCCTATCAAGGTTAATTCACAAGTGATTGATCCACCTTCTTCTTTTTCAGTGCGGTCAGTGGACTCAGGTCATTCTTGCAGTCCTCGTAGAACTGGTTTCCTTTCAGTGGAAGAGCTTCATGAAGCAAGAGCCGAATCGATCCCTCTTCGAAACCCTTCTTCACTTGGAAGGATCGATCGCAGCTTGAGAAATGGTTCTTATGGAGATTCTGTGAAACATGTTCTTCCTTACGAATCAGTAGATAGTTGTCCTGAAAATCTAGAGAAGAAAATTGGATTGGATAATTTAGGAAACACTTGCTACATGAATAGAATTTTACAAGTGTTGTTTATGACGAAGAGTTTCAAGAACGAAGTTTTAATGGTGAACGAGAACGGGAATGTTTCCTACTTATTCATCAAACTCAAATACCTGTTCATGCAGCTGCAGTTTCGTAAGAAGGTATCATCTTTTCCTCCAACCGAATTCTTGGGGTTCTTGTTGAATACTCTTCGTGAGCAAAACAATAGCAAAATCAATACTCCTGACCGCTCTGGACTGAATGATTCCGTACAGCCCTTCTCGTCTTGTGTTTGTAAATCTTTTGCTGGAAAAATCCGCACTTGTTTACTTTGTGGTAAATGTTCAAGAAGTACCGAAAACTTATGTGAATTTCTGGAACTTCATCTAGCTTTTCCTAATATGACTAATAACCAGTCCGTGCAAAGCTTATTGTTAAATCATCTGAAAATGGAATTTTTAACAGGTGATGATCGACTGTATTGTCAAACATGCGCCAAACTAACTGACTGTTATAAGGAAACAAGTATAGCTGAGGCACCAGTCAATCTAATAATTACACTGATAATTTTCAAACAAGACTCAACCTCTAACGGAAGCAAGAAACTCTTTGGAAGGTTCGAAATAGATGAACATTTCAACCTAGCAGACCACTAAGTTTGACGATACTCGTGTCACGAAGTGTTCTGGCGATGCATTGAATTCATTGGAGCCTCTGGAGACACCCTACATTTTGTTTTATAAGAGAGAGGACATTGTTAGATCAAGATCTTCAGATGATGTGGTGCTGTAGGTTTTTCCGGGTTTTCCTGCAGCTGAAAAAGCAAATGCGCCACTGGGATCAATGAAGTCGCCCCGGAACGCCAATTAACTTTTATTGTTGTTTTTATTTTATTTTTATCGTTGTTTTAATAAAAAGTTCTAGTCAATAAATGATATATCTATGATATGCAAAAATTGAAAATCAAAAATTAGGACAGATATTGCAAAAAAAAGACTATACAATAATAGCTACTTCAGGCCAAGATACTAATTAAATTATGCCTAATAAGATGAATAAGTGCATATTTGAATATGACTCTCTACCTACTTTACACTGGGTATAACTATTTTGCAGGTCAGCAAATTGTTCTCAGTAGACATTGCTCTCGTAAAGTTGTAAAAGGACAAAAATTCTTGCAGGTCAGGTCTGCAAGACATAAATCTCGTCCACGTTAATCATTTTTGACAGAAAAATTTTCCAACCCCGATCAAAAAGTTTCACAATTCTTAAAAAATTGGAAATACATTTTGCAGGTCGGCGGAAATTCTTGCAGGTCGGGTGTCCCAGACAGAAATTTCGACCAGGTTGATCATTTTCGACAAAAACATTTTCCAGCCCCCACCCAAAAGTTTCACAATTCTTAAAAAATTTGAAATACATTTTGCAGGTCGGGTGTCCCAGACATAAATTTCGACCAGGTTGAACTTTTTCTTAAAAAAAAAATCCAACCCTCACCCTTTGTGCATGGAAAAATTCCACTTTCCTCATTAAATTGAAAATAAACCTTGCAGGTCGGCAGAAATTCTTGCAGGTCGGGTCTGCCAGTTATGGATGTCGACTGAATTATTCATTTTCGACAGAAAAAATCTAATCCCCCACTTAATAGTTTCACAATTCCAGTCGAAAATGATTAGCCTGGTCGTAATTCATGTCTGGGAGACCCGACCTGCAAGAATTTCTGCCAATCTGCAAGGTTTATTTTCAATTTAATGAGGAATGTGGAATTTTTCCATACTCAATGGGTGGAGGATGGAATTTTTCTGTCGAAAATGATCAACCTGGTCGATATTTATGTCTGGGGGACCCAGCCTGCAAGAATTTCCGTCGACCTGCAAAATGTATTTTCAATTTTTAAGAATTGTCAATCTTTTTGGACGAGGTTGGAAAATTTTTCTGTCAAAAATGATTAACCTAGACGAGATTCATGTCTGGCAAACCCGACCTGCAGGATTTTCTGTCCTACAAGATTACAAGAGCAATGTCTACTGAGAACAATTTCCTGACCTGCAGATCTGCACTTTACACTTTTACCAGAGTTTAGGTATGAAATAATTACAAATTTAAACGGTAGGGAAAAAATGCACAAACTCATATACAAAAGGTAAAACTGGAACTTTTGGTGTAGATTAAATCCAAAACAAGCACTTTTCTCAATCACCAAAACTGCAAGACTGTTCTCGAGGCGTGTTTCTCCAACTAAGTTGGCGTCTTCAGGAGATGAAAAAAATCGATTTCAAATATTTTTTACTTATTCTATGACCGTTTTCCAAGACTGGTTGAGTAACACTAGATTTTTCTGGTCTTCGAAACCGGATATGTACAGTGTGTTTCTTGAAATGAGTTTCAATGGAGCACTTAGTCTGAGCGATATATTTTTTATCAGTCCTCACAGTTTCTTTCATGTATCCCTGACTTTTCATTTTCCACATCTGCGGTGGGAGAATTATGAACATTGTTGACCTTTTTATGCATCACTGTTGAAATGAACAGGAACTTTAACGAAATTCTCGCGAATTCGTTAATTCCACTCCTTCAATTAAATTCTGCGCTAAAATATGGACTTAAATAACTGAATATTTTAGACCTGATTTCCTGATTATTACTAAAATTAATAATAACGTGATATTGAAAATGAAAATAATTATTTAGAATACGTTTAGAGCTTTTCAAAAATATTATAGTACATATAAAGTTAATTCAGATGGCATAAAAACTAAATAGTTTCCGAACGTCGGGTTACTTTGTATGGCATGGGTGGCGTGGTTTAATTTTTTCAAAACTATTTTTTTATGGCAAAGTAATCTTTTATTTAGCTGTTCAGATTGAACTTGTATTGAGTATAAACTATATAAATCAAAGAATATTTACTAGCAAGTATACTATTCTGTGATACATTAAATGAAATGAGTAAAAATACGTTCGTTTAAATACCACTGGTAACTTTAATTTATACGACCGGTTTCGAGTCATCAATCCCACATATTATTCTGTGATACACAAATCCTACCCAGGGTTGCCATTCGTTATTTTATTTTCATACGCCATTGACGTGCAGCTTCAAATAAGGTTCTTATTGGTGTCCTGCTAACAATGTTGAAATCTCTGTTCGCATATTCGCAGAGTGTTTCAAAAACATTATTTCAGTGTGTAAAACAGGTATGTCAATGTATTCCATATAAGTCCACAAACTGGAACACACTAATGAAAACGAAGTGATGTGGTACTATTCGAATAACCGAAAATTTTAATGAATTGGTTTCATTTTTGAAATTCACCAATAGTGAAACATATTTGTGACATCCATCACATTATCTAATCTGTGACTAGTTTCACTAGTGCCAAATACCTCAAAATTGAGGTGGATACTTGGTTTGGTTGACATTCACAAAATTTTAAGAAAACCTCATCCCTTAAACTGTCAAAGGCATCACTGATAGATTGCTATTCAAGAACTCGCCTTATATTCGACAGTTTGCAATAAATTCGACAGGAAGTATAGCCAAAACTGAAATATAAAAAGATTTCTTTTTCAAATATTATGAACTACTAGGAATAATCAGTATTGGTGATATCCTTAACAAGTCGCATTATAAAGACGCTCATATTTTACAAGTCTACATTAGTTTACTACCAATGACATTCGAATCTTTTTTTCTTATATCAAGACTATATTTACAAGCGGTTTTAAATCTAAAGGGTTAGTGATAGATACTATACCTTATCATAATTGCATACATGAAAATATTTCATTTAGAGCAAAACCATCTCTGTTGTTTCTGTACAACACCCAAATTTGCCAAATGGTTCGTCCACCAAATCTGAATTGTACTCTCAACAACTTTATGGGGTTGGTTCTTATATTTTCCATAGAGTACTTTAGATATTCAGAAAATCAAGGTACATTTGATGTTTACCATGATACCAAAATACGTTCTGTATTATTTTTACCATTCACTAGCACGAAAAGATTCATTTTGGTTTGAACGATGACAGGTCTTGAAACCCATTTCGTCCATGCTTCTGAAAAAAGAAGAAGACTTCAAATATAACCTATAAAACATAACTAAACTAAAATGTTGTGTTACTTATTATTAAAATTATTAATTCAACAGTCAAACAACCTAGATGTGTAGTTGAAGCGGAATACTGGTGTTATAGTGAATTTTAGTGATAATAATTTAACACCTTGTGTGCACTATTTATTGAAATTCTTCATCAGCTGAAAATGAGTGATTGGCTAACAGAAATTAAGAATGCAAGGAAGTCCTATTTTGAGGACAAAAGTTCAAAGAAAATCCATTATAATTTCCAGAATGGAAAAGAAATGATAGAAGAGTACAACATGGAGACGGGGGTGCTTACCAAAAGAGCGTGGAGATGCAACCAAGGTCTCAAAAACAACTATGAATGGGATGTGGAAGTGGGAGACAATGAATCATCCTATGGTTCTGACAAAAAAGCAATCATCCGCGAGAGTCCGAACCAACCATTTGTTTCTCGTCGAAACACACGGAAGAATTTGGAATGGAGAATAAGAAATCTGCCATATGGAATTGATACATACTCTGTTACAGTTAACCCTGAACAAAAATGTCTTATTGTCAGTACAAGTAATAAGAAATATTACAAAAAGCTAAAAATTCCAGAATTGAGTAGATTAAATCTAGTGCCAGAGGAGGCCTGTGTTTCAGTTTCCCATAAATTCAATACTTTGGTTATTACTTACAAAAAACCCAAGGAACTAATAAATTTTGACAAATTCATGCTGGAGAAGGTTCGCACAATGAAAGATGAAAAAGAAGGAGATATAACTGACCAACGTACTGATGATTTCAAAAAGATTGTTGTTTTGGAGAGCTCATGAGGTTGAGTTAGGATGAAGATTTTTTCTGATCGAATCTAGTGGTCTGTGGAACGTCTGTAAAAAAATCTAAGATCTTAGGCAAGATTTTAAGAAAATGGATGTAGTAGACCATGAAAAATAAGGTACTGACAAACAATGATGCATTAAGAATCAACTTCCTCATTGTCTTATACACAAGTTTCTCACAAACGAAACCAGTGTTATAAAATTTCTAAGTAACTCATATTTTATTTCAAAAACCTGTTAGAAAAACATCAACCAGTTCAACAGGAGTGATCATTCAGCTGAATATTTTCACCAGGTTTTAACGGAGATGAAGTAGATTTTGTATTTGATAAACATGATTAAAAAATATTATTTTTCAAAATGGAGTTTTTCTCAAATATCATATATATTTCGTCAATGCAATGATTTGATTCAGAAAATTTTCAAAATCCACTGAAACTACGTGTACCTTTTGAGAATGGAGAATTGCTATTGAGCACCCAAGCTTATCCATAGTTTTGAAAACATAGTTCTGTAGAATTGTCGCTCTCATTAATCCATTGAAACATCAACTCAAACAAACTAATTATGTAAAGTAAAGCAACAAGCATTCTTTGATACTTCCAATATTGGATTAAATCTTACATGAGTAGTGAACCACTAGAAGTTTAAATAGAAAATGAAGTATCGGTTGAATGTAGCGTCCTGACCAGAATTACCCAAGGCGGAGTACTAGAATCATTACCTTTCCTCCTCCACTCACTGCTTTATATCAGACAAGTACAATTATTTATCTAAGCAGTACTATACAAGAATTGAATAGTAAAAATAAATTAACTGTAACTGAGTTTTCCAGTCGGAGCAAGCGAAACCATCTTATCATCAATGAAAAAAAAAATGGTATCCAGTTCACAATATTCTAAAATTCAAAATCAACGAATTTTATTCAGCTTCACAAGTAACCAAATCCATTGGCATAGACCTGAATTCCAGATTAAAATTCGGCCTCCATATAGATCGCTTATGTAAGAAATTGAGCAAACTATATTTTGCATTCATATTCCATCACCTTGAAACATAATTTTCACAGAAGTTGAAGCATTATTGTATGGTGAAGTGAAATACCATTTAGAAGATTAATCTTTGACCTTAGTCGCAAAAGATGCAGAAATACATTCAAAGAAAATGGAGTCCTGAGTTAGTGACTTGCACAGGCATTATAATAAATACAAATTTACTAAAAACATAGATGTAAACAATCACGACACTAGGAAAATATATTACACCATCATCAAAATCACAGTTTTATTCTAGGGGCTACGTCTATATGCTACTGATGCACCTGTTATTAAAAAAAACACCACTGAGCAAATACATAATATAAATTCTGATTCTTCTTTCTATAAAATTTAATTAAGTATGTTACTAGTGTTGTTGAAGTCGATATACTTTTACTTCACTTGGATTATATTGTAAACAGAAAAGATTGAGTCTATAACTATATTTTTATGAGGTGTACCTCAATTATCAAAGAGAGAGATGAATAAAACTATAACTATCTATTGAGTATTGCACATGGTGTGCTTTCTGATTTCTGATGTGATCATGTACTCATGCGGGTCTTGATATTGCCTCTAGGCCATAATTAAAATAGTTGTTACTAACAATTATGCTCCATCTACTGTTTTCGTTCTAAAAATAATAATGGCAGAGGAAAAAACTGCAAAAGATTTCAGCAAATACCTTGAAGTGGACTTGGATCATAAGGTAAGCATTCGAAAGTTGAATTTTCATCATTTTCGTAATTTAAAATATTAATTCTGTTTGGCCGTGGCTAATATCCCTTTAACTGATACGACGATATTTTCAAAAAGAAAAAATGTGTTTCTTCTCTGGTGAAGATGAAAGATTACTATATTCATTCAAAATAATAATTCTATTTGGCCGTGGCTACTATCCCTTTAACTGATAAAATATTTTCAAAAAGAAAAAATGTATTTCTTCTCTGGTGAAGTTGAAAGATTACTATACTCATTCAAAATATTAATTCTGTTTGGCCGTGGCTAATATCCCTTCAACTGATAAAATATTTTCAAAAAGAAAAAATGTATTTCTTCTCTGGTGAAGTTGAAAGATTACTATATTCAGAGCGTTGGAAAAGCTTATCATCTTACATTTATTGGTATGCATGTTAATTATTCAATTTTTTTAGCTGAAACCAATAACCGCTTCCATCGATGATATGCTGACCCGACTTGAGGAGTTTCAGACTATGATTTCATTCGTTGTTCAAGACCGAATTGATTATAATGATATTTTAACCGCTATTCCGAATTACAAAAATGAATTCGATAATATGTGCAAGAAAATCGACACTTTGGAGAAGTTGATGGCTCATATCAAATCCAATTTGGATCAGTTGGAATGTGGAATCGAAAAAGCAGAAGATGAACTTGGATGCAGCGAAACCACTATGAAAGTTACCAATATCTTCACACCCCTTTTTGTGAGTTTATTTGCTAACCTAGAGTCACTTGAGGGGAAATACTTACTCTAAATAACAATACCATTCATAATCAGTTTTTTAATATACTATTGAAACAGACAATTGAATATCTTTGTTGAGTATTTGATTATGATTTTGACTCCTAACTGAAATGGCACTAATTCTGAAAAGTTTTTGTGCTCTTGTGGAAAATTTCATTTCCCTTCCAGCCGAGGATATCGGTACAAGGGAATATGAAATATTTTTGACACCTGGTTGATCATATGTTTGATATTCCTTTCACCAAAATTTGTACTTACTCATATGCTATTAATTAAACTCATCGATTAAATAATGATCCGTAGTTGTCATGCTAAAAACGGCAGACATTTTTTTGTGAAATTTTAACACGTTTTTAATATTTTCAGAGAAAACAGTCGGGGAAGAAAGAGTTTCGCTTCCAATCGGATAACTTCAAAACTGAAAATTATTTTCATTGAAAGTTAACCATATTTTCATCAATCAGGATCAGAAAGTAAAATATATTTTTATACTACTTTTATTTATATACTGCATTGAGGATGTTTACATTCATCACCTACCTCAAACTGGAAGGAAAACTGACAATGTACGTAATATTGAACTCAACATATTCCACAAATGTAAATAAATGGTATTACTCTTCAACAATATTTTACATTTTTTTCAATGGATGTTGGAAAGTTATAGACGTTTTATGATACAATAAACTATTATCATGGTCGTCATTGTTTTGTAACTCTGTTACTGTCAGTGCTAATTATGATTAGATTGTGTTTTGGAACTCCTTGTCTTTGTCACCATCATAAGTGGTTAGTGATTGAATTTAACTTTTCTTAAGTAATGGCGATGACACAGTAGAAAGCTTTTGCTACTGTGGCGATGACATCTCTCCTTACGAAGACGCCATCTATGGGATCAACAGAAAACTCAATCCTTGAATATCGAAGATAAACGAGGCTCCCCAAGGCGGTCAGTTGCAAAGCCACGCTTCGACGAGACTATTTCGCGGCAAGGCAACTAGTTGAAAACCAGAGCCTAAACACAATGTATTTATTATTCAAAATCAGACAGCGTTGTTTCGACCCGCCATAGGTCTCATCAGTTGTGCTAGGCTGGACGAGCCTTAGTAATTGCGATGACATCTCCCATTACCAAAACGTCATCTATTAGATTAACAGAGAATCTTATTCTAGAATTGCAAAGATGACCGAGGCTCTAGGCGGTCAGTAGAAAAGCTTGGCTTTGCATGTATGGTTCAGCCTAGAACCACTGATGAGACCTATAACGGGTCGAAACAGCGCTGTCCGGTGATGAGTCAGAAATGCATTATGTTTGGGCTCTGGTTTTCAATAAACTTTTCTTGTCAGAAAGGCAACAAGGCAAAAAAATAATGGCTGTTTTCTTCGGTTTTCACTGGATTATAACTGGTATACGGAATTTCATTTGAGCGAATCATTAACTGTCCTGTACTAAGGATAAATAAATGAACCTCTTTATGGAAAATATGGCGGCTCTTCGTCTAGTTTGTGTTGACAGTTGAGGGCGCCAATTGTGCCCACACATTTTTCTAATATTCTCAACAAGAAAAGTAAGAATCCTATAACTATTAATAACCTAATCGTAAACGATAAAACATGAATCTTTAATCTAAACTCTCAGTTATTAGTTTAAGTGTTGGCCTTAACTCTTAGTTCTTAGTCTTGGTCTCAGGAGGTGTGTTGCATAAACCAGCTATCTTTCAAAGAGTTTCTATAATGTGAGATCCATTTTTTCTGATATTATCGAGGAACGGTTTGAATTACTCTCAAAAAGGGAGTATGGATGGCTCATGATTATATTGATTCATTCTCTAAATTCGATACTGAATATTTACCTTCAATCGAATTTGAACAATTTTGTCATCAAGTTGCTCATTACAACAAACACCAAAGAATGATTAAATCTTTGATATATTAGGCTTGTTCTGGTTCTCTGCTCGGACTGTTCCAGTCAGAAAACAGTCACCCAACTGTATGCTGAACATTTTGTCGCGTTAACCTTTTCAGTCCACAACTGACTCACTGATTTTGGACGATTCGAAACAGTACAAACTGAAAACCAGAACATATATATTCTCTACAAACGAACGAACCTAAGAGGTGCGACATAACCTTAAACCTTGAGGTTATGTCGATGGATTACACAACACAACAAAGTTTTTGTTTCGTGGTTGAAATTAGATGATTTTAATGTATTTCCACGTGTTAAAACCGAAAGTGACCATAAAAATTATATATTAGCTCTTGTTTTCAAGATATAGTATCATTATATTATATATATGTATATTGAGTTTTCAACAAATGAAATATTTCATCACCAACAGTTGGTACACATGTTTGTTTACATAACACCCCTCTCATCAGCTGTTCTTAAGTAGTAAACATAACCTATGTGAGTTTGTCAATTGTA